AAAAAATATCCGTAAATTTTGTACTCCAATCAAGTTTTTTTTTACGCGAGTAAAATTTTCCGCGTGATCATTTTTTTTTTTTTTTTTTTTAGAGATCGAAGGAGAAATCGTAATGCGTTCTTCAAACCAGAGGAAACGATTGTATCTCGCCAACTGAATGTGACGGTGTTTTTTTTTTTTTTTGTCGGTGCATGATAATGATCGGCCGCGGTGAAATCTATTTCTTTGAGGTCCGCGCGAAAAGGGGCACGTTTCCAACGGTTTCTCTTTCTTGTGTATCCGAGATTTTCATCGGGTCAGTGTCCTCTGGTATCGGTGACCGTTATTCGCCGGCTCCGACCTCGGCACGAAAAGCATCGACGCGAATACCAAGAAATCGCGAAATAAGAATGGAAGCGTCATCATAACGGCAGAGGAATGATAGAGGCTTGATTGCTAATGAGAGGCGCGCGTTTAAAGGTTTCCTCCTACACACGAGTATTACATAAATCTCTCGGAACCTATCACATCCACCGCTATGATGAAGCGAATAATCCTTCGTATTTCGCGGTAAGCAAACACCACTTTGCGATAAGCATTAGAAGAATTACGAATAGCTTTATCATGGATTTGTTCTTCATTGTTGCACTGGTGAATTAGTGCAACAAGTTGAAGTGAGATAAATATATTTTGTTTCACTCTAACTTACTGCATCAATGTACACTAGTTCACCAGTGCAGCAATAAAGAACAAACCCCATGTATCAAGATGCAGCGTAATTCCTAAAGAGAGAGACCCCAGGCGAATAATCGCGCAGAGTTCTGTCGTAACGCGATCGTTGGGAATTACGTAACTTGATGTGCGGCATGAAGAAAACACCGGAATAAAATTGTAAACGCGAGTTTTCTTCGCTTCTTTGGAGTCCGACATGTCGCTTTTTCAAGTATGCAAATTCCGAGACGCATCGCGCGCGTGCTGTAATTCATCGACTCGGGTAATATTGTTCGTTCCTAACGGCGAGAGTCGTCACGTCGTGATTTAATAAGATTTCGAAAGTCACGAGGCGAACGCGAAGCGATCGGGGCCGTTGTCCCGGGACTCGTTTGGTATTTTATTGTCTTCGCTTCCTCCCTTCCATCCTCCGTCAATTATATTCCCTCTTCCTCGATTCATTTATTCCCTCGTCCTAGATATCATTGCGTCACCGTGAAATCCTTTCGTCACGGTGCCAAGGTGCTATACTCTCTAATCCGAGAAGGAACTTTTTGTCCGCTCAAATTTTTACGTTTTTTTTTTTTTTTTTACCCCACAGCTAACAATACTTACTGCGCGTCGTATAAATTCACCGATATAAATGATTTATGTCTTAAACGTGGTTTAAACGTGTCGATAAAATAATCTGTCGGTCGAGAGAAAAAAGAAGGAAGTTTATTAATGAAGACAAAATGAGGTTCCGCTCTCGATTATTTGTTTTATCTTTCGCGGGATATATTTAAATGCGATTATAATATTATTCCGCGATGATGGGCGTTATTAATGAGATAGTTTAAGGCTGACGATCTCACGAATGTGCGAGCGTCGATGTAATATTCTCTTTAATCACGTGCCTTCGATATATATAAATATATATATATATATATATATATACAGACTCATCGTCGTGCGTTGATCGAAAACACGGAAGAGCAATCAAGATCGCGCGGCGAATTGTAGCACGGATCAAAAGACGGAGGAAAGACGGAGAGAAGCGGACATTCCAACGAGAAGAGAAGTCGAGGTCACGCAGAACCTGTTCGAAGAGTTACGAGATCGCGAAACGGGGGCTTAAACACGCCCGAGACACGCGTTCGCGTTCGCGCGTTTTCGCAATCGTTGTGTATCTTGATTTATACAAATCAATGGGCGCTATCGGTCCGACAACACAACAGCCGGGTCTCAATTTGCAAGACAATACAGAATTTTACGTCTGGCATAATTCAACGAGTTTACATTTTTTTTTTTCTTCAAAGAAAAAATCTCTCTTATTACCATAACGTGACTTGATTGTGGAAGAAAAAATATTTTTCTATATAAGAGTTTTCATTTTCGCGCTATCAGTATTATATAAAGAAACGGCAAGAAATTAAATAACAGCATTAAGTTGTATTTATTTTAATGTTATTCTAGTATGAATATTTTATTTTTACTATTTTGCATTGTAAATACGCGAAACGTGTATTTATTTTTCAAAATGGAATAAAATATACATGATTAGGTAAAATCCATAAGATCCATAAGTTATATATATATATATATATATATATATTTTTTTTTTTTTAATAAGAACGAGCAAAATACTTTATAAATAAATTATTTTCCAACAACTGCAGCTTTATCGAATAATTATGCCGGAAGATATATGTATTTTTCTACGAAATGACTTTACCTGACATATTTTACACCTCTTTTTACGACCCTGAAGATACGATAAGGTCTCCCAATGAGCTAACAAACGAGAATCACTGAACGCAGGAATGCAATCAGATTATTTCTAAAGCACGCAATTGTTATATAGCGTATTTAACCGTGTCGTATTAAAAACTTCTACAAGCGAGCATCATTTCCGTGCCGCGTTTCTCGATGTTCGAATAAACCGTGAGAACCAGAATGATGGCATGACCGGAAGAATGGCTTGAGAACAGAGAGACTTGTGCAGATATAGTCGACGAAGAATCGCAACTATATACACGGTGCACTGAGAAGATTCGAATCGTGAGAACCAGACGGGAAAACTTGAAGAAATGCGCGTTATATTCCCTCATATATATATATATATATATATTTATAAATCGTTTTCTCGCTTCGTAAATGAACCGTTTCGTCGCGTTACACGCAAAATCGATTTCTGCGTAAATTTCATTTTGATCATTTTCGACGGTCGCGGATCGATCTTATCTTAATCAGTATGAAACGAATGAAATTAAGCCGCGCTGTCGTAATCGCTCGACTGCGTATGATTCATTAGAGAGGCACAAAAAGGAATCGGCATGAAAGGATCGATAGCTAACGCGTTTTTCTCTCTTTTTTTGATCATTAATAAAATTGATTATCTTAAATAAACAACGATACAAAATTATGATTTCTATATCGGTTATCGCAAAGTGAAAAATTAATATTTGATAACGCAACGTAACAAAATATAAAGCTGTATCAAAAGTACACTGCCTTTTAATTACAGAACATTAATTGAAATTAATCTTGGGCCAGTGAATATTTTCACTACGGAAGAGAGAGGCACACGAATCTCTCGAGTGTGCCAGCAAATCCATAACCATAACTGGAAGAGACTGCGTGATTTCTGATACGTCGTAGAAATAACTAGAAGAGAACAGGAATAAAAAGAGGAAGGAGAGAACGAGATAGATGGATACTTCACTAGATTATAGCCTGCGGAGAGATGAAGAGGACAGAAAGCATATTCCAAGATGGAGAACCCGACAGCGCGACGCTGATCGAACCTGAAGAGAATCGGTGGGAACGATTTTGTGGGTGAGAGCGAGCAAATCGAGGAGCAAGTACAAGTAGAGAGAAAGAAAGACAGACACTGAGACGAGAGTTTGAAGGACGAGCGTGGAGAACGCCTGGAGAACAAATCATGGCGCTCCGCGAGATCTAGCAGACACGGCTTCCGGGAAGAGTCATCGATCCATGACGGAAGAGCAAGAAGGGGGAAAGGAGCAATCGACAAACTATGAACTACCTCCGACAATTCCGCTTCGTCGTTTCCTCTGATTACTTTTTTTTTTCATTCGAGTCCTCTTTTCCTCCGCAAAGACAAATTGATTCCGTTCCAAAAAGACTTAATTTACGATTCGAAATTTTCAAAGTAAACTTCGACTATCGGACTATTAATACCAAGATCCATTTGCGTTGTCGCAAATTGTATTTCGTGCTATTAATAATCCATTCTATATTACTCCGTCACAATCGTCCGATCGTTCAATCGTCTTGATTATGCCGCTACATTTTTTCACCTTGATTTATTCCGGACTTATCTTTCAATGCGACATCGAATCGACAATAGCTGCGCGAGAGAGGGAGAACGGCTCTCAATATTTAGAAAATACAACAGGTCTCGTATCGAAGGTTTCAATGAAGGTGCAAACGACTTTTATCGATCGTTCGCGTCTAGAGAATCTCGCAACGTGCTGTTTCTTCTCTCGAAGATCGATGTATCGATCATTATTATATCATTCAAAGCGTCAGAGCAAGACACCAAGATGGAAAATCCGACGTCCTCGTGCAATTTCCTCGGCTTGTCCATCGGCTTGGATTCTGTAAATGGCACTGGAAGAATTCACGGGGAATTTTAAGCAACAAGCCCGTGGAGCTCCCGTGTCATACACAGCGTCCGGCCTTACAACGCGATAAGCCCGGGAAAATTATTTTCTTCTGCATGCGTATCCGCAACACTAAAACCTCCATCGACGCCCGCTATCGGTTTATAAACATCGAGCACGTACGTATTGAAAAAACTTACACGCAGATTGAACAACTCGGTCGAACGTTAGCTCGTTGCTAACGTTGTTCCGCCTTATCATTCATATGCGAAGCAAGAAAATTTTATTTCTTGCTATTTTGCGCTTATAGATGCATTCATAAAGCATTTCATATTTTTCATATATTTTATACATTTTTTTACATTCATTATTCTTCACAATTCAGTTTAATCAGACTTGGCAATATTTTTTTACGATAAATCAAGATATTAATCATAATAATCTGCCGAGTTGTGTTCGAAGTCTCCTTTAAGATTCTGCTTTGATATTTTTTACATACTCTATTTTTTTGAATAATTAGGGTTAGATGCTGAGCTGAAATTTCTTGCAGTGCAAGAATGACGAGCAGCAGGTCGCGCGGCCCTATTTCCTTTATTTTTACGAGCCGCGGAAGCGTCGTACGTACACGTGGCAAGCAACCGCTTGGCAACGAGCAACGGCCCTCTCCTGTGCAAGAGCGTACCGCAAAGAGTCGTGTATGATAGTCACGGAGGCGCATTTGTCGAGCGAAATGCCCGCAGCAGAGACGACAAAGAGAGAAGCGTAACGGAGAGAAGACAGGACCAACCGGAAACGAAGCCGGTGCAGGCAGAAGAAGAAAATGTCCGGTGAAAAAAAAGGCCGCGTCAAGGTCCTCAGGCAGATTCGCGACGCGGTTTAAGTCATGTCACACACCACCTGTCGCGCGACTAAGCCAAGTAAATGCGCATGCTCTTCGTCATCTCTCGCGGAAAAAGCAACGACAGCTCCATGGAAGTTTCTTCCAGCCTGTGATTACGCTCAATCGATCGAGGGTAAGGTAATATATAATATTTGCGTTCAAAAATTTATTCCACGTTGTAAGATGGTTTGCACGCGGTTAATGATGTGACTTTTATCAAATGCATTTTTTTTCATGACTCTTATAATTTTGGGTAATTATAATTATTTTCCTTAGAGAAAACAATTATTAAATTAATTTATAGACGCGAAAAAAAAGAAATAAAAATGGAATCCAAGTAGGAATAGGGTAAGTTTTGCCCCACTCCCCCGACTCTCGAAATAATCATCAAAAAGTATAATTAATGCGCAGGGAATGTAATTTCAAATATAGTAGATAAGCACGAGAAATAGTCAATGGATTCGATAAAGAGCAAATCGTAACAGCATTTGATTACCTGTTGCGTCACACCTGTTGCTGCACGTACGTGCGGCCACGTGACGATAGTGGCCGTGAAAAGATTTTCTCGATTGTCCCCGTGTCGCATATTGTACGGTATTGCGATGTGTCCACAAGTCACTCTTACGACAATATCGCTAGCCATTCTTTATCAACCATTTTTTTTAAATTATTCTCTTATCAGGTACATTCGCAAACTTGCGTTACGAATTAACTGAAGAGGAACTTTTGGAGAAAATGTTAGCAGAAAAATGCCAATAAAAATTCTTAATAATACCAAAAAAATTAAATACAGCAACAGTTCTTATAAAAAAAACATCCAGGTAAGACAAGGAAATTAATCTGATATTTTTCTGATTTGAAGCAATACAGGAAGTAGCGACTGGATGTTCTAAGCACGGCTCGCTTATGCAACTGGACGTGAAGTTTCAATTCGTACGTTTCCAGCCGGAGAAATGAATATTTTCGATCTCCGCTGTCGATAAAACACCTCGTAGTTCGATCGTGCTCACGTCCTCCCAGGAATCTCTCTCGATCTCATTGTTCGTGGGCAGCAGGCCAGAAAGTGGCGCTTCCGGTTTCAGGTTGAGTTGCACGACGGTCAGACGAACGGACAGGCCTGGCTGCATCCTGACTCGCCAGGTAAGCACCTGTGCCATGTTGGGCGTGATATATAAACGGAGTGGAAAGAAAAACGCGTAACGTCTCATTTCTGCGTTCAATCTTTCGGTCGTTCACATTTTTTTCCACGTTGTTACATCTACATGGCGCATTCCTCCTCTAAATAAACAAGTCGTTGAGATATTTTCATCCGATTGCGCTTCTTTTATCGCGAAAACTCGTGTTCGTATAGTTACTTTTCATTCATAATTCATGACGACGCGAGAGATTTCACCGGGATTAATGTATAATTAATGCAGCGTGTATGTGTGTAATTAATAACGAACGATAAAATTCTGAAACATTGGATCTCTCGGATGAAGAAGCGAACCGTGACCTGTGCGTGCGCATAACAGCGTTATTACTTTTTTTAGCGCCCCTGCGTGATACTCGCGGAAAATTGTCGTAGCAACGGGAAGTGGATAAGTCGACGCGCGGAACCGGAAGTCGCCGTGGGATCGCTTGAAAACACAGAGCGAAACCTGCATGCTCCCTGGGAACCTCCGATTAACTACACGCACGCGTATATTTTTCGCCTGACTCTCTTTAATGTATGTGCGTGCGTATGTATATATACAGGGTGTCTAACATAAGGTGTCACACCGAAAATATACAAGATCTTGTTGTTTGAAGAGAATTTTTCCTCAACAAAAATATTGAGGCATCAATTATTTTCGAGTTATAAGCGATTGAGAATAAAGGATTCTTCGGAAACTAAGCCTTGTGGAAATAAAATATTAACAAAACCACATTCTCCAATTAATTTCAAGTAGAGTGTACTTTAATAAAATTTTGATTTAAGGGTTAGTTATAAAGAGATACATGATGGCAAAAATTGGAAACATGCGAAAAATGATGGCCTCCCTCGACATTTTGCTGAGAAAAAATCGTCTCCAAATAACGAGAAGTACTTGTATATTTTCGGTGTGACACTTTATGTCAGACACCCTGTATATATATATAAAAATATCACGATATACACGCACATTCGACGAGCAAAGATAAATTTTGTTCTTAGTTGAAACTTAAATTCAATTGTGTGCAAATAAAAATTATATCGCTATTCAGATCTATTTGAGAACCGTCTTGTAATTCCGGGTAAATAATTGAGGGATAAAAATTGTTCGAATCATTACATCATGTTTCACACATATGGACGGTTAATAAGAAATGTATCTGTATGCACGCGGATACTCGCTTAAGCGCCGTACAAGGTAGGTCGATGACTCATGCTAATCATTGTTAGGCTGCGGAAAATGTCGGCTTCGTAACTATCGAGAAAAGCATGAAGCACGGAGCATGCCTACAAACTTCTCGGTTTCTATAGTCTTTACTACCGTACCTTCACAAAGGATGAGAATAATGAAGTTGTCGGAGACGTCAAACCTAACGAAGCACATTAATCAATGACACATCAACGGATGCAACATTCAGAAAATTGGACGCTCAAGCGTACATGTCTGGCAAGGATAGTCGGGGAATTAACAATGGTACGGCAATCAGGCAATTTTGCGATAACGTATTATTGAGCGACGTGTCTATATTCTTTTTTTGGTTCCTAGATACCCACACGAATTTGATCTACATCCAGAAATCGTGGGCGACGCTGACATCATGCTGACCAACGACTTCCTAGACTCGCTGTCCTTGAAAGATACAGACACTTCTGCGGTTTGACAGCGTCATGTATTAAGTGTATTTCGTTCCAAACAAGAGAAAACATAATATTCCTAGTGCGAGAAGTATTATTATTTATGCGCGCTAATAATACGATCGGTAAATGAATCGAAAAAATCAGACTGATGAATTTTTTTACATCAATGAGAGACAAAGCATCTATGATTCTAATTTTACGTTGATAAATTATACAAAAAAATAAGATATTTTTACGAAAAAAAACAGAACAGAATTGTGAAAACTTGATATCTTCGTCCACAGTTATAATGGTCGTCTTATAGTTTTAAAAGTAAACTTCTATATTTTTTGACGTAAATTTTCAAAATAAATTTATTTATATAAATCACGATCAATCAGATCTAGTAAGGATACTGCTAGCCAAATTCTATATTTCTCTGGTAATGCATTTCTGTTGTTCGCGGCTGTTTTACGGGCCATCAATCTTCGATTACTATATCATCGCGAATGCTAATATTGACTTACGATTAAAATCAGAACTTCGCAAAAAATATATCAGCGACTTCAACTCATTCGCGTCTGCAAAGTGACGCTAAAAGCATTCGTCTGACGAAACTCGTGAATCTCATGGAACACATTTGTTTCTCGAGTTAGCATATAAACATCGCTATTAACTGATATATGGCGGCAGTCATTCAATACTGATGTTTCGGTCTGAATGTTAACGGGGTGATTCTAAAAAATAGTTTGTAACCGAATATCAGCCTCTTCATCTTATTGTTAGCATCAGGGGTCTCTTTCGAAGTGTATTTTCTTGTTAAATATGTATTTATCATATATTGTATGTAAAAAATGTCTCAGTACATTTCGATGCGCATTGCTAAGAATCATATAAATTTTTCTCTGACGCAATCTATTGTATTCGAAATCCATTGATAAGAAAATCACGTATGTTTCAATAGAGTATCTCTAAGACCGATCGGCCACGCAACCGTGGTTCTTTTGTCGTATTTCATTAAGTAATCGATGACCGAAGCATTTACATAATTCAATATACGTTTGCTTATTCCATTCGTAAAGACAGCCAGTATCGCTGTCTCATAATCACAAGCTATTTCAGAATATGCTTGTACGAGAAGCCGGTACATGTAATTATTAAGGCTTATACTCTCTCGTCTTGGCAATCGAATGACATCGCGCGATGGAGTTTCCGGGAAACTATTATTTTTAGTTCGGTCTCTCTCTCTCTGTAATCATACCGTGAAACACGAATATTGAAACATAACGATACAAGATCAGCACGCAATGGGATTTTTCTAACTTCGCTGGGCGCAGAAGCGTCGACAAAATAATTAAATAAGTTCAATCGCGTTCTCATGCCGTGTGCGACTAACACAGGTGCAAGCCAATAATTTATTAAGTAAGCTGGCGCAATAAACGATATATGCAATTCGCCGTTTACAGCTTTACGCTGTATTATTTTGTTACGTAACAATCGCATACAGATGTTGACGTTAAACATAACATCACGAAACGCCAAATATCAGTTACGAAAGGACACAGTCATGAACTCGTGACTATGGTAATTTATTATTATTACTCATTCTGACATTTTTTCACGATCTTCAATCAATGAAATTGTTAAAAATTGCGTTTTTCGTTGTTAAATGTTTTTTTTTTTATTTTTTGATACAATCAACGAACGTGTTTTCGATGCGTTCGCGAATCGAGAGCGCATCGCGATAAATATAAAAGCCACGATTTATGGGGGCTCGCTGGTAGCGGGGACCAATAGCTGTCGTCAGTCATCGCGACGTCGAGCGTCGGTGGCAAAATGCATCTGGACGATCGCCAAATTCAAAAATAAGTCGAAATTCGAAGGAATCGCTCGATCGTCAGCAGAGCCGGCTCTACCGCTTTTCAACAGCCACCAGCACATAATCGATTTACGAAACAGCACGACGACGAGGACACTCCAGGATGTCCAAGATGATTCAAGATGATTACAACATTAGCGAATTTTTTTATATCTCGCTATATATAGATCTTAATGAATCACGTTGATAAAGAGACTTGTAAGTCGATTCTTTTGAAGCAGCGATCTCTCCTCTCGATGAGTGTACTATTAAAATTTTGGAGGCACAATCATCGTTCAGAATGATTCATAAAATGAATTTTAGGCGTCTCAGACTCATCCTACGAGAAAAAAAATAATGTTACAATTAATCTCAAGATTTTCAGAATAAACTTTGATCAAAGTTGCTCCCTTATTTGTGGGGGTTGACGCAAGCGTACGCTTGCATTGGCGTGTGCCAAAACGAAATCGACCGTAATTTAAATCAGGCGATTTGTATTTTTGCACTGGGTTTTCACTTCTGTCTCAATGACTTCCATATATTTCGCGCCTATCTTCCGGGGGATCGATCACAATCCTTATAAATCTCTTCGGCTACGTGATATAGATGAGACGTTCAGTGAGAGTAGTGGGCGAAGTGGGAGCAAATGGGGGATGGGGGGTCAAAGGAAAGAGAGGGGGCAACAGAACGATAGACAGCCTTTTGAGATCCCTCGGTGACCAGTTTAGTTCTGGTTGGCATCCGAACCGCATGTTGCGCAGGGTCCAAGGATGACACAATAATCATTCTTCGATTGAAGACAAAGATTGCAATCGATTTGCCAAATGACGTAGAAAAACGATAATGAAATAATTATGCTGCATATGTACGTGCTCGAGACGTTTGTTGTTAGAAATCGTATTGGTGTTTGTGCAGTTTGACGTTTCTGTGAAGCAGATACGGTTTAACGACTGACAATTACGCACGTGTGGTGCTCAGCTGTTACCTGTCAAAATTAACTAATGTGTTATTTCTGAATTATGAAATATTGAAAGTGCACTATTGTGCAGCGTGAGACACGTTGAACTTAAGGTTAATAAGAATGACAGCTTATTTATTTAACAAGTCCATGAAATATGTATCTATAGGGATACTTAAATAAGTGAAGGGTGATTGCTGGCGTTCTGATTGCAAATACGTAATTTGTGTTTGCAACTCATTTCTTCTTTATTTTTTTTTTTCCTAAAATATTTAATCGAAAAGACTAGATTTTTTCTCTTTTCCCTCTTTTTTTCTCTCCCTTTCTCTCTACATAAAATCACCGATAAAATCATTTACGCATTTCCGTGCGTGAAAACGTAGAAAGCAAACTTGTTTTCGATTTTACATGCTTTTATACCCATTTGCCATTGGTAAATGACATTTATGAAAAATCAACGCACACATTTTCACTCCGAGTGAGAGGCAGAAAGAAGGAAAGGATCGTTGACAGAAACGTTAGTATCGACTCTCGAGCAGTATACTTTACGGGAGAACTTGAAAGTAATATCGTTCACGTTGATATTTTTTTAAAAAGTGTTTAACAAATCTCAAGAAACACCTGTTCCATTTTCAAAGGCAATTAAGAACGCCTGGTTTGTATTAATTTGAATTTGCATCGACGTTACACATTGAAAATTAACGAAGCTACTCGGAGAATCACGTTACGAGCAAAGGTCACGAAGAACAGATATGAGACCGAGTCGTCGTCAGTACGTGGTCTAAGAATATCACAGTGTGGATCGTTGAACCGGGATTTCCTTTCTTCTTTCCACGTGTGTCGAGGGAGAAATAAATCAGAAACTTTCTCCGACGACGCTTGACTCGACAGTATTCCGTAAACGATGTCGGGAGATACTACGTCCGATGACGAGGGATCGCAAGAGGATCCACCGCGATACGATATTGACGATTTAGAAATGATTAAGACTATCGGTAAGTTCGAAAAAAAATAATAGAGATGCTTTCTTAAAGACACAGTTTTCTAAATTTTTGTTTAACTATCATTCTCACCTGTATATAAGGATATTTTTTCAAATCATGTAATTGCCCGGAATAAATCAATTAAAATTCTTAAATGCATTATCTTAACTTCTGAATGTACTTATAAAAGATTGTACAAATTTTTATATATAAAATTACAAATTGAGAAAATCATGTTACTAAGCAATAAAAGAAATTAGGTCAATAAGAAATTATATAAGTATGAAGAATAACAAGACGCAAATAGAATCAAATTAATATACTTAATTGAAAAATAATATTTTGAATCACAAATTTGAACAAGCGGGAAAGAATAAAGTATCTTTCTCGAAGTAAGGAAGTGGGACACTGGAGAGTGAGAGGGTATCCAGTATATATTTAACTGCTTGTTGAAGCCGGAATTATGTGGGAGAGTGGTCGGAAAATTGCAGATACTCGATTCACGTGTACGTAAAATTTTCTCTTTTTTTTTTCTTTATTTTTAGCCTTAGATGTGTACTTATAAAATAAATTATAAAACGTAACTACGCTTTAAAAAATTTTTTAATTTTTAAAATTACTTTTTTCATAATTTTTTAAACGTTTCCTGGACTTCTGTATTGCCCGGGTAATTTTTATTCGCGCGACACGTTATATCTAAATTCGTGTTATTTAAAGCGTCTACGCCATCACCGGAAGCACTTCGTCGTCGTTTTACCGTTGACACCTGTTCCGAGCTTTAGGTAGACGACGTCTATGTATTGCTTTTGCTACGCAGCCAATTTCGCTATTCCGATACAAACCGTGCTCTCTTTCAGAGAGTAAATATATACGCGCATAAATATGCTAAACCTTGTGGTAGCCGCGCTGCAATGTGATGGTCAATTTCGGGGTTTAATTTAGCCAGAGCTCATTTGCGCGCGCACGCTAATTGGTTACGGTACGTTAACTGGAACAACCGAGTCACCTGCATTCGTGGGAAAGTGCATTAAACAGAGCGCACTGCGCAATGCACATTGAGATTAAAAAAGAATGCCGGGAGCGTTGGCAATTAACTTCAATGATTGATTCGAATAAATAATATCTCGCAGCAGCAGGTACTTGTTATTTGTTATTCGAAATTGTCTTGCACTACTTATATTTTTATTTTACTCTGTTAGATTGACGATAAAAATAAGAATATACATTTCATTAGCGAAGAAAAAACCGTCAAAGCAAAGAGCGTACACGGAGAGAATTTTCTCTTTGAATTTACCCTGAAAATTATAATAATTGGAAGAATTTTATGAGTTTTTTTATTAATATTTGCTATAATAAAAAATAAATATGTACATAGTAAATTTTACTATGTTCTTAGTAAAATTAATCGAACATATTTTATATCTTATTATGGACATTAATATTTTTTAGTGTGGTGTAAATATTAATCAGAGAAACTCTAATAAAATCTAATAACTCTAATAAAATCTATACCATATTGGCCCATAATTATTATGATTTTCAGGGTAAATTCTAAGAGAAAATTCTCTTTGCGTAGTAAAAGTTTATAAATTTAATTCACAAATAATAAAAATTGATATGGTATAAAATGATTTCAAGATGATTTCAAGTTTAATTTATATAGATATAGATAAATTCGCGCGCATATGCAAATTCCAAATAATATATTTACCTAAAAATGTCGATACAATTTCCAGGCACAGGCACATTTGGCAGAGTGGTTCTCTGCAGGCACCATGGAACACCTCTCGCTCTGAAAATCCTTTCCATGGTCGACGTGATCAGATTGAAGCAAGTCGAACATTTGCGCAACGAAATCACAATCCTGAAAGAAGTTAAACATCCTTTTATCGTCAACATGTAAGTATTATATTTATATATTATCATTATTAATCGTATAAAAAATACATTATTTTGAAATAACGATAATTATCCTTCTTCTCTCCTCCCTTCTTACTTCGAACATGAGATGTAATCATATCCAAAGGAATAAAGAAAGTGATGCGTTTGTCGGTCAAGGAAAGGATTTACGCGAAGATCGTTAAAGTGTGGTCAGGACTAGAGAGAGCGATATACACAATGCTGATTGACTAGTTTGTGCGATTAAACAGTCGGATAGAAGCGAGAGAAATCGATACGTTCTCGAGAGAAAACGCTTTTTTCAATCAGAATTGCGAAAGTCGAGATTTTGCTCGCGTAACAACCCAGCTTGTTTTTCGTCTTGTTTTTCAGCTTGTCTTTCATCTTTTCAGGCTCTGGAGCGGCAGAGATGAAGCCAGAGTGTACATGCTACTGGAGTTCGTTGCCGGTGGAGAACTCTTTTCTTATCTAAGAGCGGCCGGAAGATTCGCCGGACCTACCAGCTGTTTCTATGCGGCCGAATTAGTTTGTGCTCTAGAGTATCTACACAGCAAGCACATAGTTTACAGGGATCTCAAGCCGGAGAATCTTCTCCTAGACAGTCAAGGCCATCTAAAAATCACCGATTTTGGCTTTTCGAAAAACTTACAGACAGGTGAGTCGATTAAAAAAAGAATTTCAGTAAAATAATATTTAATAAATCGATAAGATGTGTTTCCCCAGATTTAACTATTCTAAATATTTTAATATTCTGTATATTGCTATATTTAATATAATATATATATATATTTCTATATCTAGATATTATTTATTTCTATATAGTATTAAATTGCTATGTATAATATACATATATTATAATTGTTTTCAAATTAATTCTTGTATATAAAAAGTTTAAATTGATAGAGACCACCTATTTTTGAACATATTTATTTTTAGGACATGGACTTTGTGTGGTACGCCAGAATATTTGGCGCCGGAAATAATTCAAAGTAAAGGACACAACAAAGCGGTGGACTGGTGGGCGTTAGGTGTTTTAATATACGAAATGCTGGCGGGATATCCGCCGTTTTTTGACGACAATCCATTTGGAATCTACGAGAAGATCCTGAGTGGTAGGATAGAGTGGCCGAAACACATGGATCCTATCGCGAAAGATCTCATCAAGAAATTACTGGTCGCCGACAGGACGAAGAGATTGGGAAACATGAGGCAGGGTGCTGAAGACATCAAAAGGCATCGATGGTTCAAATTAGTCGAGTGGCCTCTGGTAATTTTATATCAATTTAATTAATTTCGCGGTAATCCGAGATTTTTTCTTTTAATTAAATAAAAAATAACGGGAATGAAAAATTATCGCTTGCGTCTCTGTCCTTCGTGATATCCTGAAAATCGTAGTTGAATCATCGATCCATGTTCATAGGTGCCGCAAAGAGCCTTGACACCTCCGATAAGGCCACGTGTGAAAGCGCCAGGTGATGCAAGCTGCTTCGACGATTATCCTGAAACCGACTGGCGCTCTCAACCACCTTTACCACCAGATCAACTAGCTCTATTCCAAGATTTTTGACAATAGTACGATCGATCGAATAGTCACAATATTTTGCACGCAATTTCATCGAGGCACTACTGTGCGCTAAATAGAAGAATTCACTCTGTGGTATAGAACCAAACGTGATCACAATTCGATAATACATACATGACATATATGTTTGATAATTAATTTTCTATTCTGTGTAAATAGATGACTTTTTATATTTGGTTGCGTATATTGCTTATTTATTTGTATGTGTGCGTTTTCTCTAGATTAGGCATTCCGTTTTCATTGTTCTCGTGAAATTTTGTAAATAAAAAATAGAGTATTATTTTGACGAATTTATAAATTCTAATTATCTACTTGTACAAATTTTTGACAAAATCTTTATCTTATGTTGCTATGTATATTGCACTGCATTCTAAATTTATAATAATACGTTGAATAAAATCGATTTATCATATTTCAGTGATCATCAGAAAATGAATTCACTCAAGATACATGCTGTATTTATCTGATAACGAAATATAATAGTTTTTCATCGATTACATTTGATTAATTTTGCAAAGCATAATAAAAAATGTAAAGCGAACCTTGACATGCAATATTTATATGTTTGATCAATATAACTCTCCACGTGCGATAAAATCCTCATAATTCTGGTCAAACAATAGTATAAAGTAATTTAACGTAGAAGAAACATTGTCGGTATATTAAGCGAGGCATTCTGCAGCAGTGATCATTAGCGAGAGAATATTAAGAAATAAACGTTCTAACGTGTCTGCATCATGATGCTAAACGATTTTCGAAAGAAAAGGCATGCAGTGAATCGAATCATAGTGGATCAAATGGAAATTTCGAAGAAAACAAACAATGAATTATTCGATCGCTACATCAAATCGTATCGTGATCAACCGAGAGAAAATACGAAACAAATTGCCCGTGAGTTACTGCAAGAATATCTGTATGACAGTTCGCTGCACGGTGTGAAATACCTTGGCAAATTACGAATAAAATCCACCACTCTCGGAAAGGTCTTCTGGACTTTAATTATGATTGGCAGTTTTTTATGTGAGTAACAAATATATAAAGAGATCTAATATATATATATAAATCTTTTATAAAATATTTTATACTTTAATACAAGCGTGCAACGATACATTTAAGATATATTATAATTCGTCGGATATAAGCGATATTTTTCTTTTAGTCTTAAGTTGGATGTTTTGGAAAACCTGGATACGTTACAGTACTAATCCGACTCGTACCATCATTGAATCGTTTCATAGCCCAGTAGCTCTGGTACCCTTCCCAGCTATTACTGTGTGTCCATTAGTAGTACCGCCGATTGCAAGACGCTTAAAAGTATTGAAAGATTTAAAGTTGCCACCCAATATGAATAACGAAACGGTGATGTTCTTGCTCAAGTATGTACATTTTTTATTAAAACAATGACACCAAATCTTGAAAGACACAACTTTGGTAATATCTAAACTATTTATATATTTAATTGGAAATTTTTATATTTTCTCAGATATGGTGTCCTATTTACGAACAATCATATTACCGCCGGGAGAAGGTACTTAAATGATTTACAAGCTCTGTTAAACGCAAACGATCTAACAATAGTAAAATTTTTACAACTTATGCGACCTTGCGAAGACTTTTTTGAGTCCTGTTGGTGGGAGGGAGTTGAGACGAATTGCAGCGAATTGTTCAAATTTTCTTACACTTTCTCGGGTGTGTGTTGTTCCTTTAATTATCTTCTTCAAGATGACATAAGGACTGGCAGGTAATTATATATTTGTTTATTTATATTCGAATTGATTTAATTGTCTCACTCGCATATAGCTTTATTTCGAATCAAATTTCTTGATTGAATTAGAACTACGCAGGACTCCGATCTTCTTAAATCTATGTTGTTTGGACCAAGAGCCAATCTTATAGCTGTCATACGAAAAGATTTGATGAACTTAACCGAAGATAATAAATCCATCAGATTTGCGACAAATTCCGTCGGTCTTTTGGTATATAAAATTAACATTATATTTTGTTTTTAATATTTTGAAGTATTATGCAAAATAATTATATTTCTATATGATATAGTCATAAAAATCATTTCTATGGAGATATTTCCTTTCTATCTTTCCTTGTTTTCAATTGCATACATCCAATATACATATATTAATTATATATATATTTATAAAATAGATATTTCCTCATCATCCTCTGGAATATATCGGACCTATAGCTACTAGAGAAATTTTACAAATAAACCAAGAATTGCGGGTAATCGAATATTAGATTTCTTCACGTAATATTATAGCAAAAAAATCATTAAACATTTTTCCAGTATGTTTCTCGCACAATATATAATTATTTTGTAATTGTTTATAATTATATTTGATACTTAGGTCTCTGTGATTCCATTTACCAAGCGAGAGATCGGCGAATATTATTATCGAAATAGTCACGGTAAATTGGTCCCCCATTGTGCAGACGAAAAAACTAACAAGTTGAAATATTTTCCTACATACAGATATTCAAACTGTTTTACTGTTTGCTCTATCGACGCTATTTATGAAACCTGTGATTGCTTGCCATATTATTACACACCTATAGCAGAAAAATATTCTTTAAGAGTAATTAAGAGATTCTTTTCAAAAGTCGGTCTTCTTCAACACGTGTAGCTTTATATACATATATTAATATACTTTAATGCCTGTAGATCTGCAATTTTCAAGATTTCGACTGTCTTTCTATGATAAAACGAAATTTTACGTGTGAATGTGTAAATCCATGCTGGAATGTATATTACGAAGTACGAAGTTCCTCGCTGTTGTTAAATAATAGTCACGATTTCAATATTATACCGATGTAGTAAGTTATAATAAAATAATAATGAATTTTGTTATTCTTGAAATATTTTTCTCTCTTCTCTTTGCACATAATCATACATACATATCTACATATATGTATAGAATGTATATTACTTCTTCTAGTCGGAAGCTTACAGACACTCAATCTGTTCTAAGAGTATTTTATAATGGCGACGTTTTTACTCAAACAAATACAATACCGATTGCTGATGAATTATATTTGCTAGGTAAATAATTATAGTATATATTTGCATATAATAAATTGTTTCAAAGTCTTAATTTAAAAAAAATTATTTTTCAGCATCCATAGGCGGCATATTTAGTCTTTTCCTGGGAGCCAGTTTTATAAGCGCCGTGGAAATTTTTTATTTCTTCGAATTATTTTTTCGTTCTTATTATAACTCCAAAAAATCGAAATAATCATCATCGACCGGAAATGTTATTAATAATGTACCAAATATCGTACGTAAGATAAAGAACCATATATGTTATGCTCGTTAATTATAATATATCTTATCGCATTGTCATGAATAAGTAATTGTGGAAAAAAAATTGTGCAAAAAATGACTGCCACCTTTTTGTCGACATTTAGGTCGTTTTTCAGATCGTTTACTGGGTGTACGAGTGCCGCATCGTCAGCATCACGAATCTGGAACGATTAGATCTATTTCGAGCGGTTACTGGAGCGCTGCCGTAACATTTAAGTCCACGCCCGTGAAAAGATTTACTACGAGTGTCCTATAATCGTGTCCGACAATCTTTAGAATCACAAATTGTGCAGAAATTAACCAAACTATACGGATAATACTATTGCAATTTTCGTTCTTCTTTAGGTACTTTCTCGGTTGTCCAATGTGTGATCAATTTTCATTAATATACATATATATATATAAATTTATCTCCTGTGATATACGTATATTTCGTCACCGACACCTGCACGCACCTGTTTATTAATTTTGGCAATAATATAAGGGATAGTTCTCAAAATAATCAACATGGAAAGATGATGATTTATCGAAATGAAAGAAGTAGCAAAAAAAAATACAGAAGCCCGCGAGACGTTAAAGACCAGCAAACTTGCTATTTAATTTCGCAAGTATAAGAAACATAAAAATGGTTGAATAAGATATCGTGAAAAAGAGAAGATACTTCTCAGATACGAAAGTGGATATTTATATCATGAAGAATATCTCAGAAGTTTCGAATAAAATAAGCGAGTAATTCGATACTCGAGTCATACGGTTTTAGGAATCTCTGTCTTATGCAATATTTGAAAGCTTTTAATGCACCGCGGGTTAATTGCGCACCTTGAAACATTGAAATGTGTACTAATCACGTCATCTATTTTTGTGAATGCTGTCGAAAATACTGATTTAGTTCTACGTGAACGTATGGTCGAAAACTTTGAGAGCTGGAAGCGTCAACTATTTTTGGAGTAAACGCCCACATATCTTTCGCAGACACACCTTCCGCGTCTCTCCACACCGTTCTGTATTTACACTTCGCAGCAAAAATCATTTTTCATAATTATATATATATTTTTTAGATCACAGCTAATCAATATGTATAGCAGCACAAATTATTTTCGGAGAGACGAAATAAATCATAAAATAAACTTCAGCCGGTAGTCTAAACGAAGAGATTTATTTTATAGTAACATATATTGTAGTAATAGATTTTTTTTGAAGATATACTACGAACAAATTTCAAGAAACTAGATGTCGCAATCAAATCAAATAAACGAGATGGACTCGATATGAACGCATATGACTTGATATATTTATTTCAGTGATTTCAAATGAGCATAGTTTAATGACGATGTAAATTTTAACTAGAGAAATGTTAATGAGATAATAAATTGGTTTAAGTGCAGATAAAGTGTCCATTGCTAATCATTCCTTAGCAGATATAATTATTGTAATATAAATAATTAATTTTTAATAGATGGCCGATTTCCACGACAGAGTAACAAAAAATAGACGTAAGATGATAGAAGAGAGAGTAAGCCCTTTAAAATTTTCCTATTTTCTAGTGAATTTATTATTGAATAATTTTTGTCGTAAAAATCGGTCATTAAATAATCAAAAGCGATTTGTATAAAACATGTGTCTCTAGATACCAAGAGAAAATGTAATAAGTGATGGTGAGAATCGATAAGCTTTTCGAAGGCTGAGGTGTCCATCTTGGATCCTCCAAATGCATCCTCCTTTTGAAGGTGTCTTCCCTGTGTTCTTCAACCCTAAAAACATATTATATTTAAGATAATTGAAGTGCAAATCGAGATATTTCCTTAAGTTATGTTGATAATTCAATTGTGATTGATCTATAATGTAGTATCACAGAAACGTAGCATAAGAGAATGATCATAAAATGAATATAATTAATGTCCAATTATAACGAAATTGAAATTGCACCTACTGTTCGGAGATTTCAACGACCAACGTAACAATATCTTCAATATCATAGTCTTCTATGCAATTTCTCATATATATACCAACATATATTTAATGTTATAAATATATTTATAATTCAAATAATTTTGGTACAAAAAAGAAGCAGAAGTCATTCGATACCAAAATGGAAATAAAATTATATTTAGAAAATCTGAAAATCCACTTCTTGATTTTATATCCAAACTACTGAAAATCAGTAGTTTGTATATAAAATCAAAATTCAAATATATTTATTGATAGTAACTTACCATGAGGAATGTCTGCTGTGATTAAAAGAATAACCCCGAGTATAATACCCAAAGTGAAATTAATAGAAGAATAAGGATGAAGTATGTCATCAAAATGTTCTGCGTCTCGTTGGCTGCTGATCGTGGCATTTTTTTATCAGTATGGAGAGCACGCTCTGTATTGTTTGCATATAAAATGTATTACTATATATTTACCCCCGATAAATTTATCTTACTCTTATTCAACATAAATCAATCATTCGTGTCTAAGTTTATATATATCTGAAGCAAAATAATATTATTAATTGTTATCTTGTTTTTTATATTGAACCAATTTCCAGTAATTAACAATTATAAATTGTATTTATAACATTATCATAAGTTCCACTAATATTTTAATTAATCTCATTGCAGACAATTGATCGATCTTTAATCGAAGAATAACAGTGATATACTCACGAATTTTGAATTATCACAATTTGCGAACGTTTCGAACGAAAACTTGCTATAATGCTTGAAATTTTATTTTTAATTATAAGCGTTATTATTATATATACGAAAACACAAAATTGTTGATTGTTTGTATTCGAGGTAACTCGAATTCAGGAATACGTTCCTCGCCGTCTTACGTGCAATGATAGACTAGATCATCCGGCGCAGGATCCGCGCACTCGGACCCTCTATGCGATCCCGAAATTCCTCCAGGAACCACCAGCAACCCCACCCGTTCATTCGCGCATACCGTGTCGCACCTTCTCACCAACCGTCTTCTGCTTCAGGATTGGTAGAGAAGCAGATCCCACCATCAGCTAATATCGGAGAGCACATAACGAATTCCGCTACCTCGGAGTTATATTAAGGCATTGTAAATGTTAGACGTAACTTCCTGATAAAAATGACTTCTGGATCGTTTCGCCGAATAAACCGACGAAACGCGACAAGTTGACAGGTTCAAGATCATTGTGAAATTAATATGCCTTGGGGCCATTAAGCATAACTTGAAAATTGCAATTCATATTATTCGCAAAACTCATTCGACTCCGGGGATTGCCAGAAACTCGGTTGCGCGCGATTGAGCTTTCACTCTTCAACCGATGTGCGCCAATATAGAAGGCCGTCCATCATTTTCGAGCCTCGGTTTAAATTTAACTCGTTTAGTCAGACATCAATCTCAATGTGGACAATGTACAAACACTTCCGACCTGAACTCCAGTTAGTCGTTATGTAACACGTTTTCACGTACGCATAAAACACGTACCAGATATTTCGCACTAGATAGAAATTACTATCCACGAAAACAAATTTAAACTTAGATCTATGAAATATTTTAAATTATATATAATATATTGAGTCAATCTGATAAAATATAATGTCAGTAACTCATAAATAACTAATTAGTCATTTAGCAATTAGATAAGTGATCAATTAGCAAAAAATTGTAGCAATTTTAATTATAATTATTTATTGTTTAATGTATAATACATATTATGTATACTATACTGTTAACAATGCTATATACACTGTATACACTTTTATCTATAATAAATAATTGGTAACTGTAATAATTTCTAATTTTTATGGATTTTTTGAAAAATTTCATAGAAAAAATATTTATAATAGATAGATACTAATAAATTTTCTGACACATAAATATACATATAGGCACGCAAATATGGCTGCAATAACTTTGAATACAACATGATACTGCACCTTACAAAAATAGTATAAAGCAAAACTTTTGTATATTTACGTATTCACGAAATAAATAGAAATTTCGTCTTATAAATTGCATATTAATATACACATTGCGAGACGTTTCATATGACTTGACTTAAGAAATTAATAGTAATTCTCTCTTGGCACAAGCAAAACACATTTTAAGTTTTTTTTATTCTCTTTAATCTAATTATTCTCAAATTTTCTTTTGGCACGAGACTGCGCATATTTCATAACTTATGTGAAACAGTTTCTACATATTCAATTACTTATCTAACACAGCTTTGTATATCTTTATATATTTCAGATATCTGTTACACATATATAAATCTTAATTTTGATTACTTGCTCATATTGATAATGCTAAATTGCTTTTACAATACGTTTTAAAGTGTAAAAATAAAATATATACACATAGGCAAAATTTATATATGATTTTCTTAAATCATTGATTTAAGAAAGAATTCTAGAATATGTTATAATATGAGGTAGCGCAATATTTCTTTTATGTAAAAAAGAAGTCTCTAGCTTACCAAAGATCCGCTCAAAGCTTTGTCATGAAAATCGAAATCTACGATTTTAGAGAGGACATCCATACATATATATAATATACATTTATAATATGCAGTAATTATTTATCCTAATGCATGAAATTGCGTGTTTACATTATGTAAATTTTAAACACGCAAGAGAAACTACTATTAGTGATTTGACAGTACTTGTATATCACGTACATGTCTCTGTTAATATTAACGAGCGATTTAAGCCAAAGAAAATCCCAGTACATCCTCCAACGAGTAGTCGAACAACTTTAAGTCTAATTTGTACAGATCTGCTAGTTTACGAAGTTGCTTGTAGCTTAAAGTAGAGTAATATCTATCTAATTTGCTCGATGTCGGTTCGCTGCTTGATGGTTTAGCTGGAAAACTAATGCAAATAATTATTTTTCAATAAAATTCTCAACTCCGACATTTTTTATCAATTTTATTACTCTTTGTCATTATTGTCGCATACTTACTTTATAGACGTGACTCCTATCCGTTCGAGAACTTCTGTCGCATCTTCGACCAAACTCTCGTATTTACTTATGAGATTGTAATTAACTATACACGGTTGGCACAACTCGTATATCGATCTCCAATGTTCATTTCGAGTTCCATTCTCAGAATCATCGGTGACAAAATCGACAAACTCGCGAAACGTCACATCATCGCCATTCTTTAAAGACTCTTCGGTGGCGTTCGACCTGTATTTCTAAGTAAATAAAAATATATCATTAACATACAATTTAAAAGCCATTTATGTCTTAATATTAAGTTATTTCGTCTTCATTTGACTATAAAGTCTGTCATTAACGGTTAATACGTTAAAAGTAGGACAGTCTGCAATTAAGTATGTAATGATATTCCAGGATTCCGCAATTATACGGTACTTCTAAATATGAAATTACTGAAGAAGTAAGCATTTAGTACTCTCTTGTAAGGTCTGACTTTTTGCATGTCAATTCACGCAATCCGCGATATAACTTGCTTTACAATAATATAAAGATTTTTGAAGCATCTCTATATGCGCTCAAGTTTATTCGCTAAGATTTATAATACTCTGCACATATTCCAAAATTCTGCAAAAAATTGTGTCAAATTTAAAATAAGTTGTTCTTTACTTTGACAATTTTCTTGCCGAAACGGCTCTGGAAATATTTCGCACTTTTCTCGTGTTTAGTCTCGAATTTATTTCGATAAGCCGATAGAAGCCTTTCCAGAGGATGTCGCACGACAATCAGCTTGTCATACGTCGCCAATTTCTTCTCTATCTCGGGCAAGGTGTAATTGTTCAATCGTTGAAAAGTACCCGGGGAATGAGCCTCATCAGCCGGTATTTTTAAAGGATCATTACCGGGCCATTTTCCGGTCGCGATCATTAGTACACGCTTCCAATTTGTGCAAGCTACCTGAAAGAAAAATTGTTTCGCTTTAGAACACATATGCGAGAAAGTAGTTTTAATATTTTCCTTAAATATGCAAATTAATCTCTATTATTATTTTCACAAATTCTTACAGATAATCTCAATAAAAAATTAATTTAGCACCTTTGGAACATAGCAATAGAGCAATTCATGCAATTCGTCCACAAGGATATTTCGGAACGATTCTGGATTTAACTCATCATTATCGGCCTTGTTACTCTCAAGCTCACAGTTATACTGAAGTCTTTCCTGTCGCTCCACCAAGGCCGATCTGGCCAAAGCGTTTGGCCCTGTCCACGAATAAATGTATTTATTCGGCTCGAACGATTTCCTGTCATCTTCATTTACAATAGTTTGCACGACGTTCGCATTGTTTGCGTTTGCGATCGTTTTCCACGTAAAGATAACGACGAAAATTATCCTCCACATTCGACATCCTGTCATCGTTTTCCTTTGTCCACCACGGGCATTGAACTTCTTCCAAAAAGATAACACTATTTTATACATCTTTTTATTTCACAAAAGCAACATTAGAATATATAAAATAGTTTTATGAAGTCGAAATGTTAGGTATATTTTCTGTGTTATTGTCAAATTAAACAAATATATGTAATTAAAGCGGAAAAATGAATTTTTGTGTTAATGTCAAATTAAACAAATATATGTAATTAAAGCGGAAAAATGACTACTATGATTAAATTAACGATTAGCTTGACGAGTGAATGAGATAACATCGACACAGATGAAAGGCAACTCCCACCCTTTCAGAGAACTTTCACAATACGCACGCGATAAAATAACCCAAATAAAATTTATACATTTATATTAATGATACAAAAAATTTTTAAATATACAAAATATTTAGGAAATATGTATAATAAATACTTTATATAATTGCGCAATTATATGTAATTAAAGTAAATTATTTATTATAATTATTAAATAGAAAAAATATTTATAGTCAAAAAGATTTTAGGTCTAGATAATGTATATGATATTTTACCACACGTTTCTAAAATAAGAAAACAAGCATGTTTATAAAATTTATATATAATTATTAGCAATAAAAAAGCTAAGTAGGTAGCTGCAGTCATCGATGCGGACATGAAAACCTGATTTACTTAGAACAGGAAACGAAGAAAATAACAAAAATCAACAATTGCTCCCAATGATAGTCTTATTTTCACGTCAATTTCCAAGCTAATTTTTTACACGATTAGTGATTGACGTTACAAAAAGTAGTGTAATTATTGTTAAACATTTTTGGAGAGATATATGATAACATGATATATTTTTCCTTATTTATAACTTATTTGTGCATAGTAACATACATTGCGTTGCAAAATGTATTTTTTTTCTTTTTTTATAATTTTTTTATTTTGTATCTTTCGTCTATTAGTGTCATTGATCGCATTTTTTTTTCTTTGATAACAGACAGTGAGGAATGAATGCAACTACTTTGTAGGTCAATGTTACGGTCACAGCACAAGAAACGCAAGTATATAATCATATTACAATGCAGACAAAATCATTTCTTTGATATGCGTGATTATACTTAAAAAACCGAATTACGAAAGTAGGCAGCAATTGTATTTTATATTTAGAATTGCTTTTGAAAAAATTTCAATGTAATATTGTTGTGCAAAATAGTAGCTTGAAAATTGATTATCTTCTTTGAATACAAAATTATTCTTTTTTATACAAAAACCTGGCAAGAAAAGAAATTATTTAATAGACATCGTTTTTTGAATAGACCTTTAATAGACTCGTTCTTTTTTAAAAAAAGAGAATCTCTATAAATCTATCTTAATCTACTCAAAAAATGACGTTAGAATGAAAATTATTACAATGTAGTTAAATTATATTATGTTAAATATTATTGATGACTTTACACTACTTTTTGTGAAACGTAAAGCAATCTTATCTGAAATGTAAAAATAACGATGGAATATCATATCAACGTCAAATGACAAAGTTCAGCCAATCGATATTTTGTTGGAAAAAAAACGAAGCATAATCGCCTGATATATACTTGTAGAAAATACAGGTGCAGGTTATCGCATTTCACGTAGATATATTAAAATCGAAAACGTAATGTAACGAAGATAAGATAAGATCAGTGAATTAAACTGATCGAATTGTTAAAAAATGTGATGCGCGCAAAAGTCAGTCAGGTTATCTCAATTCACAAGCCTGTAAGAAAATTATAGTAATTCCCAAATAAAAATAGGCTGATCGAAACCGGCTGCGGCGGATTTTTTCTCTTCCTAAGAACTATCTTTCGACAAAACTGGAATGCTGCCAAATATCGGATAAATGATCAGGTAAAGATTTTAGATCCGTTCGTTGGAGAATGTACTCGCATGATTCAAACCGGATCGAAAATCAAACCGGACGTTATTGTAATTATATTTCAAAATTTGGTACGCCACATGCTATGCATGTAACAGAAACTTAAATTAAAATGCTTTATAACACGATATTTTCCGTGTCTCTGTAATAACATACTAAAATAAAAAAAATACTAAAATACTAAAAAAATTAATAAATAAAAAATAAAATAAATAACTACAATAAATATTAAAATAAATATGAAATATTTGACTTACTTTTTTCGTAATTCAGCATACGATTCGACCAAGTAGATAAAATATCTTGAAAGCCGGAGGCAAATTCTTCGAAGAGTATCGTTCTTCAACACTTCATGAAGATCTTGATCTTTCAAAAAATAGCGGCACGCCGATAGATTAATACAGACAATTTTTCTCGAGTCAAAAAAATTTTGTTAACTAACTGGAGCTCTTTTAAAGGGCACTTTTCCGCAACTTCAAGCGGAAAGAACGATAGCGACGAAGTGAACTCGCGCTCGACGATGCGAAACGTATCAGCAGATACGTGCACTGTGAAAAGAACACGGAGTGGTCAAGCATCCGAACCGAGTAACAGCCAGTGATCGTCTTAGGTCGCTTAGTAAGCCCTCAGGAATGAAACGAGGATGTGCCGGTGTGTGAGGTGAAAGAAGCTGCGCGCGCCTCCACTCTTCCGTCCTCGTTCTCTTTTCGGTTGTCCTGGATCAGGTAGTCTTTCTTTAATCCGGCTTCATATATCCATGAACTTCGTTCGTTCGTATGTGTACTCAAATAAACCAAAGGCCTCATAATGTAAAATCATACAATGCATAATTGATCAGCTCGTTGAAACATCTGACCTCATGACAAACTTCCGTCAAGAATATATTACCGATTATCATTTTTAATGTTAACGAGTCATCTTTTTTTTTTTTTACAAAATGGCCGAAGAATTTATTTAAATAAAATGAAATAATTGGACACTTTTGTCTTTTAAATATTTTTAAACAAACAACTCATATTTTACATTGTCTTAATTTATGTACTTAGACCTTGCGCTTTGACAGATTATCTCTGACATTTCCATCTCTTTGCGGTTTACTTATGCCCTGCTTTCACTTTTATGTCATATGCAAGAATCATATTCTTGAAAATGTTTTTCTGCTGTACAAATAATCACACGCAATATGATGTAACGTGTGTTGCGTAATTTACACGAGAACATCTATGCCATAGTTATTTTATATTTTAAAATTGATAACGGGCCGTTAATTTATCTCTATTTATATAACAGAGAGATAATAGAATATTTTATGTACGATATCTGAAAACTGCAAATAAGAATTCTAAGAATTCAAAATTGATGTTTCCTTACATTTTCCTCTTTCCATATATGGCATATCAAAAAAACGTTCAGAAGATGAAAATATCTTTAGGCTACAAAATATCTTTGAAATTAAATATCTTAAGGTATCTTTGGGATTTCTTCTGAACGTTTTTGGATATATGTATACATATGCTGTATGAGAAGTGAAAAGATCGAGGAATATTAACTTTCTATTATACTAAAAAAAAATTATTAAATTAATAAATATTTATTTCAATACTGCCTAATCAATCATTTATTTGAAATAAATAAATATTTATTTGTTTTAAAAAGAATTTTCTTATAGCAAATATTATTAGTTTCAAATCAATTATTTATATATATATATTAAGCAGTATTGAAATATTCATTAAATTCAATAAATTTTTTTTCAGTGTAGTTATTAAAAATTGTAAGACTTTTTGAATAAACTTCAGAAACTAAATGGACAACAAAATTAGGTTTTTCAATTAATTTTAAAAATTTAAGAAAATTTTAATATAAGATTTAGTTAAATATATAATATAAAAAGTGAAAATTTGTAATGAATGATGATCGACATATATTTCTATTAATAATAAATTCCAAATTGATCACAGAATTTATCATTAAAAAATTTTTAAACATTTGAATATTGAAAGATATTCACAATTTTATAATATTTATATTTCATCAAATGTTTGTAAATCTCCAGATTATCCATTATCTCCAGATAAGTGAGTTTTGCAGCTATAACTCATACGCTCTAATGGGAAAATAATAGTTGTAATAGTTCGTAGCAAACTCATTAATAATACACTCATCTGCTACTAAATTATAGATCATAATTGCTGTTAACTATATTCATAAAAGTCGACGCTTTGGAGAGCAAAATGTAGGTCAACGAGCTTTATCATTGGCTAACAACGCATCGACATGCGAGTCTACATGCAGTCACCAGCGAAATTGTTGAATCATTAATGAGATAACTGCTGTATCGCAGTCTGCAAAACGCATCTAAAAAGATTCGTTAGTTTCAGGTCATTTTCATGGATAATTTCGTTGTACGAAAAAATATTAATCTCAGCTCTTATTGATAAATCATTTATATATTTTATATTTATAAAATTCAAATGTTTAAAAGTCGAAATTACTTTTCGGCGTACACTTTGGATTGCGAATAAGGCAAATGATTGTATGTATATATAGCGGCACGAGATTCTCAGCGGAGAAAGCGCCGTGACTTCTCGACACTCAGCCGTCTGTACAATCACCAAGCGAAATGACTTTTAGTCTTGCTTCGGTCTTCGTTCTCTTCCAACACTCGATACGCGTAAAAACGTAGACGATCGGCATCGATAGCGCACATAAATATAATAAATAGGACATAAAGGAAGAAAGGCAGCAGCGAAGATTGGATAGATAAAGGTATTATTTAAAAATTCCGGTAAAGGGAACGGCCGATTACTTTCGCAACGTTACCGAAATATTTAATGTAGTTGGGTAACACAATCTCTCGTGAAAATCTTGACTCTCGCGAATGTAGTATCTTTTCAAATGGTGACTTCGCAAAAAGTGCAAAATTCGAAATTATTAATCGTGAACAACTGTCACAAACTTTAAAATTAAAATTTAATCAAACGCGGTTCTTTTTTACACCGCAAATCTGAAATTAAATTGATAAAAATATATTTAAATATATAAATGAGAAAACTTGTTAGTTTTCAAAAAATTATTGCAAATAATAACTTTGTGTTATGTCGTGTATTGTGAACGTTTCAATAATTTAATTTACACACAAAGCAATTGCCTACAATCATTATTAAGTAACAAGTTCAAAATACGGAGCATGATGTTGCATAAAACATATTGCATGAGTATAAAATGATTTTACATATAAAATTGCATTATTAATCTATGTAATTGAGACTATTGACAATCGAGATTATTGGCACTGAGATATAAACAAATCAGTGAACATTTTATTAATGAATGCAAGACCGTCTCGATGTTATTATCATGAGAGGCAAGAATTTTAAGTAAGACTTAATCGGACATTAAAAAGGAAAAAGTAAAACTTTTATTACTGATATATAACACTTGTATATGTATACTGAAAAAAATGATTAAATTAAATATTTATTTACTAAATATTTAATTCAATACTGCCAAATGAATCATTTATTTGAAATAAATAAGTATTTATTTATTTTGAAAAGAATTTTCTTATATCAAATAAATATTTTTCATATCAAATCAATATTATTAGTTTCAAATAAATGATTTCTTTGACAGTATTGAAATAAATACTTATTCGAATATATCAATAAATTTTTTTTTCGGTGTATGCTTTATTTTTTATGTAGTCACTATTTATTTCTTGATATACCAAAAAATGTTTACCCTCTGTATAAACATTTGCTGCTAGAGAGTTCAATACTGCCGTTCTTAATAATTCTCAATGATTCAAGGAAAGTAAGAAATTGCAATACTGAACTGACAGATTTCTCCGGCGATGAATTTTTATGTAGGGGGCATAAAAAAGTTTATTCCTCAGTATGCAAAATGCTCAGAAAAAAATTGATAACTATGTAAAAAAATCAAGTAGAAATGTACAAGTACTGTATCCCTCAATAATAAAAGTTTTCTTTGTTCTTTATTGTTCATTTTTGATGTCCGATCGGACCTTACTTAAAAACACGCCTCGTATATTGCTAGCTATTATTAATATTTGCAATCACCTATTTTAAGTTTAAAAAAATATAATTCGAAATTTTACATTTATAATTTTTAATTTTATATTATAGTGGAAAAAGAAATAAGAAAGCTATTTTCCATGTGATTTTGTTTTAGCATTCTTATAAATAATAAATAATTATACGTAATACAACTACGAAATAACAAGAAAAGATGTCAATGCTCATGTCAATAGCGTTTTGGTTGTTAGTCAGCTTAATTATTTTTTGGATTTTACTTGGACCAGTTACGAATGTTCTGCGTTCTCTATGGGAAATTATTATGCAAATGTACAATAGAAAACCTGTCGATTTAAAAACAAAATTTGGCGAATGGGCTGGTAAGTACAATAAATTATTTATTAGAAATCTTGTAAAAGAGTTTTGTATTTTTCAAATTTAAATTATAATTAATACCTTTGTGTGATCTTTAACTTTAATATATTTTAATTTATAATTTTTTCACTTTTATACAACTTGTTTTTACATAGTTTAAAAAAAACCCGAGAGCAAAGATAATTTCCTAAAAAAATACAAATTTATTATATATTTTTTTATAATTATATAGAAATATTTATTAATTAAGTATTATAAAAATAAATTGTGGTAAACATAAATATTTTAGTTGTCACTGGCTCAACTGACGGTATTGGCAAAGCTTATGCTAAAGAATTAGCAAAAATAGATATGAATTTGATTTTAATTAGCAGAAATTTAGAAAAACTTAAATCGACGAAAAAAGAGATACTACAAATAAATTCAAAAATTGAGATTAAAGTTATAGAGGCGGATTTCACTGAAGGAGAAAATGCTTTTCTCAAGATTCGTCCTCAGTTGCAAGATGTATCCATCGGCATACTAGGTATAATTAAATTTATTTTAATTATAATTATTTAATAATAGTAATTCCGACCTTAACGAAGCGTTATTACTCAATATACTACAATCGTTATTTCAAAAATAGAAATGTTTTTCTATTTTAAGATTAATTATATAATCACGCTAATTTCTCTTATTATAATAAATAGTCAATACGATTTTAATATTATATTCTTTTTATAAAATATACATTCCATAAAAAAATAAACTTTTGTCATGAACAGATGCATTTGTATAAATGCAAATAAACTTATTTCAATTAGAAATAGGTCATGTTAGTGTGTCCGGAGCTATTAAGTATGTGCGAATTCCACTTTCTTTCCCAACCTATCAAAGATTGAAAGAGAGAGAGAGAGAATTCCATTCTCTCATAGAACGGAATATAGACGAAATAAAAGATTCATAAAAAAAATAATGATTACATAATAACGTTTTTGCAGACGATGCTTGAATAACACTTCTTTTTACGCAATCAGATATAATTGAATTATATCTCTCTCAATTTTTTTCTTTAAGTCAATAATGTGGGTAAGCAATATGAATATCCCATGTACGTTGGAGAGGTACCTGAGATGGAACTGTGGGATATTATCAATGTAAATGTGGGTGCGACTACGTTAATGACGCGACTAGTCATCGGACAGATGCAGCAACGTGGACGAGGCGCGATTGTCAACGTCTCTTCCGGATCTGAGTTTCAACCTTTGCCGTTAATGACGGTATACGCCGCTACAAAAGCGTATGTAAAGAACTTTTCCGATGCACTCAGAGCGGAGTACTCCAGATACGGCATCACCGTTCATCATCTGTCGCCTCTTTTCGTCAGTACCAAAATGAACGCGTTCAGTCATAGGCTTCAGGTAGGTTGAATCAGTTATAATAATATTAAAGTGATTAAAGTTTGTTTAAAATTTGTGTATAAAAAAGAACTTATCTTTAAATTATTCAGAGTTCCCTACAAGTTATAATTTTATATTTTTATTTCACACTCTTTATTCTACTCTGCTTGCTTTCCTTAATTAAAATTATTTAAATTTTAATGTACATAAAAATTGCAGATTTCAAGTCTATTTGTGCCTGATGCTACAACTTATGCAAGAAACGCTATTGCAATTCTTGGTAAAATGGATAGTAGTACTGGATACTGGGCACATAGTATTCAAAAGCTCTTCACTTTAATACCGCCTGTATGGTTTAGGACGAAAGTTGGACAAATGATCAACGAGAATTTAAGGCAAGAATATTTCCAACAAAAAGCACAAAAAGATTACTATAAAAATTAGTGTATTGTTACACATTTTTGCATTTTTTAGAATAATTTTGTGAACTAATATACATAGAATAAGTAACAAATTAATTATTATACTCGTTTTTAATATTAAAATTATTTTTAATATTAAAAAGAGAGATAATAAACAAATATATGAAAGTATAGATATATAAAAATCGACAATACACAGAAAGAATTTTTTCTTAAAATTTACCCTGAGAATCATAGTAATCGTGGAACAATATGGTATTGGAAGAATTTTATAAAAGTTTCTCTGATTAATATTTATCACAATAAACGATATTAATATCTACCACAATAAGATATAAAATATGTTATATTAATTTTACTATATACATATAGTAAAATTTACTATATACATATTAATATTTTTATTGTGGTAAATATTAATTAGAAAAATTCTTATAAAATTCTTTCAATATCATATTAATTGTCTCATGATTTTCAAGGTAAATTCTAAAAGAAAATTATTTCCATGTATAATTAAGATATCAATATATTCTTATGAATAATATGTATCATATATTCAACAAAATCATAGTTTGTTTTTTATAGAACATTGACAAGCAAAATAATTATATAAAAACTTGCTTCACTGACAATGAGACATATACGGAAATATATATTACTATTCATTAACAGTATTTTAATGATTAGTTTATTAGTATTGCTTTATTAGCAAATTCAAACTATCCAATATAATTTAAATTGGTTTACATTTATTATTGGTTTACATTGGTACATTTTGGTTTAGTCAAGTACATCTTATAAATAAGAATCATTTAAGAAAATTGTTAAAAATTATGTATTGATTTTATTGGCAAACTTTAGTTTCAAAATAGAAACCAATAAAAAATAAATAAAGAACAAACAATTAAATTAGCACAAACAATTTCTTAAAGATAAGCACGTAAAAAAATTAAAAGTTTCCCAAAATATTATTATACCAAAATTTTTCATTGGGATGCTATAATAATACATTTGTTATATGATCAGAGAAAATTTATACATCTTGGCATTTTTGGAACACTATCAAGCCACATTTAATATCGTCATCAAAATTCAAAGCATAGAATTGCATTAGTCACAATTATTTGTCGATTTTAATAAAATTCCTATTTGATAAATGTTAAATTTGTATTACCTTTATAAATTGTCAGATCAAGAATACAAAATAATTGTCTGACATGCCATAGTGATTAACAAAAAGTGATAAAATTAAAAAAACAATTATTTTATATTGTTTGTATTATTTGTCATAGTAATGATAAATAAATTTAATTTTTTCTGTTTCACGTCAATAAAATATTTATATAGCTTTGATAAAATTGTTTATTTCATGCTTGTTTAATTTTAATAAAAGAAATAAATTTCTTTTAATCAATAATGTGTGTTTTATTTTGTGGTGTGTATTGTATGTAAAAACACTAATAATTAATAATATTGTAATTATTCTCAAATTTATCATTTCTATAGCAATTATTATGATATGTTCGATGCATAAATATATATAAAATACATACACAGAGCCTATTCTGTGACGAGATAAAGATTTGAGATAAATACATACCTAAGAAGAAATAACCTCGCATCTTCGATCGCATTTCAAGCCGGATAAAATGACACTCGATACATTCCGCTTGAATTCCTATCTCCAAATCCCTCGTAGCGACTTCAATTACTTATATCTATTTCACTAGACACTCCCGAGAGAACCGAATAAACTGACAAATGCTTTAATATATCAGAAATAAACTTTATTCTTACGAATCAAGCGAGCAACACTATACGCGAATATCGCATATCGCCATATTTGAACAGTATCGAGATAACTCGATCGAAAGTCTCGATCGAGAGTATCGATTGAGAGTCACGTGACTGCAGTATACGCGAATATCGCATATCGCCATATTTAAACAGTATCGAGATAACTCGATCGAAAGTCTCGATCGAGAGTATCGATCGAAAGTCACGTGACTGCAGTCGCTAAATTTTGGTAGCAGCAGTGTCGACTCTTTCTTTTCCCTTTTGTTATCCATATAGCTCCATCTATATATCTTTTACATATCTATAAATTCGGCGAATTTCTCGAATAAAATCCTAATTGGTTATCGTACAAAAAATCCCAAAAGTTTCCCGCCAAAATCAGTATGTGTCAAATAATACACATATTATTCTAAGAATAATAATTAATTAGGAATTTAGTAAATGAGTCAATATAAGAAATTTCAATCTAATAATTAACTATTACAAGAAGTCTTTAAAACTCTAAAAATTTATTATGCAACAGCTGATCGATATAAGCTGCGCCGCAGAGATCATTAGCCTCGTTCGAGAGAAACAAGGATAGATATATATTCGCGAGCGAGTGAAAGGCATTCCGAGGAGGAAAAAGTCACGTGACCCCCTCGATCGAAGAGCGAGCTGACGTCAAGCAAGCCGAGTCGACCAATCGCACGCCCACGCGTGCTGACGTACGAGAATGCACGAGCGCGATTGGTCGTTCGACCCGCGTCCTGCGTCTCGCGGACGAGAGAGGACGCTCTCGCGGCTCATGACCCAGCATTCTCTATCCATGAAGCTTGCAAGGAAGGTATTAGGGTTTTTTCAACGCTCAAAATACGTGCAAGATGAGTTCGTAGTTTAACGAAGAGCTTGCACACGCAAGTGTGCCGACAACCCCCTAAGTAATCATGGAGTAAGTAAAATACAGCCTGTTATTTGATAAAATATCTGTATTCCGTCTTAAAGTTTCTCGTGTGTGCCACTAAAGAAACCGTGGCCATCTTGTGAATCATCATATCGAACGTGAATCATTGCGACATGACTTTACCATGCTTTCTTACATAAAAAGATTTCTCGTCGCCGAATTGTGTTTTACGTTAATATGTCATCTGAATATTCGTGTCGCAGATGCGTTATTTGTCTTGAACTCGTCGAGATATGTTGCCAGATGATAGCCTCGCATTGCGTCATGACGCGACATGGAGAATTTTGTTTATAACATAACTGTTTAACATCAATATAATTGGGATGTAAATAAAAATCAGCTTCCGCGATAAGCGCAATATTGAATATTACTTTCGAAGAACTGGGTATTTAAACATCTGCACAGTCACTGCTCATTTTTTTAATGTAAATTGAATTTGTGTGCATAATTCTATAAAAAAATAATAATAGCAATAATCACAGAAAAAATATGACAAACAAAAATTAACATTCTCTTTAAAATTAATATACATGTATATGAGTATATTTGTATATATATATATACATATATGTTATTTAGATATTTATAACGATGTGTACTATGTATCTGTATTTTTAATCTTTCTAATTGTATTGTTTTTACATAAAATTTTATTATTTCCAGAGCCATAATGGCGCTCATTACGAGCTACGTCGCTAACCCGACACAAATTTCTTTTTATCATTCTTTAATACCTCTCGGTTGGATTTGCTTGGAAAATGTCATCCAATCAGGACCAGAAAATGAAGTTGTGGAAGGACGAGCCGGTGTCTCCCATTGGGGGAGACACATCGTTGGATATTGAAGATTGGCTATTCGATGATAAGTCTATAGAATTTCCTAAAAATGCTGTGGAGCCTGTTATGTATGATGATAATCCATCCCGTGCACAAGTAGCAAAGAAATTTTTAGAAGAATTGGACGAATATATTAAAGAAGGTAATTGTTATATATGTATTTTCTATTTGTTTTAGTACAATAATCTCAGTAATAATATTTGATGATATTACATTTTACATTCCTTCAAATGAAAGATTAAACGACAGGAATTACATATATACATATGTTAAAATGTCTTCAGTGTTATCAAACACATACAAGTATAAAAAATACCTTGTTATTATAGAATATAATTAAGATAAACGAGAGTATAGAAATTTAAGAAGTCATGTAGAAATCTTATCTCTCAACTTCTTATCTGAGAGCAAGAAAAGTCAGAATTGCAAATGAGAAAATAAAGGAGTAGAAGCAGTAACTTTATATCTTCTGTTATACAGAAATAATTATAAATTTTATTACTAAAAATATAATCTTTTTTTAAATAACTTTTTTAATAACTTATAGTTGTGAATTAATTATAAATTAACAAAATATAAAAATCTATTATTGATTTGAAGGAATGTAAGAGAGAGAAATATGACTTTTAATTTTGGATTATCTAGAATTTTGTATGACATACATGATTATAGTTAACTTTTTTGATATAATATATGAATCATTTATAAAGTTTTGCATTTTTACATGATACATTTCAATTTTAATAACAAATGTGCTTTGTTATAAATTTGGAAGTTTTCTTTAAAGAAAAATGTTAAAAAAGTAATAAACACTTGATAACAAGTTTTTAATTTTCAAATATTTCTGTAATTAATAATTAACAACGTACGAATATAATTTTTAAATAAATTAAAGCTTTAGTAAAATTTGATAGAAAATGAGACAAAAAATATATATCCTAGTTTATTATAGTTTTTGGAAAATATTCTACATTCAACATTCAATATTTTAGAGCAGTATTAAGAAGTTAAACTTACATACAAAATTCTCATAAAATTTTTTTTATTCTTCTTATATGTATAAACATTGATAAAGATATTTCTTGTTTTCTGAAAAGTATAATCTATTAATAAGCATTGAGTGACTTATCGAAATAATTAAAGGAAAATAAAAATACATGATTTTATTCTACAATTTAAATATAAATTATAAGCACATTTTATGCTGTATATATAATAATGCAAAATATTTATATAATATCTTCAATAGTACAAACTATAATTTTAGTAGGTATACATATAATATGCATTATATGAAACTACTATGCAAGCTCAGAATTAAATCATACATGTTTTTTATGATCATAATTACACCACAATTTACACTCATTGGTAAAAATATGTTACTATACTATATTTTCACTGAAATATTAATTGCCGTTGTTATAAATACGACTTAACAGGGACAGCCGCCTCATAAATTAGCAATACAGTATACTTGATACTCCGAAGGAGCAGAATAAAAAAAAGTTGCTTTATGCTACTGAGGGAAGAGAGACAGAGAGAGAGAATACATACTTCACAATCTCCACGCGGGCAAACATAATCGAGAGCAAATTATAACGGAAAAGGACAGCAAAAGCGCATATGAACGCATATTAACTTAAGAATTGCCTACTTTTCACATTTTTCCGTGTTGCGCAAAAAAAATGTGAAAACTGGTATTTTCGTTCGATTTCGTATCCCCCTATCGCTTTCATTCTTTCTCGCTTTCTGGTACCATTCGATACACGTATCTCTTTTTCTATCTCTCTCTTTATCTCACTCCTCTCTTTTTTTTCTACAAAAGAGAGTGGGACAAACTGGTTAACCTCTACGCAAATGGCTTCAACTGATAGGGGGGTGACGACGTTGTCAGCCGCGAGATTGAACGGAGGGAGTTGGGGCGACAGAGGGGAAAGTCCAAAGATAAGCGGGAGTCGTACCGCTGGCAGTAGACAGACTAGCGAAGTACGATTTATACGCGATCACCGTTCACTTAGCAGTCGTTCATTCGGTATTTAATTCTCCACCACATCTACACAAGCTTCGCCGCATCTCAGTCTCGTGTGTGAATCCTATCGCGCGTGTTGAAACACCTGGTCTTGTGCGTTCAAATAATATCTCAATAACCGAAAAACGAGGTCTCCACCTGCGATCTCTAATCGGTCCTCGAAAAGTCCGCCGGAGAGAGTGTTTTCTACATCTGTCTCCTGACAAGTAGAGCTGAAGCAATCCTCGCTCGCTTGTTCTCCCGAGGAAAGCGTAGTGGGAAGAAGTGGTTCATTGAACGTGATCGCTTTAATTAGCGAAAGCGCGTTGTATCTTTTGCAATCTCGCTGATCTCGAAGATCGAAAATCTTCGGCATCGCTCATCCTCTGAGGATCCACCGACGCAGAGACAGTAGGATTTCGCGCGAATTCGCGTATTGTGCGGATCATCGTCATCTGGAGGAAGCGCGGGACCGATTATCACGAAACATCTGTGCGCTAACTCGAGGTAGCGCGAGACGATTCATGGGCATCGTCACCCGGACAGGAAAGGCAGCGCGGTGCCGATAACTCTACGAGACTGGCATCTCTAAAATTGACCCGGGAAAACGATCCAGCGTCTCGATGGTGGAGTGTACTGATGTTATATAATAGCATGCAGTTCGCATATCGCTACACGTGGAATCGAGAGATCATCATCAACTCCCAGAAGCTCGTCAAAAGACGTTGACTGCTGACCAAAATCCGAATCACCATTGCATGCGGGAGGATCGCGCGCGTCTCTCTTCTACGTCTACTTCATTCTCGCTCACAAATTGCGACGAGCCGTCGAAGGAACGATCATATTGGCATCATCGACCTTTCCCAAAGCTACGCTAGAGATACACTAATACTACTCCGAATCCAACAATCTCCCTCCTCCTGAACGAAGGAAAACAACCGGGTTACGCGTGATTATGGCTGCTTTATGTTATAGTGGTAGGTTTCTTTTTTATCCTCTGCTTTGTCCCACTTTTCCTTCCTTCCTCGTTCAACGTTTTACGAGTTATTTCAAATCCGATACGCAATGCGATATTTGGAAATTTTCGGAGCGAAGAAGGGAGACGAAATATGCCATCTGGACGTAATTTAATTCTATGTTAATTTTTATGATTTTAGTATATCTATAGTATATTTTTATGATTTTAGATGTACCTTTTTTTAAAGAAATGTAAATAATAACGAACTGCTTTCACACAATGATAAAAAGATGTAGCATTTTTTAAATATTTAACAATTTTTCTTCCAAGAAATTTTGTTCTACAAAGCTCAGTTTTAAATATGATTTACATTTACATGAACTTTATTTCTGACTAAATGTTTCCTTTCTTATTTTTTAAGGGTTCTACTTATGCTTTTTCAACAATAAATTATTTATTCGAGTACAGCCAGATGGCATTTTCTTCTCGTATATTCAACAAATTTTATACTCAGAATTTCTGTATTTAAAACCATAGGAGAATTTTTTTCTTCTTAAATAAATCAAGAAAATTTTCTTGAAACTGTCTCTTCGCAGATTTTGCTTTCAATTTCAGACTCTGAAATTATAAATTAAATTACAATTATTAAAAAGTTGAATCTTACATACACACATTACATAAAATTGGATACTGGCGTGCGCAAAGCGCGCGCTTGTATTGTCTAATTTTATAAATAGTAAACTTTTCATTTTCTAAACTATTTCTAATTATTTTTTAATTATTGGTCTTATTATTTTTATATAAACGGGCGGAGTAAGAAAACATATATATATATATATGAATAAGAAACATATTTCACATATATGTATGTATACTTTTACCATATATACATGTATACTTTCACATATACATATTTACATATATAAAAGCAATTGATAAATATATATGAATATTATAAAATATATGTATATTAACATGATGACTGCATACATATATACATATATAGAATTTCTCCAAAAATCTATAATTGCAACATATTTATATTTTTTTTTTATAAGAAATGTCACGTACTTGACGCGTGACAACTTTGTATATATACAAATAGTGGGGAAAATATTCTGGAAGGTTCCGAAAGGTTGCTTTTACACTTAAACGTTGGTCGTATTTACACTTAAATACTAGCTCGATATTCGATCGCACGCAATATTAAAGATAATAGTAATTGTGAAAAGTAGATCAATTTATTGCGTGTATTAGCAATATGTTATCAGTGATATGTCAAAGAACCGTACACCTGGTCAAAAGAATTGTAAACGTGCTACGTCGACGGACAATGGATCAGTCTCATAACGTATTGTTATCTGACACTGCCACAGCTTCTTCCTCAAGCGCAGACAGAATCAAAGGCAAATATTTCAGTCTCTTTCGTTGTTCAGGGACATTCTGTATCTCTTCTTGTTAGCTCTCAGACGAAATTCTAGACTCTTCACAGAGACTCTTACGTAAGATGAAAATAAATGATGCTATGCCAAAACCATACAATCGCGCATATATAGGAAATACATCTTGAGAATATTATCACACATTCCTAAAGTAAACTTCTTTTTCATGATAGATTAACAATAACTTCCAGACATCATTTAAATTATTTATCCTCTTAATAAATTATTAGCTCGTTCATTATATAAAATATGTTTTCTTCACAAAACACATTAGAGATTAGAAGTGGAGATATACTGCTGCAAAGTCAATGCAGTTTATAATTGCACTTATTGTATGTGTTTAGGTCATCGCACTTGGAGTCGATTTATTTCTTTAGTAAAAGGGGGAACGTATAAAAGTTATAAGAATGAACAATATTCTCTTGTTGCGTTTGCGATATGCAAGCATATACCACGAAAAAAAACATGAAACTATTATAAATAAATCTGCGTATGTAAATTAACATACACATATATTTCGAGTTCATATGTGTATGTATTATATAATACATGAACATATATATACATATAAACTCGAAATATTTATTATATATCATTAATCTTTCAATTTTCAACTTTGCAATGTTTTTCTCACAAATCTCTGTTTTCGTAAAAATTCTTTGTGTCTAGTGCTTTAACATATGATTTCCAAATACAGAGAAATGTTCTTATCTAACCTTCTGCCCTCTGCATTTAAATGAAGATAAGCCATCCAATAGCTGCAGATCAAAGTTTCATAAGAAAATAGGTCACGGCTGTCTTAGAGAAGGCGAAAATTAACATAAAAAGGCATGTTTTGTTAAATGCATATATAATCGCATCTCCATGAAGACAGCGTTTCCGGAAGAAAAATAGAAACGCATTGAAATACTTATCTAATTCTACGCATTACACACTGAGTTACCACGTGCGAACTCATTAATAATTTAAAAAAATAGGAATATAAAAATTTTTTTTATTGCATTCGGAATAACAAATCATCACAATAATCATAAAGTTGATCTCGTTAGAAGTTGAGGAGATTGCAAATGAAAAACTTATTTTTCTAGTTAAATCAGCAATGTCCATGAAACTGTGTATATAATGTATATATATATATATCAATCCGCCACACCTATTTATTATTCATGCATGTATATATCAAGGCGCCACACCTACTTATTGCATATTCCGACAACAGTAGTACTAACTGTTAACATATCGACAGATATTCTAATGTTTTCTAATTAAATCTGTATTTATAAAAATTATCACGTCGTAATAAATTTTTTTGTTTTTTTTTTGTAAGAACGATGCAGTCACGTTCAATTAATCTCTTTCTCTTAATAAGTATGCCTTTTTTCTAAAATGAGGCGGGAAAACCCGCGGATTGTGTTCCGATCCTTGATGCTATCGAGAAAACACGGAAGAAGATGGATAACGTAATATCTAAAAAATATTATACGTAAACAATCTAATATCGCGAAGATCGATCACTCCTCGACATATTGCACATTTACCACTCATTTCTACAGACATGCAAATTGCCTTATATTATCGAGTAACAATGCGCACATTACCAGGAAATATAATCGCCGATATGATTCATTCACAAAGGAAAGAATACATCATGAGAGGAGAAGTCGTTCGCATGCTTAACGCGCGAGCTTTAACTGATATGTGATGTCAATTAGAAATAAAACGAAGCGCGTTTCTCGATCTCCAAGGCGCCATCGTGACCCTATAAAAGAATTGCGCAATAGTGTTTACGCAAATTCTGTCCCGTGGAATGTCGAAACGAAAACTACGATTGCTCGTTCTACAATCGAATCTATTGATTAAATCTCTTTTTTACTTTTGCAGAACCCTTCGCGGCTTGGCTGGAGGAAAAAATAGATCTACCCATATTCGAACAGCTGCCAAATCCCGAGAACAGCCATAAATCATCGATCGTCTACGAGACTATCGTGAAGCATCAGCAGCAGGATAACACTCAGACCCTCTTGCAAGAGTTCGAAACAGTTTTGGGAGATGTCGAGGCTTGCCATCATCAGATCGTTCCGTCAACCAGCTCTACGCTTACTCCTCCGCAATCACCCCCTCATAATAGAATCAACGTAGACACGCAGCTGCTGGTCACCCTGCAACCCGTGCCTGCGCAACCTCTGTTTGCCGGCGCTCATTCAATATACAACGTAGTTCCAGCGGAAGAGCCACTGTACGTGAATGATACATCTCGTGAATGGAACGCCGAGGATATATCGTTGAGTCCGCTCGGCGGGGATGTTGCGAATGAGTTGGCGGTGGTGGATGAGTACGTTCGCTCGCACACCAGGGATATTCCATCACCTTCGAGTCCGTGCACTAGCTCCGGTGGCAGTTGCATCTCGACCGAAGACTCCACTGACGATCCCGACTGGAGCTTTGAACCCGAAAGGAAAAGATTGAGCCAATCGGTTCACGAATCTTCGAAACATCGCTCTAAACCCTATTCCCGTCCGTCTGTCGAAGACAAGAAGGTGCGCAAGAAGGAGCAGAATAAGAACGCTGCTACACGTTACAGGCAGAAGAAGAAGCAGGAGATCAAAGAGATACAAGGCGAGGAGCGCGAACTCGCGGATCACAATGAAAAGCTGAAGAATCAGATAAATGATCTGCAACGAGAAATAGGGTATTTGAAGGGATTGATGAGGGATTTGTTCAAGGCTAAGGGTATTCTTAAATAATCCATTCGTCAAAAATCTGTCAAAATATCGTCATTGTATACTTTACTTAAGGTCTGTTCTTTTGGCTGACCTGACTGCACTAGTTTAAAGTTTATCTCTTTCCACTGTGGAGTAAAAAAAATAACCTCTGAACTAGTGCAACCAGTTCAGCCGAAAAGAACAGCAGACCTTTATTATTGAATATATGTTAGTTTTAATTAGATTTTTATGTTTTTTTACTAACTCTATTTTACAATCGTACTAATATTTAACGGAGTAATTACCGTTTTATATATTATTTTGCAATTTTCTTACTTAACATCTATTTGTCAATTATACATGTATGTGCAAACATGTGTATTGTTCAATTTATATATATAATATAACCACAGCTTTTTAGGAAGTATATAGATTTAACGTTAGAATAAATTGTGTATCTCGATCTAGTAAAAGAATGGTCCAACATCGGCAAACGCGGTGCGTTAGATAATACGTGTAAATTGTTGGAGTATGCGGGTTTCTTGAAGCTCTAACGAGAGGGGAAACCTGTTGTCTCTACGTACATTCCACGAGTTATCTAGCATACCTCTCTCTCTCTGATGCGAATCTTTCCATTCCGATTAATTTTTATTCTTTATTGCATAATACTTTCGTATGGCAAATTATGTAGTAAATAATAAATGGGTTCTACAAAACAAGCGACAATGTTATTTCCATAATTTAGATTTGTATTTTAGGCTAATAATTTTTTTAGTGTTGAAATAGAGCTGACAAGTTATTTTGTTCATACAATCATATTGATAACATATCTAATATAAATGAACACTATATATTAGATTATTTATCAGACATTATATTTTATTTCTTTGTTAACTCTGATAAAAAGAACATCGGCGACAAATATGTATCGGTTAATCTTGTATTTTCGAAGTGTATAATATTGTGTAAAGCTTGTATATGACATAACGTATAACGCGTGAAAATGGTATATGCTTTCTGTTAAATTTATATTTTGACTTATCGATTAATAATGTATTTAAACTAAACAAGTTAAAATTCTGAAACAATTTGAAAATAATGTCCTTATTTTTATTGTGACGACAAATTTAATTAAAGATAAAACTTAAAAAATTTATGTGAGCTCTTTTTAGAGCTCAAAAATATACTATACAAAAACTTTTTTGAATAAAATAATTTATATTTGCATTCGGCTATTTAATAAAACAGCTGTCTAAATATATGTAATAAAATACAAGAGTTCTGACTCTAAGAAAATAAAACAGCTGTCTAAATATATGTAATAAAATACAAGAGTTCTGACTCTAAGAAAACCAATCAATTAGCCAACATTTTTTTTCTTAAAAAATGACACCTCTCACTTTACTGACCGACATAATTTTATTGTTTTTTTCTTTACTCGAATATTTATGAATCTATCTTTTTTTTTTTTAAGTTGTACTTATATTCTATTTTTTTCTCCCTTATAATCTCCGAAATTATACTTGTTTCATTCTAATTATAAGTACAATATAAACATAGTTCATCAAGTATATATAGCTTATTCATCAAATATAAATATAGTTAATGCAATATAATTATTTATACGTTTAAACTACTTTTTGTTTTGTATACAAATTCAGACTTTTTATTGAAGAATCTAAAAAGGTGTTTTTAAAAAGCCTAAGCTTCTCTTTCAATGACCCTATAAATATCGCAATAAGAAAAAAAATGACAAAACTTTGGTAAATTCTCTTTCCTTAACTCTGTCAATGACAATATTGGAAACAAAATAGAAGACAAGCCGGTTAAATTGACGTAGTAATTTGAAGGCGTTCACGACATTACGAGGTAATAGCATCATTTATAAAAAAAAATTATACGAAAAAAAGTGACTCGCTCCTAGATATTTACAAGCTATTAAATAAACAAAGTTATCTCTTTTTTTATCAGTTAAAATCTCGCATGCTAAACGCGAATTACAAATAATTTATGCTGCATTTCTCGGTTTTGACGTCACCGATATCGATTGGTAGACCTTGGGCAATTTCTTTCTCTGCTTGTGGTTTGTATATACAACAAGAAAGAGATATTATACATATATATGTACAGCTCATAAATATTTAACGATTTTTTTCGCATAAATTTAAAATTAATTTTTGGATGTTTCGGATACGCTTTTGCGCTTCTCGTTCATATATTGATAAACCTGAAACTAAGAGAAAAATACTCTCTCGACGCAAAAAATGTTCCAAGAGACAAACATAATATGCAACCATACTCTTCATAATATTTTTATTTTTGACACACGAGTGCACACACACACTCAAATGCATAATTACATACACATACATGTGTGTATAGACATACACATACACTGTATGTGTCCTTTTATAATATATTTACATACGATATTAATTAATAATACAACAAATGAGATATTTTAACAGTTCTGACGTAAAATATATATAGTAGAAACCAGCTATGCAGTAACTTATATGTATCATATAACGCATTGTGTCAGCTGAATTGTCTAATATATCGCATTATTTGCGAGAAATGCATTGTTTTGTCGAACGTCCAGATCGCCTTCCTGTCCCTTTCATTTTTATATAAGCGCGTCTATTATATGTACAAAATACCACATATATTTATTACATGATCACATATATGTATTTTTTTTTATATCTTGATATCCATATTATTTATTATCTGTGGTAAGAACCTGTTTTTCTCAGAGATAACATATTACTATTGTCCAAAGTTAATTATTCATATTTGTGATCTTTAATAATCTAAACTTCGCTTATTAATGCATTAATAGAAGTGATTATTGTGAATGTAATTAACACGTTTTGATGTATGTAAATTTATTTCATTGCGGATTTTGAACTTCCAGAAGTATTCTCTATAAGACTCTCATAATCACATGGCACATATTGATTTATAGATTCTTAATGTCAATCAAACGTTAACTGTACAGGTCACATATTGATTAATAACAAACGTGTTAAATACATAATAACAATAGCATTTTGTCAATTTCATGATAAAATGCTTAATTGATGAGAGAGATATTCTTTTTTGCATAATAATTATTTACTTACTATCATATTATACTCGTGTTTCTCTAAATTAATGTACATGTAATATACATGCGATCAAATCACCAAAATAAACATGTGAAAGCACCCATAAATTAATATAACAAGAATATATTATTTATACAATCTAATACTTGATCGTTCATTAAGATTCGTTTCTCGATAAAAATAGTAGAGCTGAGCCTTGCACAATAGTTTAATACGGACACACATATAGATATACACGCACACTGTGTGTTTCAAGGTATATTAATTTAAGTATAATTTAGTTACGTGCTACGTAATCTACTGTTGAAAACTCAAAATAATCAGCATACTGCTATCGCCATTTTATAAGGATAACGTTTTTATAACTTGATTGTAGCATGTTTTGCGGCAGTATAATAAATCTGAGGTGCGATATATAAATATATATATGTAAATTTCTGGAATGTTCTTATATAAGAACTCATAATGAGTATTTGTAAATTATTAAACTTGTTTGAGAGAATCACATAATTATTACGCGTCATCATAGATTATTTTATAAAATTAATCACGTAAAAATTATTAAGTGACTATGTAAAATAAGTGTACCATCAGGAAATTAATATTATATATATATATATATATATATATATATATATATATATATATATATATATATAAAATGATACGAATCGCGCACATTGATTTTTCTTATTCTGTTGAAAAATAACATCTATAAGTAAAATATAAATATATATTAATCACAATATGCTTGACTTGACAAGAGATATACATTCTGTCCCTCTATATTATGTGTGTTTTTATATCTACCAACGCACAAAAATAAAATAAAACGTAAACTTAACAAAATGCAAATGTATATCTATATATAAATTGCCAATTTTATTACCTCCCATACGTAGAAATCTAGAAAAAGTTTATTTTGTAGCTCAACGAAATAATTAAGCGAAAATCGGTTAAAAAGTTTAGAAGATTCTATGTTGTTGCATCGCCTTCCTCCTGCTCGAGTCTGGAAGAACCGCAAACGCGACATTTACAGCATACAATGCAAGGTGCCGCTAATAAAAGCAAGGGCGATGCGACAAGTAGAAGTAGGCCAAAACCAGCAAATATCCCGATAACTTGCGTTCGATGCCATATCACGGATGCACGTGAGTGTCCCAATTTATTCTTACATGGTCCTTTGTCGTAATGTCGCAACAAAAAATCGTCCTACAACAAGAATATATTAGTTACAATCACTGAGTTATATTTTTGAGTATTTTTGTCTATCATCTTTTATATACAGTATAATATAAAGCATCTAATAAGGAAATAATGTTTTAAAAGTATCTGTATATGCATGGATAATATTAAGCGCACAAAATATTTTTCTTCCTTTTAATACTCACATCCAAGGACGTTAAGCAGTACCAGCAAAACACGTGTTTACATCTTTTGCACATCATTTGAGCACAACCTTCGTCTTTTTCTATCGGTACAGAACACATGGGACAGCATTTAATGTGATCACTACCAAATGGTATTCCTAATGGAAGTTCCGAACAGGGCCCATTGTGCCAAGGCTCACGACATATTGAACAAAAATCTGTGGAACAGTTAGGACAGTGAACAGGACCCAAAGGAGTGCTGCTTCCACCATTGCCATTTATCGAACATATTGTCTCACAACCAGCTCGTGGACACCAAGCACGTCCTTTGTCCATTGATACATCTGCGCACACATAATATTGATCATTGTAAATTACATTTTATATATTTCAAGCAATGTAATAAATTACTTAAAATTACATATATCTTGAGCAGATTACATTTGTATCCACTGAAAAGAAAAGTATAGGGAAAATTGCTTACCTCTATTCAAACGAAACTTGCAATGTTTCTCCATGAGTTCTACACTGACAAGACTCGATATTTCTTTCAGGGATAGTATCGCGCCATGATCACATTGAGCATCGGGACAACTAATTTCATACGCACCTTCCTCAATTTCAAATTCTACATAGGCACGCATGCACTAAAAAAGACAAAGAAATATATCGATATCTTTTAAAGTAGTGCATTCTTCAACAACAACAACATTCCTCAAACTTACATCTTTACAATAGGAACAACCGCATCCCTCAATCTTAAACGTTTTGGAGAGGGAGGTATCGACAAGACATAATTTACAAAATATCCGTCCAATGATCTGCTGGGAGCCTGCAGGAACGAAATTACCAGCGGCCAGGCTATAACGCGAGCTGGACGCCAGGGACAGCAGACTGGAGCAGCGCGAACAGACTCTGCTGCGATTGATGGGTCTGCCTTCCAGGGCGGAGGTGCTCAATCCCACGGCGGTCTCGCACTTCCTCAGAGCTCCGGGAGCCAGGTTAATCCAGCTGCCTCCTCGTGCCTCGAGACTCGCGCTGCTCTCGGGTCTTAGGAGGGGCGCGTCCGCCTCCTTCCCAAGCACCTGGCTCCTCTCCGCCAGGGAGAGGTTCACCACACTCGCCTCCTTCCGTATCAGAGGTAGCTTGATGCCGCTGAACCTCGCCTTATCGAGCTTCCTCGGGTTACTACTCGGCGGATTCACGGACGTCACCGAGCTCGTCGCGGTACCCATGCTGTTCTCGGTTAACGGGGCCCGTCTTACGACGAGCGAGTGTAGACTAGGCATCCCCTGGACGTCGCCGCCGGTTACGAGCGACGTGGACGAGGACTGGGTTTGCCGAGGGAGCTCCCTGCGCGGCGGAGAACGGCTCCCATCCGCGCTCGACGACGTCGTTTGCTCACCGCTGTCAATAACAGAACGCATGAACCCGGATAATCATGTGTGCATGGTGATGACGAATCGGGACGGTGCAGCCCGTGGTAGAAATAGTTGTGATTGTTGCACAAGATCTTTACGCCGTTCGTCATAATCCTCGTCGTTCAGCTCGTTATCTCGTGCACATATTCTAGCCTGTTTTTTAAAAAGAGAGGGAAAAAAAGACGAACCTCCGGCGACACATTTTTATACGTGCATATTAACTCGCTATCTATAGTAATCACGCGGTGGAGTTATAACATGTCGCGATAACCAATTTTAGATGTACTTTTGGTAATACGTTACGAGCGAGGCCAGTCTATTCGCGCAACAGCTGATCGCGTCTCGGCGAAACGTCAAAATCTGACGTCCCAAACGTCAAAAGTGACTCTCGACGCACCACCTGATCACGGAATGCGGCGATTCCTCAACGACGACGAGCACATCGCGGATATCGTCGCAGTAATACGATGTATATGTATGTACACAGCTCCTCTCTCTCCCTCCCTCACTCTCTCTCTCTCTCTCTTCTGCTACACTAATGATGGCCACACGCGATCGTCCCCGAGTCACCGCTTTCACTGTATGTATTTCACGGTATATGAAATGCGTGTCCCACTACTTCGTTGTGTCGCCTATATCGGCGCGCCAACATTTTTGCCATCTCGTTGCATATATATTATATATATATATATATATATAAAATTTAAATATACGCATACATATGCGGCGCGTTCATAAATTATCCGATTCTGCTTTGCGCCCCCGCTTCCTCATTCGTTTTTCTTGTTCTCCAGAGACGGACAGAGGGAAAGAGAAAGAGAATGTGACTTTTATCGTCCTCTCGCAATTAGCAGCGGCGAGATTGTTTTTGTTTTGACGTAACATTACCACCCTGCGGGTGAGTCACTTGGCGCATACCGGAGGCACAAAGGAATTCTAAGAGGATGATGATGATGATGATGATGTACCCTGCGGAAGATGAGCCTGCGAAAGTAATTTCGAAACTTTACTGCCGTTCCGTCAAATTCCCATCGATGTCCCTGTCTGTCTAGGTGTACTCTCCACTTTCTGCACTTTGCCTCTCCCGACCCCTTCCTTCCGCCTCTTGTCTGTTTTTCCTTCCTCTTTTCTCTCCCTCTCTCTCTCTCTCTCTCTCTCTCTTTCTAAAAGAATCGAATTTATTTGAACACACTTTTGCCTTTTTATTCAAATTCTTATTTTTAATTTCTGCTCTTGAAAGAAATATTTATTTTATATTAAGAATATAAAATAAATATTTCTCATATATATTATATATATTATCTTCATATAATTATTTATTTTATAATTAGTAATTAATAATTGAGAACAAATAAATCTTTGAAGTTTGTACAATTATATATAATACAAATACATATATTACATTTTCTCAAATTATTTATGCCCTCTATCACTATAAATTAGTTATCTGTATGATATATTATTAAATAATAAATACTATAACAAACTCTGGAAATATTGTTAATGTTTCAAATTTTATATCCATATATATACGATTGAAAAATGTACAAGATTTTAATATAAAAATAAAACTATAAAATAAAAAAAAATTTTAAGTTATGAAAATGTTGAAAAATTTATTCATATAAATACAAAAAAATTAATTTCACTATTTATTTTTTATCATAGGACAGAGAGATGAATATAAAGTTCATTAATTTAAATTTAATCTATACCATGTATAAATACACTTACATATAATTAATAATAGTACATACACTTTGACATATTTACATGTGAGCGATTAACATATCTCGCTCATTACTTTTTTCTATTTTGCATAATGGCATATTATATTACATATTCGAATTTAACTGTAAAAATTGAGCAAATTATATCATTCTCTTTTGCTCAGAATATCAGTTAATTATTCTGAGTGTATTGCTAGAAAACATCAGTTTGAAAAATATCATAAACACAAGTTAAATAACAATTAAATTTAGTTAGTGCCTCTCATTTGTGTTTTAAGAAAGTACAATGTGAAAAAGTTTTCAATCTTATATTGTTAATAGTAGTTAAAACCTGACTGAATGCTAAATACCACTTGATAGTTGGCACTGAATGGTATTGAATGCTGAGCGGAAGACAATGTCAGAGAATAAGACAATTTAATATAAAGTTAGAAAAATAATTTATCACATTACATAGCTATTATTATTATTATAAAAACTAAATAATATGATAGTTTGTAGACTATCTTATCAAACAATCATTTTTAATGTAACATTCTTAATTATAAATAGTTATAATATCCAAAATATTCCTCTATTTTATATTACAATTGTCTTTATCTTGTCACTATCTTTCGCTTAGTGTTTATCGACGCTTATCATGTTCCAACTCTCAACCAGCCTGTAATAATAGCGTACTCCTTTGCAGTCTTCAAATAATAATTATGTATATTTATGAAGTTGTGTGAAATTTTTTGACTAGAATTTCTTGTCCTATGCACCGTGAGAGCTTAAATGTTTATGAATAATGGAAATATTAAATAGTATAGGCATTCAGATATAATTTCGTGAATTAGTATTATAAATATATCATTAAAAAATATTATACATAAATGTAATATCAATATTTTCCTTTAAAGGAATATATGAACGTAACCAAATATAAGCCTATTATAAAATTAGGAATTATGTACACATTACATGTATGGTTGGAAGCATTTACAATAATAATATTAATGAGAGCAGTTATTTAATTCGAGTTCCAAATTCAAAATGGATGATAAAATAATCGCCGAATTAAATCTAATATATGTGTTATTGATACTGTCTACAGACTATTCGTATCACAATTAAACAATTTCTGCGTTAAACGTAGAAATAAAAAATAATTAGATATGAAGATCGTGAGATCATGAGACTCAACACATTTTTTTCTTTACAAAGAAATATTACCAGGTATACTATACTGTCCTTTTCTAGAATGTGTATCGACAGCTCTGACCGCAAAGTAATAATTATTACCCTCAGAAAACTGTAACAAAAATAATTATCTGCATAATATCTCGCGGATTACAAGTTCCAGAATATTCATTTATTTTCTGTAACGTTACTAATTACAATTTACCTGAGTCAAAGTACACGCCATAGGTAACGGCAGTGCCCGCACATCTCCTACTTTTTCCACAATGACGTACTAGGATTTACACCAGCAACTTCTTGGTACGCGTATAATTGATAACTGGCAATATCTGCATATTTATCTGACAGATTCATATTCCAGGATAGCACAATACCTATACATTAACATAAATATTGATGTTACAATAAGAATTTTTTAACTTAAAACTTAAATCTAATCGCATTTATATAAAATAGAGATATTTATACCATTTGAGACTTTCGAAATCTTTAACGATGGAGGTGGTGGTGGAAGTTTCCAGTTGTTTCCAGCTGTCGTTGTGTAACTTGGAGTATCTGGCAATGGTGCAGGATGCTGAAGTAAAATAACAATAAAATTATCATATTTTAATGACTGTTATAAAGAACAAATAGAATAAGTTTTAAAATACAATATATATATATATATATATACACATATTTCTCTTACCTTACTTATCTGTAGAACCGGCGTGGTTAGTACACGAACATTTGTACCATTTGCAATTGCTGGTAAAAATAGTATAATGTAATAACATAAAATATTGCAGCAAAACATTATATATTTCATGTAAGCACTTTCTGTTGTATTTTTTATAACATTTACTATTAACGTTTAAAAAACTGTTAGCATATTTTGTACATGCACACATATACATAATATGCTTTTTAAAATGTATTTTGATTTTACCTGTTTTATATGTAAAAGGTGGTCTACATGTAGTTACTGGACGTATCTAAAAGATATTTGAATTTCTTGTATATTTAAAGTAATAATTCAAATAAAATTCAATCATTTTGTCATCAGTACAAACTGACAAAAAAAAATAAAAGTGCAAAATACTGACCTGTACTTGCTGATTAGCAGTTGATGTTATTAGTACTTGTCTTGGTGGATTACTTTGCATCACATATGCTAACCTGGGCGAATTCTTAAAAAAAAATTCATAAATTTGTATTCTTCTCTCGAGATTATAGCATTAATGTATGTACATATGAAAGTAGAAGGAAATACTTACTACAATGGCAGTTGCTGGTGGCTGGTTTGGTGTTATCACTTTTATACTAGTCGGTTGCGTCGTAATTGCTACGTTTGTTGGTAATGTTTGTATTACTCTTTGGAAGGATTGTGTATATTTCGGCGTATTTATTTGTTGCTCGAATACAGGGGCCGTAGTTATAGCCGTAATTTTTACATTTGCTGCTGTAATATAATATTTGTCATATTAGAAAGAAATTATAAAAATTACAAATTTTATGTTTATTATCAACAACTCTAATGAGGACATTTGACTTAAGATATGACTTATATGTAAATATTACATATATATGTATAGAGACATATACATATATGTACAGAGAATGTAAACTTACATTTATTCTTTTCTTCTTCGTCTGTAAGATCGATAAGATCACTATTTTTTATCTTTGAAGTTATTACTGTTGGACGATTTACTTGATTTTGTATTTTACCATTTAAAACAATAGCTTGTTGCGGCTGCGGCTGAATCTGTTGTTGTGGCTGTAAAATTTGTAATTAAATTAATGCAAGAAAACAGTATAAATATAATATTATTACTGTTATGTATATATTTATATTACGTTTATTAATAATAATTATTGGAATAAATCTTACAGCAGGTAAAATTGGCTGAAGATTGGTAGACTGGCTAGACAATGTTAACGTGTGTGAGGGTTCTATAGTCTTAGCAACAACTAGAGCGGCCGGTGTCACGCTAGAAATAAGAGGCGTTTTTGTTTGTATCGTTCCCTGTGCAATTGTAGGAGTCGATGTAGTCGTCGCAGGCCTGGGTGATCTTGTTTTGATTCCAGTGCGTCTTGTAATATTATTTGACTCAGCAGCTGAAGAACTAACATTGCTGGGAGTATTTGGAGCACTCGCAGCACTCGCAGCACTCGCAGCACTTGGAGCATTCGAAACATTCGGGGCAGGCTTAACATACGAGGTTTGTTGTACCTGACGTAAGCTCTGTATTCCATGTTCCTATTGGGTAACAGTTAATCATTGCGTTAACATAATTTTCATTGATCATATATATATATATATATACGTGTTAGAAAATTTTCTGATAAATACCGTGATAAAGTTGACTTGTAAGCCTACGGATCTATTTATTTTATCGGTGCAACAGGCTTGTCAGGATTAGCACGACGATCTGAGGTGTAACGATTCACAACCATTTCAAAATCTTTCACTTGCTTCGTCAACTGCTGCAACTTTGTACGCATTACTTCTTGATATTTTTCCGCTATGCGAGCTTGTTCTCTGAGTTGCCCGATTTCACTACGCATCGTGACTGTCTCGGCAATCTTCTGAATCAGGAATTCTTCCAGTTCCTTAAATAAATCATTGATTATAACAATATGTTAAGTGACCATTATTTGTCAAAAATTTCTTGAAATTTGTTTTGTATTTATATATACATGTAGCAAATTGTTAAAAGATATTTTATTGGAATACACTTTTACCTCCTGCGTAAGTTTCGGTAATTTTTCTTTAATATCCCTTTGGAAAAATGTTTCAACAAAGCTCAATTTTGCAATATTATTCTTTTTCTCAAATTTAGTACTCATTTTCGCTTTCTTAATACCATTAAAAATCTCATGATCCGAACAAGTACGCTTTAACGAAGGGGGTGACGCAGGACGTACATCCTGATTTAATTTGTGATTCACTATTACAAATTGTTCTGTACTATCACTAGAATCACTATCACTATTAAGATATTTTCTTCTAATTATCTCTTCCGCATTTTTAGCCGTTTTCCTCTTTTGTCGTCCACTGTAATTTTCTTCTGTAATGCAGAAATAATTTAATGTGTATATATTACGGTACATAAAACAAATATTATAAATAAAACTATAATTAAAATATTTTATATAATAACAGCACATATAGATTTAGAAACAATTTATTTTGCAAATATATTTTTATAATTAACATTAATAAAGAATAAACCTAAAAATATATTGTTCACAAAGCTATTTTTATATAAATCTAAAATTTTTTATAAAGCTTTATTTGTACATTTGTGCCTAGAAAGTTATAAAGTAATTATTAAAATTAATTCTTCATCAAATTATTATACGAGAGATTTTTATCATGTTTTCTTTTTTCCTTCTTTTTTTCTATAAAAAGTCTAAGAATCACATTTTACTTCCAATGTAAAATATTTCCTACCTTGCTTATCTTTTGCAATATTATCTTCTACTATGTCGATTGCTTTTTTTGAGCGTCTCTTTCGTGGAGCAGTTACATCTGCATTCATACTTTTATCAGAATTTTCTACATTATCAGTTTCTAATATCCTTTGTAATGTAGATGTAGAATTATTATTTACAATTTGCGTTTCTGATTTATTAATACCATAGTCTTCGTTCGTTGCTTCTTTACTGTCTTTTACATTGGGTGAACTATTTGGATTTTGTACCAATAAAATAGTGTCTTTTTTCACTTGTATCTTGGATGTATTTTTGTTTTGCGTGACTTCCTTGTGTTCTGTATTTTCGTATTTATTTTTATGTTCAACATCTTTATCAGATAATAAATCATCTAAATTGCATTTAATTGAACTCGTAGAGTTTTGACTATTATTAATTTCGACAATTGAACATTTTACAGAATGATGCTCATCATCAAGAGCCTCATCTATTACTTTGTCATTTGAATTGTCATCATTACTGTTAGAAACAACTGTAAGTGTATATGATCTTTCACTATTATTAATCTGAACTTTAGCAGAATCTATAATATTACTGTCTACTTTATCCAATTTATTTAGCTCACAAGTATTTGTTGCATTCATGTCTTTATCGCTGACTGTTTCTGTTAAATTATCACGACTGTGAATTATTAATTCTGCATCTTGAAGATCATTAATCTGTACATAATTATTTGTAGATAAATTATCGTTTTCTAATGCTACATGTTGTTCAGATGTTGCATTTGAACACTCAGTGTTTGCGACAGTAATTTTTAAATCTTTATTAGACTTGGAAATACACTTTTCATTAGATTCACTAACAGTCTTACTGCTATTTTCCAAATTACATATATTATCTTGTATTTTTTTTTTTTAATGTATTTTCATCTGAGGATAATGGTGAATTTTTCGAAGTTTTAATTGCTGCAACAAATTTTTATGAAATTATCAACTTCTTGAAAATATTTTAATATTTTTTATTAAATCTTGGAAATAATATAAAAAGCAATTATATTAATCCAGTTTAGAAATGTTTTATATTGGAAAAATAATTTGATAATTATTCATTTTTATTCATAAAAATATTACCTGAGTTTTGCTTCTGATCCAATTTTCCATTATCAGGCTTGTCAGCTTCTTTGACAATCTGTTTTACATCAAAACGTAATTTTTTTCTGTAATTACATCTAAATATTCTGCAAAAAAATATCTATATAAAGATTCAAAGAAATAAATATTTAAAATTGTATTATACTGTGTTAAATATAAAATAAGAAAAAAACTATATATATACATATATTAAGAAGAGATTCATCTAGAATTTAGTTGGTAACCTATTAGATAGAACTTTAAGTCTCAAATAAAAAATAATTATATATACCAGTTTTTCTACTTGGCAATTTAAAATCCGAAATATTCGTGGAGTTTGTTATATTAGCTTCTTGCTCCAGATCATCATCATCAGATAATCTTAAACGCAAACTATCATCGGACAGTGCATCTTCATCATCTCCTTCGTCGTCTTCTGTACCAAATAATAGTTCTTCTTCTTTCTCTTTTGATAACTCATAATCAGTATCAAGAGTCTCTTTTGACAGATCAATTTCAATTGCAATACAAGAAGTGCTGGAACTGGCTTCTGAATTATGCACTGTTCCAGCTTGTGCTTTCTCCATTACAAGTACAATTAAAATCACTGCAATTACATTTATCTTGCCAATTAAATGTATTTCCATCAATGATAAAATAATAATGAGAAACTGCACAATGTATGTATCATAAAATAATTTTATTCAAAATATAAAAATATAAAAGCGTATTTGTTTTGTTATATGTATATATATTATACATTAGAATAAAAAAGATTTAATGAATTCAATTTTTCCTTATCATTTAAATTCACAAAGCAACATTAATACAATCAACATATTTAATTATCACAATTTTAATAATTTATATAAGCCAAAAATGCAATTTTTAGAACAAATTGAATTTATATATATATATATATATAATTATAAAGTCGATATAATTGAAAAACTTTGTTTCAAAAAATAATTTTTACTTGGAAAATGTATTTTTATAAATGCCAAAATATTAAAATATTTTTAAATATAATAGAGGAAAGGAGAAGAGCAAATAATTTTTATGTAAATATTTTTAATAATAACTCAGCAATTAATTTTATTAGAGAAATAAAGAATAAATTTTGCAAAATGCCTCTTTATACATAAGTGTTATTGAAAGGTTATAGATTGAGCGATTTTATAGAAACCTGGAGCATGCAATGCTGTCAGCAATAATAAATTAATCAACAAAACATGATTGAAAAAAAATCCAAGCAGACCTATTTTCAATATTTGACAGCAGAAATCGAGCACATTTTGTGCATATTTCACAAATTCTACTTGATTTCTACTGTCAATTTGCTGTTAGGTTATGTCAACAGGCTTTATTCATACGAGCACAGTGAAATGTCACAATCTGCTAGAATCTAGAACAGTCTAAAATCTGACAAACAGCTGATCACTGACATGTATATATTATTATCTCTCTCATCATTAAGAATATTTTTCGTATTAGTTTCAAGTAAAGTGTAATTTTTAAAACAAAGGACTATATTATAAATTATAATTGAAAAATGTATAGAAACACAAAGTATTTCGCTATTAAAAAGTATATTTTATATTCAACAAATCTTCATTTTTAAGATCGAAAAAAATTATTACTCAAAAATGTCATAAAAAATATTGCTTTTTCAAAAACTTCTCTCGTCTTCTGTTTTATATATAATATATTTAATTTTTTCTTTGGAGTCTTGTTTTTAGAGGGCCAAATAGTATTTCTTATTTTACATCATTCAATAATCATTATTCTTCATCTTTCATTTCTGTAGTAATTATAGTATAAAAATTACCAAAAAGAAAAAAGTGCATTCTGACGTCTACTGTACTCGCGCGCGCGCGCGCACATATATTATTCTGGATCGATGCCTATCACGCGAGGTCACTATTTTATTGGACATGTGATTGGTGCATAAGTTTCATAGAATTCCGACAAAACAGATGTTTTCTATATTTATAAAACGAATGCGTGAATTATTAAGCATATCGTTCAGGGAGATCAAATAACGCGATCGGGCCCTGATTGGGGGCCCTGAGACCTGACCCATCAGCCAACAGAGGCAAAAGATGGCGGTCAGAGAATGCATTTCTCATGGTTGTCAAGCGTGCAACTATGTGTACTTTGTATTTGAAACTGTTTCGTCTTTCGACAGAATCTCGTCGATTTTAGCACGATTTGCTGATATTGATAAATTCTTTTATAAATATGTATATATATATATACATATATATAAAATAAATTATTGTATATAATATATAAATATATATATATATACATATATAATTTTATAAAAACCGACGAAACGCATTTATATGTGTAAAATCACTTAAGGTTGTCACCTTAAAAATCATGCCGCTCAAAAGAAGCAGATCGTGTTTCGAGTTACATCAAAGGTTAGGTTATGAGAACCGAGTATACAGATATACACAGGTTGGTCTACGCTTCATAGAAACATGCAATTCGACACAGAAGAGACGTTACGAAGCGAACGTGGGCACTTGGATCGAAAATAAAGTGGTGGTACGATTCGCGAACATCGTTACCGTTTGCTTTACGTATCACCAGGATCTTCCAACACACAAACGCGAATTAAAGAAACCGCGCGAACTCGCCTCGATGCCATCAGACAGGTTTGCGCATCGAGCGTAGAATACATTACACTTAGGCCCCGAGATTCGTTCCGAAGATGGCCGAACATACGCGAAGCGTCAGAAAATATCAACACAAAATGACGTCGATTTGCTGCGCAATAAGGAAGACCTTATTTTTAACAAGCGCAAAATTAACCGAATTTTAATCATTATTTCACAAAAAATGTACGCTATTTCTATTCATATAAAAGAATACAAAAATGCACTAATAATTAAAAATAATAAATTTTTTCCCATCAACATATATGACGTATCTATTTACTTTTAGTCACACTATTTGCATTTACACATTCTATTTCATTCAAATTATATTTTCAATCATTATTATTCTGTCATATTGTTTAGCAGAGCATCATTTAGCATATTTTGCATAATTATTACATATAGTTGTTATACTATATGTATGGTTCCCATTTATGTTGGACCCAACTATAGTGGAGCAATTAATTTTTTCGGCAAAATTTAACAATTTATTATTCATATTAGATTTTTCATATATATATATATATATATATAATCTCTTTGTCACAGATTCGTTTTATTGAGCAATCGAACAGCCCCCTCTCTAGTCCTTACTTAACGCACCAATAGGAAAATCAATGGTGGGAGAAAAGACGCAGTTCTTCGTCGTATTGCAGAACAATCGATTTTTGTTGGCTTATTTCGATCTTAAGTCTACGATATTTGGATCGTAATATAGATTCTTGACTTTTAATCCGAGAAATGTGCAAATATTTTTTATTATTTTGTTTATAGAAAAGCATAATCTATTTAACCATATTCACACCTGTATATGTGTCTGATTAATACGTCGATATTTTGGGAATGTCACATTTTTAATTAATAAAAATAACACAAATTTAACATAACATAAATCAATAAATATTCGCATCTTTCCTTCAATTAGAAAAGTTCTTATTAACACACTTCTCAAACTCAATCAGGGCTGGTCTTGGCATCGTCAGCACCCAGTGCAAATGAGACACAAATTAATATTTTTTTCTTTCTTTTTTTATGTCAAATATTATTGAATTTTTGACCCTTAGAAAAAGAAAGAAATATCTAGCATGATTAACTAGTTCTGATTCAATAAAATAAAAAATATCTTCATATTATAGATCGATAAAAGAATAATGCTTTCTACTTTGATATCTGCTTTATATTTTGAAAAATTTTATTCTAAAAATGTCTTGACGTCTCAAATAAGGTAATTCGACGCCAGTTCTCCCTTCCGGAATTTCGACATTCCAGTCATTCCAGAGGGAGCGCCACTTGCAAGGAATTAGTATATTATATGTATATGAAAAAATAGGATATTTTTGAAAGCCTCGAAACTTTTGTACTAGATTGCTATTATTCATCTATAATATTAAATATAAGCTAATATCATATATTAAAATAATATTAGAACTCCCCCCCCCCCCCCATATAGAGAGAACTTATTTTTTTTAAATAATATTATTAAGAAATAAAAATATAACTGGTATTATCTCAAACAACTTTGTAATTCCTAATAAGATAATATGTTTGCAACTATATTTTGCAAAAATAAAGATATTTTAATATCTTGTAGAAATGAAAATATTTGCAAAAAAAAATATGATAAAAATGCTCACCATTTTCCATTTTAAATTAGTTTTCAAATTTTAAATAATGATGAGCGATGATTATGTAACCATATGTCCATGAAATATATCTATAGTGTTTTTGTCAACCACAAGCTCAAAGAATGAGCGTTTACTCTACACACAACAATAAATCCAATGACTTGATTTAATCCTCGACTCATAATTGAATACTAAATGTCTTACAGTTTCGAAACTAGTTTTTGAAATTTATAATAAATACTATTTAGTTTTAGATTAATTATTATACTACAAAATTAATGAATTAAAAAAAACAATACAACAAATTACAGAAATTATGCATATTGGATTTTGAAGTATCATAAATATTGTATAAATGTTAGCTCTTTCATTATATATAAAATATTGAAAAATTTTAAACAAAAAAAACAAAAAGCTACATTTTCTGACCACATCGGAATTAATACCATTTTTTATACACATAACTTTTTGTAAAATTAAAATATATTAACACATGTTAAAATTATGAATATTTATAAAAAATATAATCAACTACGTATCTTTAAATAAAGGCTCAACCGCGCTCAACTAAACAAGTAGCGCCATCTGTTGCTACTTTTATCTCGACAACAAAATAATACCGTATTATACTGTCCTCATGCAACAACGTTTTTATGTAGTTTTCCAATTTGTTGTATTTTATAATTATAATCTATTTTGAAAGATTATAATTTTGCAACATAATTGATTACTAATTAATACTGTCTAGTGCAATACAGAAATATCAAATCGATATTTCCAGAATGCTTATATTATTGATTGATATTTTTTCTATATAAAATTTATAAGATAGAATAAATTTATTGCAAGAAATACATTTTCTACTCTACTTGATCAATCTTTTCAGATTAGAATGTATATAAAATGTATCGAGTGTAAAAATATAAAATTGCGATAACGTGAAAGGTTATGAATTACGTTCATAACCTTCATACAAAACATTGCTCGTAATAATAAATAAAAATCTTTCTATGAGCTCTCTTTATAAATAAAACTACTTGAATGAAAAAGATGTAATCATTTAATAAACACAGTTTGAATCAATCAATGGCATTTCGGCCACGGTATATTATATCATCGAAGCAATATATAATTCGTAAACAAAATAAATTGTATAAAATAAGATTAAACAAATACAACTATATAACGTTATTTCATTAGACTATATAGATCTAAAAAAATCTCATCAAATTGTACTGATGTATTTGTAAAATTTCGTTAAATTGTTGTGCTCATATGTATATTATTGATTTATGATACTAGGACGACGACGTATGATGTAAAATGAATTATCGCAGAAAAAACTTCATTATCACCTTTAAATCATTGAAGCCATTTCTAGGAGAAACACTAACAAAATGGCGTATAATATGCCATCTAAAATGGTGTCTTTGCTATGTTAAAATCTATATAACATTTTCGTGTAAATTTGAGCCTTAAGGCCCAAAACTTCATTTGATATGATAAATTATCATGAATTCTTTTGAGCTAAATAAAAAATAATTCAATTGGCAAACGGAAACAACTTAATCTCGAACATCAAACTCTGTACCTAACCTAACCTCTTTTCCCTAAATAATCTCCCAAGCGTCTTAAAAATTGACAGGATTAATACTTTTAAACTTGTACAGAATAAAATTGATAATACGAGTATCGATTTAACTATTTAAATACCTTATTAACAATTTTTGAAAAAAAAAACCCAATAGAAGACTCAAACCACAATAAGTTATTAGAATGATGATAATGAATGATGAACTTACATTATGTTATTGCGTGGAAAGACTTCGGGCAATGGTGCATATACTTTTCGCCACGTGGAAACAAGTTATATTTATCATAATATGTTAGAATGGTACTACACTTTTGAGACTTGATCATCGAGTAACGTTGTAACGTTGCAACGTCGCAGTCTAAACAAGCGACTTCGGCAACGTTGCCAACATTTCTCCTCCAACCACTCCAACCGTTACTCCTCACCTAACGTTACGTTACATTAACGTGGGGGAAGTGCGATAGAATTACAAGAAATTTTTACATATATACATATACTTATATCGCGAATCTGAAACATAAGATCGAATACCAAAACATAAAGACACTAATAAATCATAAACTTTGAATAAACACGTATCTAAAAGTTATCGACGTATATCGTACACATCATTATATATATATGTATTTCACATGAAATCTATCATTTGCGCATGCGCGATGTCACCTGAATATGCTCCATCAATTTCAGCAGTAGATTTTTTTTCTTGGTCGAAGAATTTACACTTATCCGAAAACATTTCTTTTGTTTTTACAATTAAAATATGATATTCTGATACAAACAAGCAATTGTTCCGAAAATATAATAACATAAATAAATATATCAAAATGCATTGTTAAGAATAACTTATTTATTATGATGAATTATTATATATGTTATTAAAAGTATATATCAATTGTATACTACTATATACTAGATAAAGATATGATACTTAATTAGTAATTAGAATATTAGTATAAGGTTGTTTAAATTATATTAATATAATGTTTTTTTAAAACAATATATATAGTATTAATTAAAGTACTTCAATCTTTTAGTATAAATATTGGAAATTACCTTTAAGACTATACTGCTTATTCCACCTGATTTTTCTGTTTGTATTATATGATCGATATTTAATATCGTTTTATATATCATTCTATTTCTTGTATATATCATTTTGATTTGTCCTGTATATATTTACTCATCTGTTAGTACCTGCAAGATATATATATATATATATATATATATATATGTGTGTGTGTGTGTTTTTATTTCTTCATTTTTACACACAGACATTTTATTTCTTTATTTTTATTATTTAATTTTGTGATTATAAATTATTATTTTTATGAAATTTACTAAAAACTTTACTACAAAAATAGCAACTAAATATAATTATTATTTGAATATATAATTATATAATAAAAAGAATCAAAATTAATAAGAGACATATATATGCACATTGAATAAAATGAATAAGATATATAAAAAATATATTGTGTAAAATATAAAAATTTAACTATGTGCTTTGTGGAATTATATATATTTCTGAATTTATATATATAAATAATAACAAATATCTAAATTTAATTTATTTGATATATAAAGAACCTTTGTAGAAATTTATCACTATAGTAACACCAATTAATCACTTATTTCGAGTACTTAAAAATACTGATATACAGTAATTTAAGTACTCGAAATAAGTGATAAATTGGCGTTACTAGTGATAAATTTTTATAAGGAAAGAAAAAAGAAGAAAAAAGTTAAACAACATATATATTTATAAGTACAAAATATATTCTTATATTTTTTACATTATAAATATTTTTTGCTATAAATAGAATATATAAAAATTTAATAATAAAAATTTGTGTATACTTTATGAATACTCTTTGTGTATGCATGTGTTGTGTTCTGTATGCATATTGTATGTGTATATGGGTGTGTACGTGTGTACCCAGATAGCCACAGTAATTATTATGACATCATTTTGATGTCAAAATGCATCATTTTGATGGCAAATAATGCATTTTGACATCAAAATGATGTCATAATAATATTACTGTGGTTATCTGGGTATATATGTATAAATCTATATATATATATATATATATATATATATATATATGTTTATATCTATTTATAAGTAAGTAAATTATTATCACTGTTTTATTGCTTCATAAAGAAAAAAAATAAATATAATAATAGAGAAAAATTGTATATATATGTATATATATTAGTTTCACTTTTTTCAAATAAAAATTAATACTAATAATGAATAATTTAGAAAATATATGATAAATTTTTTGCAATCGATTGCAATTAATATTTATAAATATATATATATATATATATATATATATATATATATATAGATGCTCCTGTTTTACATAAAATTAGATTATAATATAATTGCTGTTGTTTTAATATTCTTTCTTATATTTTTCTTTTTAAGTTGATTATTATAGATTGTTCCTTATTGTGTACATAAAATACGTTATTTTATCTTCCTCGGGAAAATTAAAATAATATGCAAAAAATTGAAATAAAATTAAGAGAAAAATATTTTATAAAAACTTTGAATATATATCGCGTATCATATTATATATTAATCAGTGCTTTATATAAAAATCATGAATATATTTTTTTATTAAATGTTTTTTTTTTTAATATATGTATACTTTTTTATGTATATGTATATTTGTTTAGAGAATACGCATGCGTCTCATCATTGATAACATATTTAACCTGATAAGTTATATCGAGTAAATCCATCTTTATACGTGTGTGTGATAATATATATAGTAATCATACTTACTTAAATTTCAAAAAATAGCAAAATGCACTTTCATACTTCTAATTAATGTATACGTAGAATGTCATCATTATGTAAATTATATACATGCATAATGATCGAAATGACATTAATTATACTAACATGTATTCGAGTAAATGTGTCGTCTGAAAAGACGCAATACTAAGTATAAAGAGGTTATTTGCTTTCAATAACATGAAGTTATTTAAAATAGATCGTGTATCGACCGAGAGTAAAAATTACTAGAGTACAGTCAGCGTCAAAAGTTGACGAAAGCAGATTTTCCTATATATATATATATATATATATATATATATATATATATATATATACTTGTAGTGAAATATTTATCGTCTTATTGACGTAATATAAAGAAAGAAACTTTTTTGTGTACCTATTATCGAAATGCATTGTATAATCCTCTTGTTACATTACATTACATTACATTCTATCGATATACAGAGACCATGATTATTTCGAAGAGACGTTTAAATAAAATCAAAGCGATCTTTCACCTTCGTTGAACATTCGACGTCGAGAGAAGAGATGAGCACAAAGTAAAAAAAATACAATTGCATACATACGGTATTTTGAATGTGCAAAAATCACGACAGGCCCCGTTCGCAAGCTCCCTCGCGATTGGTCGACTGGAGGCTCCCGTGACGTCAGACGTCGGCGTGGCTGGTAACTAGACGGGCGGCCAATCAGAATCGAGCCTCGCGTCACCGCGAGCTGACCAACGCGCCGCGTAGCAAAGGACTGGAAAAACAAACTGGGCGATTGGGGCTCGGCGAAAGGGTAGTGAATGTCGTTTCGGTAGAGAATCTCCGACAGAGGAATTAAAAAAAAAAAAAAAAAAGAACAAAAAAATCTCGACGACAATGCGGCCGAGGTGCGGACAGGCTGACTCGCGGCTGAATATGAGAAATGTCACGCGCTAACTTTCACCCGCTGACCCGTGATTGACGTGCGAGTAAGACCGATCATCATCATCATCATCGTCATCACCATCATCATCTGTGTGCGTGTGTAATAAATTTTCTCTCGCCCGGTCGGTTCGGTTTTACGGCTCCGGAAAGGAAAGAGAGAGCGAGGAGAAGAGAGTCCTGTCCCGGAGGCGGATCCGCATGCGTAATAATTGTCTGTCTCTCCTCTCCGATCGAAATACATTGTCCGACCGGAGAGCACTCTCGGGGTACTTGGCGAAGAAAGGGAAGTTGCTGTAATGGCCGCCGTGTCATGAAATGAAGGTGCCCAGCCAGTTTTGTGGTGCCACAATGGAGGATAGCTGTAGCCCCGCGTCCCAGAACCACAACGGCCAGCTGGCCGGAGGCGCGAACGTCTCTCTCGCCAATAATAAGCACCAGGGCGGCAGCGACAACGGCAGCAACGGCGACGCCAAGGACCAGCGGCCGCAGTATTCGATGCCTGGTATCCTGCACTTCATCCAACACGAGTGGGCCCGCTTCGAGCTCGAGAGGTCCCAATGGGAGCTGGACAGGGCGGAATTTCAGGTATACACTTGGAAATTTCTTGCCCTGACGCGAAAAACTCGCCCGGACGCGCGATAATTCGTCCTTGCGTATTTGTCACTTGTCAGCTGTCATGTGACAGCGGAATCGAGTCGAGACTGAAAAAATCCAAACAAATATCGGTGTTGAGATAATAAATGCGAATAATTGTCAGGAACTTGAATACGTGGTTGTTCGTAGTAAATACTGTTGCTCTCGATTCATTGTGTTGTCAAACATAGCAAGTGCCTTTCTCTTCGTGTTTGAGCCTTAAAGATATTGTTTGGCGAACTGTGAAATAAAATATACAAAACAGTATCGTTAATAAGAAATTCTTAACATTGATTAATTTTTTTCATATTTTGTTGTGTAGGCTAGGATAGCTTTCCTTCAGGGTGAGAGAAAAGGGCAAGAGAATTTGAAGAATGACCTTGTGAGGAGAATAAAAATGTTAGAATATGCGCTTAAGCAAGAAAGGTAAATAATTATCATTTATGTTTATATATACATATGATGTTATAGTACAGCAATATTATTTATGAAGAAATATCTTTAATTGAGATGAAACAGTAACAATAAAAAAAAACTAATTAATAAGAAAACAAAGAGGAAAATTGGTTAATGAGAGCCAAGCGCTCAAAACATAAAGATCTTTTTAAAAAATTCCTTTAATTATATATTTTAGTTTCTTTTGTTGAATCAAGTAACTTTTGACCAAATTATGAATCTACAAATTATATGAATTTTTATTGAGTACCTATAATAAATGTTATTAAAGTATTTTATTAATAGTTATTATTATTAAGTTATGTGTGATTGCAATAGAATATTTTTAGTGATATTCATATAATTTTAAATCACAATATGTATTAGAATACAATCTTGTAATTTTTACAGAGCGAGGTATCATAAACTAAAATATGGTACTGACTTAGTAATGCAAGGAGATATGAAACCACCTCTTTATGAAGAAGGTACTACGTGCAATATCTCTGAAAGTGGTGGCGGTGGCGGAAGTGGCGGTGGCAGTGGCGGTGGTAGTGGTGGAGGAGGCGGAGATGGAGAGGCTTCATTCACATCTGTCAGTAATGTTAGTTGGAGACAAGGTCGCCAGCTTCTAAGGCAGTATGTAAAATGTTTTGTTTAAAAAAAAAATACGATTTTTAAATTACTAATATACAAAGTTTATTCATATTTATTTAATTTATTGTATTTTATATATATATATATATATATATTATATATATATGCACACATGAAAATAAAAAACATATATAATCTAAAAAAATATCTTTTTAAAATATTTTAATATTCTAAAAAAATTTTCAAAGAAAAAGAAACTTTATAAGGACCTTTTTTTAGATATTTGCAAGAAATTGGATATACTGATACAATAATAGATGTACGATCAAACAGAGTACGATCATTGCTTGGTTTAAATAATAACACAGACACAGAGGAATGAATACTCCAGCATTAAATGGAAATGAAGGAATAGTACAAGATAAGCAAGAATATAATGAAAGTCTTGTACGCCGAGGAAAGCAGCAACATCCCCAAAAAAAGGTAAAATATAACTAAACGTGTTTTTTACATTTGACATTAACAAAAGAACTTGAGTGTTATTGCTAATTTTAGTTTAAAATTATATAAATTAAATTAATAAAAATTTATTATCAAAATTAAGAAAATATTGAAATACATTATAAAAGTATCTAAATCCGTATTATACTTTATATCTATTTATATCTAATATAAAAAATATAATATTCTTATTTTAGCAACAGCCATCTTCTATAGCAGAGGCAATGATATTAGACACAGAAGCAGCTGTTATAGCAAATTTCGAATTTTTGGGTCACACTGATATGGACATGGAAGAAGAAGAAGGAGATGTAGAAGATGAAATTTATGATGCAAATACAGATAGCAAACCAAATAAAGTAATTATTATTAATTATTATTATTCTCTATATACTCTTTTATTATATTTTACTTTATGATATATTCATTATCTGTTATAATGTGTTATCTATTTATGTACTAATATAACTTATCTTTCTCTTGCAGGCATCTATGCCCCTTCTAGGAGAAGATGTTGATACAGATGCAGAAGCAGAAGAGGTATTAAACGAGTTAAATCTTCTCACAGAAATTGAAGAATCACCACCTGGTTCTATTCATCTGGAAATGAATTCTTCAGAATGGAGTAAGTAATGTTCTTATTTATTCACATATTTCAGATTTCAAAGTTATATATTTCAAATGTATTTTATTTCAAAGTATTTACATACTATATGTTTGTTGCTAATTGTTGTTACTTTTTGCAATCAATTAATGCATTGTGCTGTTGCAGATGCAATAGAGATGCATAGAGGATTACAACTGGATCCAAGACGTCCAAATAAAGAAGGTGATTCCACATTGGAACTAGGAGAGTTAGAGCAATTATGTGTTAACAATGATGCAGAAATATCATATGATGTAAGCTGAAAGATTTTTTTCTAAATTTTAGAAGTTTATATTCAACATATAATTTACTAATGCTTCCATATGTATTATTATACAACAGATGGTTTCCACCACAAAAGAGACTTTCAGAAAAACGTGGAACGCAAAATATACATTGCGATCGCATTTTGATGCTGTTAGAGCACTTGTCTTCCATCCCACAGATCCAGTTCTTATCACCGCAAGTGATGATCACACGCTGAAATTGTGGAATCTTCATAAGACTGTTCCAGCTAAGAAGTTAGTAAATTCTATCTTATAAGAACACACAATTTTGATCATTTAATGATGATTAATGTATTTTAAAGATATATATTGCACTGTTTTTACATTTTATTTTTTTCTGTGTACAGGTCAGCTTCATTAGATGTAGAACCACTTTACACGTTCAGATCACATACTGGACCTGTATTGTGTCTAGCCATGTGCAGTGCGGGCAATCGATGTTACAGTGGTGGTTTAGATGGCAATATCCATTGCTGGACACTTCCATCAGCTAACATTGATCCATACGACTCGTACGAACCAAGTGTCCTTAGTCACACATTAACAGGGCACACAAATGCTGTTTGGGGCTTGAGTATGTATCATCTGCGTCCTACCATGCTGTCGTTCAGCGCAGACGGAACTGTAAAATTATGGGCACCACAGGCCCCACAACCTCTTCTCAATACATATGTCTCGGAACAAGGTACAACCAATATTATTATAATCTTTTTAAATTTAAAACGATGCACCATGTAGATAATTATTAGCAAGTAGAGCATGTTTTATTGCTAAAATAACACAAAAGTCAAATTCGCAGAACTTTTATCTAGCAAATATTGATTGAATAAGTAAGTTTTTTCTGTATATCGTAAACTTTCGTAGATTATTAAATATGTGTCATAATAATTTTTCTTTTTCTTTATAGACGGTATACCGACTTCGGTTGACTTTATCAGAGACGAGCCGCACAAGCTGGTCGTAGCTTATGAAGGAGCTTGCGTGGTATTTGATACTGAAACTGGCGCGATCGTTGCGCGACTCGAGGCGAACGAAACGAAGGGCGTGAATCGCGTTGTAGCACATCCAACATTACCACTCGTTGTAGCCGCACACGAAGATCGGCATATTCGTTTTTACGATCACCGGTCAGCTACTCTTGCTCACGCGATGGTGGCGCACTTGGATGCAGTTACTAGTCTCGCTGTAGATCCTCATGGTCTATACTTACTTTCAGGAAGTAAGTACAAAGAAAGAGGACGATTAATCTTCTGTAAAAAAAATTCAAAACGTGAAATAGTCATGTTTAAGGCTCCTGGATCCTCACCGCGATCATGTCAGATTGTGATGTCAGAGGCGAAGAGCCAGGAGCTTAATGTTATGTATTTTATCGTTTCTAATTCAATAATTATTATATTCGCGCAGGTCATGATTGCAGTATAAGATTATGGAATATGGACAACAAGACTTGTGTTCAGGAGATAACAGCGCATCGGAAGAAATTCGATGAAAGTATTTTAGACGTAGCGTTCCACCCATCACGACCGTTTATAGCGAGCGCCGGTGCTGACGCTCTCGCCAAAGTGTTTGTGTGAAATGTGTAAATCCAGAGATACACTTACATCAAAATAATTTCTATTATTACATCAAATCAAGCAGTTTTTGTACTATTATTCTTTTTTAGATAGCCTTATAACTTTACGCGTCCATCCGCATACACACATACACATATACATACGTATACACGTTTCCAATTTCCGTTTGTAACTCTGATCGTTCTCTTCTGATCGTTCCCATTTTCCGAGGTACCGGTTTATAAAGAAATCAAATTGATCGTATATAGTATTCATAAGAAATGAAAAATTTTATCCGTAACTCTTGTCTGTGACAGTTTATGGAAAGAAAAAATAATTTTAAATATAAACGCGCTGCTTGTTGATGTTAATCATCATTAAGTAGCCAATACTATTTGGAGAATAGCGGGGAGGGGTCTATCATGTAGAATATTAGCCGATATAGTCCCGATAATTAGAGGAATCAGCCCCTTACCCACAGAATCCAGGAAGTACACTGCCGCGGTAGCGTAATATTTATCCTTACGTTAACTATTTATTACCAATATCGCCGTTACTGTTGCACACTGCTACTGGGGATTAATACAATCGTAAATAATCAACGATACAGTTGTCCTAACTAAAAAATGCATTAATTAGTCTCCCATTACACATAATTTTTCCTGCTGCCTTATATATTCATCGAGGCTAGCACACAACATAGTAATGATAATAATAATCGTAAGTTAATTATAATAGACATATTATAATAACAATAAATTATATAAAAAATTGTGTGTTTCTCTGTAATATATTGTATTTAAAAATAGATAACTGTGTAACGTATTATAATGAACATTTTTTATTAAAATCTCATTCCATTATTTTCTTATTAGGTAACATAAACGCGCGTTTGCGCGCGCCAAATAAACTTTTAGGCTGAATTTCCATCGAGCGCGTCAACGAATTAACCAATCAATACATTCATTTGTCGGCCATTTTATTATAATTGACAATTTTATTTTGATGAAAAGATAAAGATGATGTTTGGGGTTTAGAGTCCTATAATATGCTATTTTAGCAATCGCATTCATTGTATACAAAAATAATATAAAGATGTCAGATTTTAGTCAGTATATTATATTGTATTCGGCAGTGACGAAAATTTTCTTTCCTCCCCCCTCTAAGTTATTTTGATATGATGGAAAATAGTAAACAGGATTTTTTTGTAATAAGACAAGACTGACAAGCGTCCTATATGTATTGTAACAAAGTATCTTTTAAAAGTAAACACTGTAAACACATATATCTCAAATAAATATTTTTGATTTTTATAAATTAATAATTTTAATAATCGAGCGTACACAGTACGAAATTAATTTTAAACACAAAATATAGAGAAACCACATCGAAATTTCTTTTGACGAGATTATATAGTAACTTTTATCTCGTCCTCGCTTTTACATTTAATTGGCTAAACTCTTTATTAAAGTGATTTGGTTTTAAAAAATATGACATGTATTTCACATTATTTATAAATTTATACTTTCTTATTTTTAAAATAATATATTAAAAATATAATTATAATATATATATATTATAATATATTAAAATATATATCAGTAATATACATTAATTTGTAATTATTAATTTGTAATATATTTTATATATTTATTTATAATATATTATTTATACAATATATTTAAAATATATTTTTTAATATGAAGTTGGATTGAACTGAAGCGGTCTTCACTTTAAAAGTAAAGCGATCTCAATATGGCGGTACTGGAGGTGATGGTGGGGGTCCAATAATCGCTTCTCTCTATATAGGACTCTAGTGCCAAGTGCTGTCATATGATTTCCCATGCAATTCCACGTGATTCGAAACTGAGCGCATGTCTTCTGTCTCTCTCTTTCTCTCTCTCTCTCTCCCTTCCTATCTCTCTCTTCCCTATCACTCTCTTTTTCTCTCCTTCGTTCAGAAGAGAAATTTTTTTCGTATAAATTTCTGTTAAAGAGACCTGTCAAAAAGCGTTAAAACAATGGAAATTATATTTCCATGTGTTTTGTAGGATTCCTCGTGATTGCAAATTCATTTGAATCATCCTACGATATATAATATGCCATCTCAGTAAGCAATGCAGTGCGGATGTATACACTATTGTATTATGATGACTATCTGAGAAGCATTTTACGTTAGATGCAATCGCGTTAATCAGCCATAGCGTTTGTATCCATACATGTATCGGTGTGATCCCGTGATATTCTTCGTGACTAATTCGATAGAAATCAACGGGAAAGCTGTCAATGATCCCGAGAGAATGAGAAAATTTCGCACGCCCGTTCCAGGCATGAAAAAAGCGCTTCCAGCTTCTTAAGAATCGTTTTGTTGCTGCACCTCGTAAGTGATAAAGTTTCCCAAATTTTTATCTTACGTCGAAAAAAAAACAGGAGAAATGAGTGAAACAATGCAAATTTTTCACGACACTCGTTTTATCCGAAATTTGACAGCATGCTTATAATTGTCTAATCTTACCTGCAAAATCCTCTGACAGGTTATGCGCGAATAAAATCTAGATCGATTTCATTCACTAATTTGAATCAGAACGTCGATGAACTGCGATATGTCCTGTTTTTCTTATGAATATCGTGACTTAAAGGCCTAATTATGGAGCGGAATGGTGCTAGAGAAATGGAGGAGCGTAGATGCATTCGAGATACTGGGAAGGCCTTAAAGAAGTATGGAAGTACAGCTAAACACATGACAAGGACCGAGAGTTTGGTGAAACACACTGTGTGTTCCACGGATACCCTCCAAGGAATAGCTCTGAAATATGGAGTTACGGTAAAGCTCATTCATGTACATTGTTCTGTCATTTTTATACTTTATATTTGTGTCACGTATTTCACTCAATGTTCAATATCACCCACTTAAGACAATAATTATTGTCAATGTATAATTGATGTGAATTTTTGCAGACAGAACAAATAAGAAGGATTAATAGATTATGGGCATCGGATAGTTTATTTTTGCGAGAACACTTGCTTATTCCTATTAATACAGATAGTTCTGCTTCTATATGTAATAATGAATCGGTAGCTCCTGAAGAGCATGACATCCCTCCAAATGTAAGTAAAATTTAAAAAGTATCATAAAAGACATGTACTCTATTAAATAGTGACATTTATATTCTAGTAAAAATAGGCATACTTTACAAATACATATATTTTGCAGATATCTAGTCCTTCTTCAATATCACCTATTGATGATGAAAGTTCATTTAATGATTTTTTAGCTAAAATGGATACTTCAATAGCTAATACCATGAAAGAAGTTGAACGTGCTCAAGGGAACAGTGAGTAAGTTATTTTCCATGCTTTATATGTAGTATAAGTGCAATATTCAAGTAAAATTTATATATTTTCAAGCATGCATTGTATATAAAATATCAACCTGATGATTTAAAAAAGGTATAAAAATTAAAATAGGCAAATTTTTACTTATTCAAATACTCTCTTATCTGCAAATTCAAATTTAAGCATAAGATATATCCTTTAACAAATATATCTTCATAAATTAACCATTTTATTACAGATTCTGTACTGATAGCAATGATGTTTATGTACAACGACGGCATGGATCGGCTAAATTACGAAACTCATTTCCTACTACGTCGAATAGCTATTCGACACCCTCCTCTGATTCTGTCAGACCCATGTCCTCTAGTGATATGCATAATTTTCCAACTGCTGTAGTAATGACACAAGGAAAAAAAGTAAAGACTTCTTTGCAAAGACTCGAACAGCAACAAGATGAAATGTTCCAATTGTAGCGTTTAAGTTTTATTGGGTTGTAATATTCTGATTGTCGACTGTTATTAAACAGCTTGTAGGAAAGGATGTACTGTATATCAATGTGATAGGAAATTGTTTTTCATGTTCAATGTTGATTGAGCCAGTTATAAATTTAATTAAACAACATTGTTCTTTTCTGATTTTTGCTATCAAAATATTGTTTGTATTCTTATAGCATTATTCTTACATAATGAATGCACTGTATTTGAATTTTATGTTTTTTTTTTTATGATACTCATGCAGAATAGATCAACTAACTTTTATACTGTTTAAACATTACAGTAAACTGTTTAACTAATGTTATTTAATGGACCATATGTGCCTTGAATATAAATATCTCTAAATTATGTTGAAATTCTCTCAATACTTAGTTTCTGCCTAGTTACATATCTCATAAAAATTGATATAAATTTTTTTATTTTAATTTTTTTAACTTTATAAAGCACTGTGATAAAATCACAAATTTGACAAAAAAAATAGCTGCATAATAGAGAAGTAGTGCAAAAACTACATATAACTAAATTATAGGATCTATCTATGCAATGCGACCTTTTAAATTAATTGTTATATTTGTTATAATAATAATAAATATATTTTATTTTCTCTTAGCTATCTTATTATAAATTCTTAATATTTTCTTCTCTTACAATAAAAAAACTATATAAAATTTTTATAATATTTAAATATATTAATGTTATTTTATTTATAAAAATCCTGGCGAAATTAGAAAAAGCAACAGTTGTGAGGGAAATATAATAATATTATAAATTAGTTCCTTTAATATTAATTCTTAATTAAACTAAATTTTTTTTATAAATAATTGTATAATTCATGAAATAATATTAATTTTAAATAATATCAATTAATGTAAATATTAAAACATAATCTTAGATATATAATTCCAAATCATTCTTTAAAATATAATATAAAAAGATCCTAAAACTAAAGAGAATTAATTATTTAAAATTATAATTTTTACAAAAAATTAATAGAAATTAATAAAAAATTAATACTGAGACAAATTACTATTATTTCTAAAAAAATACTTGTATCTAGACTTGATATCATATATATATATATACATATGTATGTATCCAATTTTGTACATAATCTAACAGAACCTTGTATGTTATGCTGTATATATTGTTGATAGTAATACTAGTTGACAAAATGTTGTCTGTAATTCATACTTATACAATATAATTTTATTGTAAAAATATATAAAATGTTATATATATATAGATATATATAAATTATATATGAGTTATGTTATAATCTCTGATGCGTTCTCTCATTTATATATATATATAGTCTTGATATATGTAAGTTAGGAAAAATATAATTAAATGATGACTATATAAAAAAGGTGTAAATTGTAAATATAAATTAAATAAAAAATTCAAAAAATATATAATAAATCTTATTATTTTTATCACACTATAGCTGCATAAAAAATTTGAGAAAGTAATATTACTTTTAAAGTATTACATCAATCTTCATAAAGTACACAGTTTCTACAGAAACATATTTTCTATAATTTCTCACATTTTTCTTAACTTCTTAAATAGTTTTTAGAAGTATAAAAAATATAAATAATAGTGTATAATATGTACAAATACATTTCTCTAACTTTATCTGTTTATAGTTTTATTTTTTCATATAGTATATCTACTTTGGAGTTAATTATTCTTATAGGAGGTTTTACATATTTATCGCAGGAACACTTTGTATCATTTACAAAGTTGAAAGATCCAAAGCGACTCTTACAATGTGGACAATGTAATTTACCTTTAATCCAAGATTCCTGTAAAAATAATTATTTTAGTTTATACACAAACATTTTTTGAATTTTAATATAGAAAGAATAAAATGCAGAAAAAATACCTGGTTGATAATACTTATAATCCAATCTGGTGCATTTTCTGCAGTCATATATGAACAACAATCAGATTGATCTGTTTGACATCTTAGATCTGTTGGCTGTAACTTTACTTCGTTATGTGCATTAAATAGAATAGAGTCACCTTTAAAAAGGCATTTACAACAATGCCTGCATTTCACTTCCATGATGTACTAAAAACAGTTAATGCAAAGAATAAGTTAACTAATATATATATATATATATATATATATATATATATATATATAAAAATATATATTATTTATTATTATTAATTATATATTTTATTGCTAACTGACTTGACAAGAAAATTTTATAAATGTAAATTAAAATCATAGAGGAGTTTATATATCTATTATATTATAAAAGCTATTTTAAAAAATAACATTTGCACAACTTACCAAGATGTGTGCTATTAATTATTATACTATTGTGATTATTATTATTTTAATAAAAGGTATAATTGGAACATATATTTTTCTCAAAATTACGTTCCCTTTAAATATAACTTTAAAAAATACAAAATTGCACCAAAAATAAGTTTTTATAACCTTCTTCTTGTGTCTGACACTTAATGTGAATATAACCTTTATAACCAATGCTGTGTAAGTAAAGCGTCATGTTTTTTGCAGAAAAAATTGCAATTATCTAAAAGTAGGAATTTTTAATACATCTTATAAGGAAATAACTATTTTGTTATAAAAATAAAATAATGTATACTTTAGTATGTAATATATATGTAGATGTATAAAGTTGATACTTTGTTTATTTCATTGTCATTACATTCATGTAAATGGCCTTAAAATGAATCTCAATATATACTACTTTTAAATGAAAAACTGTAAAATATACAGTGTATGAGAAAATAAATGCGTGGCTAATATACCTTATAATTATATCTTAACGCAAAATACAAAACAAATTTTATCATTAAAATAATATATAACATTAACATAACATTTGCACATTAAACAACAGATATGTTCAATCTTCGCCTGCTGGTATTGCATCTTCTAATCTTTTGATAAATTTGACACGCAATTCGGTTACATTATCGTTTTTAAGTTGATCTTGTACAAACCAGCAGGCTATTTCCATTTGCACCATTTCACAAGCTCCTCTAAGTACGCCAGTTAATATATTACAATACTTCAAGTTTGAACAATTATCTGGTAATTCTACAAATTCTGTTAATGGATTTGTCTCGAAACACAAAGAGAATTCGTCTCCAGCTGGGCTCCAATTTGTAATTGATGGTGTTATACCGAGGAATATCTTGAAGCCACTCTGGATCTTTTCAGCTGTATCTCTAAAGTCGTAACATCGACCAGAACCAGTCCGTGCTAGAAAATCCTCTATCAGTCGAATTCCTATGTTGTATCCCATTCTTTCTAATTGTTTGTTCACATCTTCCACATTCTCGTAGTCTTTGATCAATTGGGCTACAAGTGCGCCATAAGTTAGAGTAAATAGTTCAGAGTTCTGCAATATAAATAAATATATATATATAATAAATAAATAAATGCAGTATAAATAAATATAAATAAATATACAATAAATAAATAAATATAAATCAATTATAAATATAAATTAATACTAAATAAGAGAACAACATTTTTCATGATACACAGACACTGAGCGGACAGTAATATTTTGAATATTTGCTAAATTTCTCAATATTAATTTCTAAAATTTAAATTAAAAATCTCCAAATAATCATTAATTTTCAAACTAATAAGAATACATGTCCCTAACCTCTCAAGACTAATTTTATACTTGATATAGATATTAAAAAATCATATAACACATATCAATATTGCATTAATATTTCACGTGCAAATAAAACAATAATATACTTGCCACTTTTTTCGCATCAAGTTTTGTTCCAGTTCGTGACATTGTTGATACTTGTCATAAACAATTAGGACTGAACTTTTCTTTTCCCGATAAACACACCTCTATTCTGTCTATCTTATTCTAAATTTCTCGTAATTCTGAATTGTTCTGGTTTATAAAATGTAATTTTTTTTCAGAATAGCGAAGAAAAGTCGAAGTTGAATGGCTAAGTTTCCGGAGCTGTCAATCCAACAGTTCCAGAATAGAGATCAGCTGTAAATATAGAATCGATTAACGCTATCGATTATAATCGAGATAGCAATCGATGCGCTCCGTTTGACATCATTGACCAATATCAGAGTACAGAAATTTTTCATTTCGTTCATAAATCTTCGTAGTGTCACAGAATCTGTGGTAGTGTCAAATAGATGTTTTTCAACATGAATTTTATATTTTCCTTTATTTAAAGACAAAATACATTCTTCTGACATAGTTTTTATTTCGGATAATATTCAATGACATATACTTAGATAAGTTGATAAAACTTTCATACTCTAGAAAAAAATATAATATATGTGTACCTTTTTTTTTTAATATTACATCTCTTGATATATTTGCATGTAGTTTAATAGAATTGACAAAAAATAAGAGAATAAAAAAATAAGTTTTATTTACTATGGTATATCTTCAATGTAACCATTGTTAAAATCTCAATGAGATTTACTGCAAGCGCCTTTGACTTTACTTTCTACATGATTGTCTTCAAATATATCCTTAATAATATCGCGTTTTGGTTTCGAATGTGTAGGTAAACCACGATATAAATTCTCCGTTATCTGCATTCTGTTTGTGTTGTGATTCTTGAATCCTTGATTTAAATATTCAATATTTTCATTGTCATCAATAGCTTTCATCGTAGCCAATAGCTTTTCTTTATCATAATTAATTGCTTTCTTTTTGACATTTATTTGTTTATTATCTACTCGCTCAGTTTTTGTGCTATTAGTCTGATCAGTCTGATGAGACATATTAGTGGATAATGTATCGACATTTCTTGCTTCTAATGAATTCAATTTATTTTTTGTTTCTACATTGATATTGTTTGTATTTAATGTTTCTTCATTGCTTTGGTGTATTATACTTGGCGTTTCCTCTACTTTAGACCTAAGATATTCCTCTTCTAAGGTATGTGCAGAATGAGTGCTTTCATTAGAATTTGCTGTGAAATCCTCTTCATAAATTTGTTGTGAACTATTTTTGGCTTCTCTCCTTTTTGGACTTGATAAATTTTTAATTTCCTTATATTCGTTATTTGTATCACAATAATCCTTGTCAGATGATGTATCAGTATATAATGGTTTATCTTCCAAATATATTTCATCTTTTTCTTTTATGTAGTCTTCTTTTTTAATATCAATCGATGAATCTGTTCCATTATCTATTTCATTATCTATTCCATTATCTTCCAGGAATTGTTGTCTTTCCAGCCATTTCTTTGCAGACTGTTGAGGAATTTCTATATTTTCCATATGGTCTAGAATATGATCAGATATCCTTCGTAACTGTGCATTCCTTAATTTTCCAATGTCAGATTGTTCTCTTATTTCTGAAGCATCATGATTTGCGTGAACAATATCATTAAAAGATTTACTAAATTTAGTGTACTTGGATAAATCAGCTCGAAGATTATTGGTTTTATATTCTATGGAAGAATCTCTATTTATATCTATCTTTTCGTTAGAATCAAATTCGGAATCACTATCGTAAACATCTTTGTTTCTATACTGCATTAATTTATTCTTCTTTTTCTGAAATATTAAGTCCTTTGCCAAACATGCATTTAATTCTTCCTCCTCTTCTTCGTCACTACAATGAATATCTGCCTTTTTCATCATATCATCCAAAGTATCAGAGATATCGTCTGTGCTGCTAATTAATCTATAACAGAAATGATAAAATAATTGCAGTATAAAGTTAGAATCATTATTTCATTAATATAAATATATATATATATATATATATATATATATATATATAAATTATATAATACTGTATTATGATTCAGAAAATTGTACGTATATTTTCTTATTATTTATACCTTGCGTATAATTCTCTAGATTTCTGTGCAGTATCTGTATCATATTTCATATGATATTCAAAAGTATTTCCACTCTCTCCATCGTCAGATGAATGATCATCGGATTCAATGTCCAGTTCTTTTTGCAGATTTTGCTTTTTTATTTTGCTGAATAATTTCCGCAATTTGCCGCTTTCGTTTTCATCGTCACTCAGATCATTTCTTTCTAGAATTTCTTTATACTCTAGTGTGATTTGTTCATTATGAGCTCTCATTTCTGATTCTTTAGATCTAAATCTTAAATCGTCCATGGAATGCGCATTTTTACGCATCTGTGGTGATCTTTGCAAACGAAATTTTCGGACTTGTTGCAGATTTGTCATTGTTTCCGATTTTAATCGATCCGCTGAATGATTTGTATTATTCGTATAATTTATCCGAGTCACTTTTTCATCTTCATTAGACTCCAATGTATTAAGCAGTGGCTACAATTATAACACACTTATAAAATCTTTGTTAATTATTGTATGTAAATTATTATAATTTATTCTCACCAAATTGTTCTTTGATATATCAGTTTCACTTCTTTTACTCCTATTGGATATTTTAACTGGATTAAAGGTGCTAAAATGTATACATATACATTAATAGATCTCTATTTTATATATATTATTAGAAATAAATATATAAATAAATAAATATATATATATATATATATATAGATATATACATATAAATGTACCTGAGATTTGTAAGAGAATGGCTACCTAGATTTTTCTCTTTATAAATTGGCAACTGGCTATTATAATATAATCTCTTCTCTCTATTGTCTAATAAACATTCTAAACTTTTTAATTTCTCCATTGTTTCCTGTAAAGTTTTCTGTGTCTCTTTGTGTTTAGAAATCTCGACATGTAATTGATGCTTCAAACTCTTAGTTTCAAGTGCAAGTTTTCTATGTAAAAGCTATAAAAAGAATATTTTATATACATATACAAGAGTAATAATTATACAACATAATTATATTAATATACAACATAGTATATTTTATTTCCTATTATCTATTAATATAAAATAAATATATTGACAGAGAGAGCTACCTGTATAGTTTCCTGTTGCTGTTGCATTTTATGATTCATGTCGGATAATTGCAATTGCAACTTTTCTCTTTCTTCAAGATTTCGATCTTTACTAAGTTGCAATAGATGCTTATTTTGTGACTGCAAAATAAAATTTTTTTAAAAATCTATGACAAATATCATATTTAAAAATATTATGTACACATATACATTACATATGAATATATTATACATGTATATTTCAATATATTACATATGTAAAACATATATGTATATATATATATATATAAGAAATACATTTGCAGAATAAAGTTCATTTTCTTTTTCTTTTAACAAGTTGCACGTATCCTTATGTAACTCTTTTAATTTTTTATATTTTGTTTGAAGTATTCTCAGTTCTTCGTGATGCGAATTTATAAGTCTTGGTAACTCAGCATTTGTTCCTTCGTAACGCCTTAATGCAGAATCTTGTCTTTTCTGCAATGCTTTTAATAATCTATTTTCATTTGCTAATTCCTATAAGAAAATTATTTTTGTGTACTAAATAAATATCCACTATTAAATATATAGAATATATCAGCATATTTTTTTTAAAACTTGCATTGAGATGATAATGTGCATCAGCTAGTTGATTTTGTAACTGCTTAAAACGAAGCATTTTGCTGACATCACTCTTTGTCCAAGAACACTTTTATCACGAGATTTTGGTTGATCCAACATTGATTGTTTAATATTATCTCTATATGGTGCACCTATAGAGAGAGATATATGTATAAATATAATATACAATATATAATGAAGTATTACAAAATATTTAATATATTTTAATACGTTTTTATACAAACCAAGTAAAGGGTTCGAACATTTTTTGTTTGATGGAAATACTATCTTTTTGCAAGGAGACAACTTATTTTTGGATTCCAGTGTTGAATTTTTCGAATCAAGCTTTGGATTCCTGCAAATTGTACATTTAATAGATAAAATACATTAATTTAAAACAGAGTACTGAAATTTATAATTATTTTCTATTCTTTTTTTTTATATCGTAATATTATGATTTATTACACATGTCATTTGAATATTTGGAATAGATAATAATAAACTTTGGATATATATAAAGATATATCTATAGAAAATGTTTCAAATAAATTTTAACTAGGAATATACATTTTCTTTGTGTATTATTTGAACTTTGAGTATCTATACTTAGAAGTTTATCAGTACATCATACATATAACAATAAATATATATTCTCAAAGTTTTATTTACCTATTGACTGTTCTATGCACATTAAGCTGTACAACCGGCAAGATAGATGCTTCAGTTTGCATTTTATATTTATACACTGCACATTACAATTCGCATTGTAATTGTATGTTATTCTTTGCCAAGTTGTCACAGAACTGTCAAATGCTCCTTGTAGGCTAGTCGGCATCCATAATTGTTTTGAAGAGTTGTCAAGGCAACATCTGTGTAAGCATTAGTGATATAATGATCAATGTATGTGTGTGCTTTCCTTTAGTATTATTTTAAACACATTTAAAATATTTTTACTTGCAATATTAGCTCTATGCATAAGTTTCTAATAAAAAGCAAGCAAAAAATACTTTAATTAAAAAAGATTTGTATTGTTTTTTGATATATTATACATAAACAAAATTGCTCTAAAAATCTAGAAACTTATGCACAGATCTATCTTAACTGATACTAAATTTTCTCTTAATTATTTCTTTATTCTAAGTGAATAATATGTATTTCTTTATATAACAGTTTTCTGAATGGATAAAAATTTCTCAATTTAAATGAATTTTATATATCTAATTAGCACTCATAATTGTACATACATACAAATTATTTCAAAACAATATGTATTGCTTTTCCATTAGAATATTCACAGAATATTGTTTTTGATTAATTAAAATATTTATAAGAGTATGTATAAAGAGTATATAATAAAAATGGTTGTAACAAACTGATTGTGTATTACTGAATATATATATATATATATGTGTGTAATATTTTTGTTTATTAACAAAACATTATTTATACATAAACTTTATAACAAATAAGTCTTCTAGCTTTACAATTATATTTATATGTACAGCATATTGTAATATTTTCTAATTTGTAAAATTACTCCTTTGTAAATAAATTTGCTAAATTTTAATTATGAAATATTCCAAGAGCAGTTATTTCTTAGAACAAGACTTTCATTCATTTACATATATTACACGACAAGTACCTTTTTACCTAGATTATATTCTTTTTAATTAAGCTGTTCAGCTTTATTTTTATCTTCTTGAGGTTTCTTCATACCCAAATATTGAGTCTCCCACAATTTGCTATACAAAGAATTTGGTATAGATAACAAAGACTCATGAGTGCCTCTCTCGACTAGATTACCCTGATCTAGAACAAGTATATCATCGGCATCCATGACTGTCAATAAACGATGCGCAATCACGATTGAGGTCCGTTTTTCTGTCGCTTTGCGTAAGGCATCAAGTATATTCTGTAAATAGAATATTATTACATTTATTTAAACTATATAACTAATATCTAGTAACATAAAAAATTATATATTTATTTACGTGTTCTGTAATAGAATCCAATGAAGAGGTAGCTTCATCAAAGATTAGTATAGGGCTATTTTTCAGAATTGCTCTAGCAATCGCAACCCTTTGCTTTTCCCCTCCGCTTAATTTCAAACCACGTTCTCCCACAGGTGTGTCGTAGCCTTGTGGCCACTTTAATATAGAGTCATGTAGATTTGCCATTTTTGCAGCTTCATAAACATCGTCGCATGATTTTCTCAAGTTACCATAATGCAAATTATAAAAAATACTTTCATGAAAAAGTACAGTGTCCTAAAATTTGTTGCAAATTATAAAAGAGCACTAATATTTGTATATAAATTAGCTTAAATCATGGAAAGATAAGAAAAAGTTGATTTTACCTGGGGCACAATCGAAATGCAGTTCCTGAGATCTTCTAAATCGACATCTCGAATGTTGTGATCATTGATATAAATATCACCACTCTGTGGTTCAAAAAATCTATATAGCAATCTCACAACTGTTGTCTTACTAAAAAAAAGATAAATAGTCGCAATGGAATAATTGTTTTATCAATAGTCATCTATCGAATATTTACTAAACTTTCTAATTAATGTCTACATTAAACAATTTATATAGCTAATATCTTACCCACAACCAGATCCTCCAACAATAGCAACCTTCTTGCCACTTGGTATGGTGAACGAAATATCTTTAAAAATAGACTTTCCCTCAACATATTGGAAATTTACATTTTTAAATTGAATTTCTGAAGAGTCTGGCGTCACGTAGAATCTCAATGCATTTTCTTTCGACTGTTAATAAATACCAAAAAAGTGATTTAAAATTATTTGTGAGATTATATGTATATAGATTATTTCAAATCTTACCTTAATTGCAGTATCTGTTGTCATGAGGGTAAACATGGTTTGCATGTCAATGAAAGCTTGTCTCACTTCTCGATAAACAGAGCCTAAAAAGCCTAAAGGAACTGAGAGTTGAAACAACAAGGCGTTTACCATCACCAAATCGCCAACAGTCATCGTACCTAAACATAAAAAATATGCAAATGTACCAAAAAAAATACAAATGTAGCATGTAGTAGTTTGCCTATAGTTTTAGTAGTTTCTGACTAGTCTATAATCTCTCACCAGCAGTAAATAATTTATTTACCATTGACAATATTTTGTGCTGCCAACACCATGATGAGACTTAACGCACCACTAAAAATAGCATTTTGTCCGAAATTCAGCATCGCTAAGCTTGTACTAGTCTTAAGGGACGCAGTTTCGTATTTCTTCAAAGATTGATCGTACCTCTCTACCTCGAACTTCTCGTTATTAAAATACTAAGGCAGAAAGAAATATGTTTCAACACTTTTCTCGGTCTCTTTAAAACGAATTAAATGGAACTTACGCTTCATTACTGACTTTTACTGTTTCATAGTTGATAAGTGAATCTATCGCCTTGTTGCCCGCTTCGTTCTCCGCTTGATTCATATGAATCCTGAACTTGGTACGCCATTGTGTAACACCCAACGTGAATACAGTATAAACGCCAACACAACCCAGCGCTACAGCCGAGTATTCTGGTCCGCATTTTATTCCTAATATTGCACTAACTAATGCTAGTTCAAATATTGTAGGTACTATGTTAAATACCATAGCGTTTAGAATAAAATTAATGCCGCGACTGCCGCGATCGATTGTCTGTAAAACATGTATGTATAAGAAGATGAAATAGAAAGTGTATATATAACAAAAATATATATATATATATGTTTTTCAAATATTAATATATAACATATTTTAAATTTCGAATCTTGATTAGAAAATAGTATATCTGCCAAGTCAAATATTACCTTCGATAAGGCGCCAGTCTGCCTGCTTAAATGAAAAGCCATATCAAGATTGTGTAGATGTATAAAAACATTTTTCGCTATTTTACGAATAGAGTGTTGCGCAACTTTCGCGAATACCGCATTTCTGAGTTCGCTGAAACCGGCAGCTCCAGCACGTGCTATTCCATCTGCAAAGAACGTTAATCTGGAATTACATATAACTGTTACAAAAATTCTTTTATCTATTGAAATATTAAAATATTCCAAAAAATAACGCATCTTACACCCTACGAGTAATGATGTTGCTACAGTTGCGACTGTTGCAGGCGCAGTTGTTAAATCCATTACAGCAGTGCCAGTGTGAGTGTTTAAAATATCTACAGCATACTTGAAGATAAACGGTACAAGGACATTCAGGACTTTGGCTCCGACAAGTAAACCCACTGCTATTTTAACTCTTTGCCGTATTTCTGGATCATCCTACAAAGATATAATTATATAATAAATATGGTATATATTATATATATATATATTGCACAGATCATAAATTATTACATACTTCCGGCCATATGTATCTAAGCATGGCTTTCAACATATCTGTACTGGTAACAGATGATTTATTATGTAAATCAAGCGCATCTCTGCTCAAACCAGAAATACCAGGATGAAAACAGTTTCTCTTTTGCTGCCCAGGTTTTGCACCGGTTAATCCAGTAACAACCGATGTAAATTTCACTGGTGGCACGACAGATTTAGATTGCGGCACGTTCTTCTTCTTCTGAGCACGGTCGATTACATTGCCACTGCAACACTATAATGGAGAAACAATAATTAATATGTATCTTTATTAATATATCCTACAAGAAATATAATAAATATATATTTGTAAGCATATATGTACAATTATATTTATTTAATTAGTTTTAGTTTTGATTAAATTTGAAAAAATAATGGAGATATAAAAGAATAAGTGAAAAGTTAATCACGTGACTTTTAGTTTGCATAATAAGATAAATGGTAAACTACATATAATTTATATAAATTATATGTATATATATATATATATATATATATATATATATAATGTAAAAAATTTACTTTGAGAAATATTTAATAATTTTAAAATATCGTTAAATAAATATATTCTTATGTATCTATAAAATTGATAATAAAAGGAAAATTAAAAACTATCAATACTTTAATTACTATTTATTATTTTCTCTGTTATCATAATATAATATTTTTTAAAAACATTTTAAATATGTATAATAAAATTAATTATATAAAAAAGATTTTTTAAATATATTCTATACTTGATATTGTAGGGACTAAATAATATTATATAGATAATCTTAAGATTGCTATAAATTATGATTTCCTGAATGTACAGCTTCTATTGCTGTTATATAATTAAATGCCGTATTTAAGATATTAATATATTCATTTACAAGATCAATTGCAATAGAAAAACTCTGACTTTTAGATTTTAAACTCCTCATATTATTCAAAGCACATGTATATTCTGTTTTCTTCAAATTTAAAATACTTAATCCTAGCTTATTAATGAAACACAATTCATGAGAATCAAATGTTTTGCTATATATCTTCATTTTCCAACAGTTCTTTTCTAATTTTGTACCTAATATAAATAGTGTTATAGTTGCATTATAATTAAGACCGTCGCGAGTAAACGACATATTCTTATGAAAACTATTGAATGTAATAAAATCTAATTTGCTCTTTGAAATGTCGAAACATTTTTGTATTTCTGAGATATCAAAATGGATTTCGTCTAGTGGATTGCATGGAATGAAAAATCCATAATCGATATACAATTTAAGATTGTTATGTGCTCCATAATTGATAAAAACTTGTGATTCTTTATCAAACGGTTTCAAAGTAATAATTTGATATAACTGATTTTGATAATCGTCCGTAACAATAGATACTTTGACAGCAGTATTGATGTCATGATTAAATAAATCTAGAAATGGTGCCAGAGCCAGATTATTAGGTTGTTTTATATTAAATATATTCTGTTGACGCAATAATTTAGTATCTATATACACTGCTCTTGTATTAACAACATAATATGCCCATTTAAATCTAGTAAATGTTAATATCTTTTGTAGATGCAAATTGCAATGAGAACAAAAATTATTGGTAAGATCTAGATGTTTCACAGCTTTCATTAATAAAGAAAAATTACTTTCTAATTTGTGTGCATGATTTAAAGAATCTAAAATAAAACTTGGCAGCATTCTTTTCTCTTTATTGGAACAAAAATCTAGATTTGTAAAAAATTGTGGCAGAGTTTTCAAATAAAGATACCACTTTGACTTTGTCTCCAAATGTGTTTCATACACAAGAAATGTTGCAAGCATACATTGGGAACTAAAACTATCAGTAATATTATTTAAAAATAAAATTTTAATGTTACTCTGCAATAATACATCTGTCGTTATTAACATTTGAAATGGTAATTGAATCAATACTTCATTACTCTCTATGTGTTTTAATGTTTTCAAGCCTCTGCCTGTGAAAGGAAAATATTCTGGTATCAAATGACGAATTGATAAACAGTTTTTACTTAAAAGCCAGGATTTTAAAGATATTAATGACTCTTCGATATTTTCATTCAATTTTACAAAGTTGAGCTTCTTCTTCTGGCGACGTTTTCTCAATGTTCGCCCCATTGCAGATATATAGATATTTTATCTATAGAAGCTGTAACAATAATCTTTATTGTATGCTGAAGAATTTACATATGTAATTTTTAAATAAATTTTAATTAAATAATTTTTATAAATCTTAAAATCTTTTCACACATATATATATATATATATATATATATATATATATTACTTTTTTATCACGAAGGTTTGCGCACATAATATATAAAAAATCTCAAGACTAACTATAATTACACAAAATAATCATGTGTTATTTATTAAAAATTGTAAATGTTAAAAGTATAAGAACATCAAACATTAAAAGAATAATTAAGACAAAATATATATAAATTTCATGTATATATGTTGGTGTAGGAGTGCGTTTACATAACTATTATTAATGATCATGATGAACCATCATAACAAAATTCAATATTTGTAAGTACATAATTATTGGTTTCATTACCCTAATACTGAAGCGCGAAAACGTAGAATTACATCCAGCGACGTAGAATTTATTAGATAATATTAATCTTGTCGCGATACACGTGCAATACATCTTTCTCATCAAGCTACTCCGCAGCTTTTCGTCGCAGGTTGCCTTCCGCAGCAAATGGCCACACCACATGCTCATCATTTTTCTTTTACGATTTCTTCTCTCACAACATTGAGAATATTAAATAAATATTAAAATAAACGTCATCACACACCGGATTAATAATCGCGGCAATCGTAATCAGCTGTGATAAACGTAACCACGAAGCACACGAGATCCATTCGTGGGTTTGTTCTTTATTGCTGCACTGATGTACAACCTGAGAGCGGCCACCGCGATTCAGTGGACGCGTGTACTAATACGTCCCCTGAGAAAGTAGACGTGAACTACGTCGTGATGCTCGGTAAAAAGCACGGTAAATAGTTCGATTCCGTGATATGGTTCATGTCCGAACTATTCAGATAAGAACCAAGTTGAGAACTGAACAGCTGAATCAAACAAGAACCAACGATCCATCGCTCTGGCTTTGTCTCATCAACGATCAACGTCTAACGGACTCTTGCGGCCGCAGACACGAGGTTTCGCCTTTCGAAAGGTGCACCGTTTTGACATATGTTCTACAAGCGTGTCAATTGTCAACGTAGAAAAATATCTTCCAAGCTCGATTTAAACGCAACGTCGAATTACACACATGACATATAGTGTGTATTTGTTTCTAATATTTAATTTAATCTGCATTCATCCAGAATAATTGGTGAGTCTTAACGTAATTGAAATTAAAAAGCTCTACTAATTTTTTTTACACTACTTCACGTTCCTTTATTTCACCTTTTATACATAAAAAAATAAAGTTTAATTTATTGACATTCGAAAAAAAATTCAGACATTTCGTAAACATTAATTGAACGTTTTGGTAGAGCTTTTTATGGCAGAGAAAATAAGGACTTTTAAATATTTATATAAATTTTGAATACAAATAATCATTTTCACGAATGTTATAAGTGAGATTTAATTACGTGAGAAATTTTTCGAAAGTTAGGTCAGAAGAGAAAGTTTTGATGACACACTTATTTTATTAAGTATGTAGTTTCTCAGTTAGATTATTTACATTCTAGTTTGTACTGTGATCTTAATCGAGTTTTCTGTAATTGTGTCCTCTTTTTCACTTATTTTTAACATCTTTCTCTTGACAAAAGTTTTATTATCCAACTGTGCCCTGTTGAAGTAATATTAAAATCCTGAATCATAATTTTGGGAACAATTATTGACTAAATAATATATTTTTATAAAATGTTTATTATAGGAAATTAATAGATTCCTCAATAAAATAAAAACAATGTCTGCAAACACAGCTATACTCAGAATTTGGAGAAGCAATCCTGCGACTATATTTGTGTGGAAATCAGAGATATTTCAATCCCAAAGAACAATTTTCACTTCAGTGCAAAATAAATTTTATTTTAACAATGTTAATAAAGCTGAAAACAAAGTGGCAGCGAATCAGAAAACAGACTGGAATAAAACTATGTCAGAGGCAGAAAAGATTGTTGGATATCCAACATCTTTTTTAAGTTTAAGATGGCTATTGAGCGATGAAATTGCAAATGTTGCATTGCACTTAAGGAAATTGGTTGGATCTAATCATCCTTTGTTGAAGACAGCTAAGTGAGTATTATAGTATAATGTTTTTTTAGAATAAAAATAATATTTACATTTTTCCAATAACAGAAGCATTATTTATAATGGACGTAACACACAAGCATTTGGTCTTATTGTACTGTTAATCTCGAAAGCTGCTGGCCATTTGAATGCAAAGCCAATAGAAGAAGATAAAGCTGCAGGCGTATTACATAGGTATAGTAATTTCAATACTATTGGTTATATGTACACATAATATTATTTTTTTAAACAAAAAAAAAAGAAATTAATCTGAAATATGTAAATATTTTAGTCAAAGAGCATTAGCTGAAGTTATAGAGATGATACGCATTAGCAATTTGATACATAGAGGACTGGTAAATATAAATACAAATGAATCTTTGTCTGTGGAATCCTCAGAATTGAACAATATGACTTTTGGCAATAAAATAGCATTGTTATGTGGTGATTATTTACTTAGTAATAGTTGTGTCGAATTGGCATCTCTCAGAAATCAGGATGTAAGTATATTTATTATTTTTTTTACTTGAAGTAAAGAGTAAGAAATGTAACTTTATTTTTTTATAATTTAAGATCTATATATAGTTAAACAAATTCTTTTTTTCCAGCTTACTTTCTTAATATCATCTGCAGTAAAAGATTTATGTCAAGCAGAATTTGTAGGATGCAGAGATAATCAAAATTTTCCCATTCCATCAATACCATCCTACACACAAAATCCTAGAGGCTATGCACTTACAGAATGGACGCTTCTAAATGTTTATGGTGCTGGATCATTGCTAGGAAAAAGCTGTCAAGCCACATTGCAATTAGGCGGACATAGCAAAGAAATTCAAGAGGAAGGTTATAAGTTTGGCAAACATCTAGCTTTAGCTTGGCAGGTAATATAATTCGAGAAAATATACATTAAATGTTTGTGCAATTTTTAAATAATTGTACAAGTTTTAAATTTTGTAATTTTTTTGTTTAAAAATTCAATGTAATAATATTTTTGTAGGCTTCCTTGGACTTAAGTTTATGCATCAATAAAGACAAAGAAATCTTGCATAATTTGTGCGCTGCTCCAATCATGTTTCATGTTGAACATGATTCATCAATTTTATCTGAATTTGATAAGGGATTAGAGTCAGTTGAAAATGTCGACTATTTAAAGGTATGATAAATATAATTGAATATAATCAAATTAAATTTATGTTTTCTAGATTTATATTTAATGAACCAATAAATATATAAATAATGTATGGTGTACAGGTACTTGAGATTGTTGCAGCTGGTCCAGGTATTGGATTAACTAAAGAACTTATAAAAGAACATTCACAGAAAGCTATGGAAGTCTTAAATGTATTTAAAGAAAATGATGCAAAAAAGGCCTTATCTAACATTATTGTTGCAATAGGTGATTTTTAATTATTACAAATAAATTTTTATTATTATTTTATATATACTAATTGTAAATAAGCAAAGTTAAAAAAAGAACAAATTTAAGCTAGAGATTATAAAGAGAATTTTTTATGATACAGAAATTTTATTAAACTATTAAAGTTAATATTAAAGTTTATTGAAATAGTTATATTAATATGTAGAATATTTATAGATAGGTACATATTTTTATATACAAATTAAATATTTTAATAAGAAAATGTTATCGTTTTATCAAAATTGTTTTGATATTTATAACTTTTATAATTATATTTACAATATTTTTAAGACATTTATAAATTATATTTAGATATACATGAATTTTTATACTAAAATTTTTATATATAATGTATTTTATATGTAACTGTAAAAGCACTAATATTTAATTAAATTATTTTTTATAAACATAGTGTTATTTAAAAAAGTGTGATTTAAAATAAGAAATCTTATTACAGTTATACTTTGTGTGATATATATATATATACATACACAAATTTCAAAGCATTTGATTGATAAATCAGAACAAAAAATTTTTGCTTTTATCTTGATAGATGAATAAAATGATTTAAAAAAATTTTTAGCTTTATATAACACATCATATTTCTATATAATGTATATATTCTTTATAGATATATTACTATACATATTCATTACATTTTACAATTTAGCATACACAATATGTAAATGTAAATATTTTATAGATTGTTTTCTAGAATTTGTGTACTTTTTTCTTCATTATGAATAACTTTTAAATAAAAAAATTTCTTTTTAAAATTTTATATATTAATTTATGATGTGTGTATGCACTATGATGTAATAATGTAAAATATATATATATATATTTATATATATTATGTACAAATACATACAATTAGGTACAATTACGTTATTTACATTTTATACTTATTAATTTGCTTATATTTTATTATTTCACTTGAAAATTGTGTAATGCAAGATTACCTTCACTGAGTAAAGAAGGAATTTTTCTATTGTAATATAAGTAACAGGAAGCAGATGGCACTGGAATTGCGGCAATAAGGCTTAGGTTAAATTATCTTATGAAAATTTCATTCGTTTGACTTGTATGATATTAAATATATATATATATATATATAGATTAATTAACTATAAAAAATAGGAACTATGGCAGAAATAATCGAATTACGTCCTAATAGAAGTTTGATGAATTCATCTTTTGAAAAGTATCAATTTTCTACCGATGCTGTTTCTATAATTTCTGAAATCGAGCTAAAAAATGGTATGTTAATTTATATTTTATTATCTATATTATATAAAGCATGATATATTTTATATATCTTTTCATAAAAATACTAGCTTTTTCTTTAATGAATAAAATGATATTGCAGATGTATACAGATTAGAACCAAATCAGAATCAAGAATCCTGGTTAGAAGCAAGACTATTTGCATTTCATAATCATTTATTTAAGAATGTATATGATATATCGTGTTGGTTTATTGATAAAGATTGGATTGTTTGGCGTTTAGATAAGGACGATTCTTTGAATCAAATGTATAAATTAAATACTGCAGACACAGACTTGTCAAAATTAATGTACAATCCATCAATTGGATTCACTTCGGATAAAATTTCAGCAATTTCTGATGGTGGTGAAAAACTAGAGATATTAGTAGGAAATACAGAACAGAATATGAAAGTCTTTTCACTAGGTCCTGTAGAACCTGGAGTTATCATGGATGTGCAATACATAGAAAAAGGCTTAAAGATTATTGTAACTATGTGCACTATTGTTTCACAAAATGATCAAAAGAAATATACACAGCTCACTCTGCTATCATACACCTTGCAATACACAGAAAATGAGATAAAGAATATTCATTTCTTAAATAAACAGCTACTGAAAGTACAAGGCAGTGTGGATTACGTCTATGTGGAAAAAAATGGTAATTACTTGCATTCTATTTGTCAAAATAATATTGATTTTGAGAAAGAAGCTACAGAAGAATCTGAAAGAAAGAGAAAACAATCAAATATTGATTTGCAAATAAAAACTCCAAAATATTATTGGTCACAGGATGAAGATTCGCTTACTGTTTGGATTAAAATGCCTAAACAACATATCGATAAACAACCTAAAATACAAGTCAAGCCATTAGAATTATCTGTTGTAATTGAAAATGAAGTATTAATACAAGGAGAGTGTCAACATAGATTAGAGGAAAATGTGGCAACATGGAGGCAGAAAGAAGGCACATTGCAAATTGATTTAAGTAAATGTGAAAATGGATTGATGTGGAGTGAGTTAATCAAAGGTGATACAGGAGGTGAATGTTTACCCAATGATGCTCTTGCTGCAGAAATTCATGAAAAGTACTTATTATAATTATATATTTTATATTAGTGTTATATACACATTTTCAGTAATATTAATGTTATATCTGATATTTTGTACAATCTCGTGTAATAATATTATTATAATTCTCTTATTTCAATTTTTTTAATAAAAGTATATATTATATTACAATATAATATAATAATACAATAAAAAAATACATTATTTTACAATGCAATGTAATATTTAATAATGCAATAATATAATGTATATCATGGTAATAATATATAATCTCATTTATAGGCTAGCACATTTATGTACAGATCAGAACAGCAGTGCTGGTGGAGATCAACCTTGTATAGGATTTAATGCTGAACAATTAGAAGAGTGTGATCTAGAAGGAAAAGATAACTTTTTACAAAGGATTAATCTTCCTATGCAGACAACCACGCATTTATCTAGATTGGGAAGTAATAATCATGTGCTGTTCACATGCAAAAGGAAATATGGACAAGTAGTATGTTTGAGACATGATCACGATGCTTGCATTTGGATAATAGATGATATGGATGATGATACTCAATGGGATATAAGACATACTCATAGTTTTCCTAGATTTGGCTATGTTGAAGCTAGTAAAACCAATAAAAAATTTTGTGTGTCTCCAATTGGTAATTAAAATAAAATCTTTAAATATATTTATTCACATAATTAAAAATATTAATATATACATTTTTATTCTTTTGTAGATGGTTTGTATATAGCTATAATAGAACATACAAGACATGTATTTTTGTACGAAAAACCTGATGAAGCAGCAAAGATAGCCAAGCAATGGATTGTGGACCTAAATTGTGAAAATTCCCCTATTATGGGCGCCGTTGCTACAAAAAAGTATTTATTTGTACTTTCAAAAGATAAATTATATCGTTTACAGATCCATTTATAATTTTATATATATAATTAAACTGGAGTTATTATTAAAATAAATAATTCCAAACGTTTTTTAAATATTGCGTTTTTTTTAATAATATACATATAGTATTACTATAGTATACTATATAGTATACTATATTCACACATAGATATTTGAATAAGATAGACTAAATAATAGTATGGTATAAACAATTAAGTTTGCTCTCTATTTTATCTCATCTCCATTTGCAAATATATCTTGCTAGAAATTATATTTTATATTCTGCTCAATTATTTTCCACGAATTGAATATGGAGTAACAAAAATAGAAAAATTAAAATTAAACAGTGTGTGTAAAAATATTATAAATTTTATAACAGTTTATATATTTATAAAGTTATCAATTAATTATTTTAAATTCCACGACCCTTTTTACACGTTGTATATATATATATTTATTTGAAATTACACAAATTTAAAAGATTAAAAATATAAAAATATTTTTAATTAAAACATAGATATCAATCTGAAATCAGAGATCATGATAAGAAACAGTATAAATATATATAAGTTATATCGTTTTGAATCATCGTCACGTTTTATGTCAGAACATTCTATACGTGACATGACGAATAAATTGATTCCGCGTTTTTTGCAGATTGCGCATAATTCAGCATACATATTAAATATCTGTACTAAGTTGTATATGTATAAGTTCACGTTTTGTATGCTAATTGAATTAACCCAGATAAATTAACGATAACAAGTATAATGTGTATTGTTGAAAAAAACTTGATAAAAAGCCTCTCTTTTCCCCGAAAAGTCCAATATGTTCATACACGCTGACATTAGCATATCTTATAAAAATTGTGCAGTTACGTGAGAACATTAAAGTTCGGCCAAGTAAATTTTTAAAAAACTTTTAGGTGAGAAAATATGTGATGAATAATTGTGATTTGTTATTATATTTTTTATATTTGAAAAATCTCTTGTGTATTCGAATAAAATATATTGAATTAAAGCAATTAATTATTGTAAATTTTTCAATTATGTTATAGCGCTATTATTACAGTGTTTGTGTATAAAAATAAGAAAATTTTTGATCGTTTCATCGTTTCAAAATCAATAGAATGATATATCTCACATATATATTATTTTATACTATTTTTATTTGCGTTTTATTAAAAGCAAATTAAAGAACATTTTATTTTGAAATAATTAAGAAAAAGATTTATGAAAGAATTAATTAAACATTAATTATACATAATTAAAGGTTTAAGAATTAATCTTATTTTTCTGTTGTAATTTACATATAGGAATAACAGATTGCTGCGAGGAAAGGATCAGAAGAGAGATGGAACTCACGTTCATATTGCTATCCAGTTTCATGTTTTCTGGACTCGTTTTAGGGATGGAAGGGACTTATTCGACTATGTATGATAATGTGGACGTAAATGCAATTCTTCAAAGCGATCGTCTTCTAAATCAATATATGGATTGCGCTCTTGATAGAGGTCCCTGCACCGCCGATGCACGCAGTCTTAAACGTAAATACATTTTATTTCAAGATTTTATGGATATTTTATTTTATAATTCTGTAAGAGAGCTGTATTTTTATTAAATGAAAAAAATGGAAAATATAGCATGTTTAAGTAAGAAAGAAGAAAAGAAGGTAAGAAAGAAGAAAAATGGCAGCTCATTTTTATTAAAATATTAAAATATTATTTTATTTAAATTATATATATATATATATATACATACACAATGTATATAAATTTCGATGTCCTCGCATAGGTGCGCTTCCAGAAGCGGTATCCACAATTTGCGAAAAATGCAATTCAAAGCAAAAACAAGCAGCAAAAAAAATAGGCAATCATTTGAAAAATTATAGACCAGATCTCTGGACGGACTTTCTTGGAAAATTTGATCCTGAGGGAGAGTATGTTGCAAATTTCGAAAAATTTCTAGCACAAGTAGAGGAATAATGTTTGCTTTATTGATTTTTTTATCAATAAATCGAAATTATATATGTACATGAAACGCATACATGTGATAAATATACATATATGTGATATTGTAAACTTTTGTTTAAGTATTTTCGTCTATTTCCGAAATAAGTTTCTTAGAACATTTTACTAATAAGCTTATAAAAAATATACACATATTGCAATTTAATAAAGTACAGATGCGATTATCATCTTAATCACGATATATTTATATAATTATAATTATGCATTCTTGTTTCGTAAGTCATCAAGTATCATTTTTACTACACGATTCCAAGTCTCAGGATCATTGTCTGCAAACCATGAAGTAACCGTATTGAAGAAATATACTTGTCTGTCCGTGCATTTTTTACAATTCGTAAGATATGCTTCTGCAATGTTTTCTAAAAAGAAAAAAAGAAAAATTAAAGTAATAAATAAAACAAATAAATATTAAATAAATATACTGTTACAAATTGAAAATTACAAATTTAAAAGAATTATTAATAATATAATATTATTATTATGTAGTTAATTATTTTATTTCCTAAAAATATTTACTTGGCATGCGAGATATATGCATATATACGTTAGGTAATGAATCAATTTTTATAAACAAATACTTTGGAAACATAGTTTCTTTAGTAAAATTAATATATTATATATATAGTTAACATTATATATATATATATATATATATATATATATATTATAATATATTAACTAATGATATATAATATATATAATAGCATAATGAAATTAATATATTAATATATAAAATTTATATATATATTATTGTAGACGTATTTCGACTATTATTTTAAATTAAAAAGTAAAAAAATAGAAGAAAAGAGAAAAATTACCTTTTAAGAAGCGTTCAGCTCCCGTACGACAAGAAGAAGTGCCTGTTATACAGTTAATATATTGAGTCCTTAAGCGAGAATTAGCCAACACAGCTTCGACATTGATACTATCATACTTGTCCGAATATTTTTCGTTTGATGCTGCATGCGCAATCAAAATAATACATGTTAGGTAGATAAATATGCAAGCGGTGAATTTAGTCATTTCAGGAAAAGTGAATGAGTGAATACGATTCACTCTTCAATCAGTATTTGGATAAAACTGAACGCTATAGCGTCTTCCGTTGCTCGTATTTATAGAACGATGAGAGGCAATTCTTTAACAAAGAAGACGTCATGGCCGTTTGATGACTGGTCATCATCATATAAAGAAGGAAGGCAAACTGGAATTGTTTCCTCTAAAGTAAAATAAAAAAAATCATATGCATGCGTGAGTCAGGCATGCATATGATTTCGGCAAGGTTGATACCTGGTTTGTCAAGAAATCTGAACGCGTTAAACACCATAACCAGGGACATAACGTGCATAAAGAAGAAAAGACAAATAATGAATAAGTTTTTTGCTGAAAATGTAATGTTATATTGTAAGAGAGCTGTTTTCAGCTGGTTATGATTAATTAATTGCTACTGTACTATTAATATCACTCGTTTCCGATAAAATTTTGCGTCTATTTTTAACTAAATTTGGATAATAGATAAAAAAATATTTGCATATTTCATTTGGATAAAAACTTATTTTTATGCAAAAATTAATTATGTATATATGTAAATATATGTACTTATATCCCAGATAGTACTATGTCTAAAATGCACGCATAAGTCATCATTAAGAAATCTTTAAGACATCTTTAAGAAATCTTATGATATGATATCCCAAAGACATCTTGAAAACATCTTAAAAATGTTTTATGGGTGCATTTTGAACATGGTGCTATCTGGGATGTAACAATAATATAACGTGCAATTATTTTGCAAAATACTAAACGATGTGAAATATATTATTAAAGAATTAAAAACTTTTATTATATTATTGCTCATAAATAAAATGATATAATTAGCTTTTTAATCAATATATATAATTTAAATAGTTATTAAATTTAATAACTATCTAAATTATATATTGATTAAAAATAAATACAATAAAAATTTTTTATATGCTTTTATATTTTTATTTATATATTATTATATTTTATATTATTACCATAGTATTTTTTGCACTTTTATTGTTATATATATGTTTTTTACATATATATATTCGGCAACAGTTAAAAACTTTAAATGAGAATAACCTTCGAATATAATAAGTTTTTTAGTCGGTAGAGTACGATTATAAGAATAAAAAGCAGCTAGGGACATATAATTTAGCGAAAGGTAAAAACATATATATATTTCCAAGAAAAATTATTTTGAATTATTCCACGAATATTAATTGCATAAAAAACTTCTTTTGTCGTTATTTAACAATAAGTCACATATTTCTTAGAAATTTCATAAATGAGAAAAGTATGCGTGTACACTCCATATACACACACGTGCGCAAAATGCAAATAAAGACAAAAAACTTGTTTTTAAGTGATCAAGTTAGCGATAAAAATCAAATTGCGATAATAATTTATAGCTCTATAAATTCTTCACAAAATTATAGTACATTATATATAAATAATTAATATATTATATAATTAATTATATATATTAATTATATATAATAGTATTTTAAAAAAATTTTGAGTATTATTAAGATATTTTATATATAGCTGTCATCTTTTTTATATTTTTTTATTGTTATGCTATTTGTATTTGAGCTTTCAGCACTTTAAACATATCATTCTGTCTTCGTTTCACGTCGAATATGAAAGTGTCAAAATACAATCATGGGCGGCAACTTTGCCAGATTTCAAAAAGTAATGGTAATGACATCTAGCGATGATATTGAATTCTAATTCTAAATTTAATCTTATCATTCGTCGGTAATTTAATCTAACCAAATGTGTGGAACGTGGAGCAGATTCAGTTTGGTTTTGAGAGATTTTGCATACATGTGATAGCTACATTGTGATATAATACAGATTCAAAAGAAAAAAGTATTATATTAATTATTTTATTTACAATATACGATGGATATGGAAGGCAGCAGTTTACAAGAACAGAGTACCACGAATCTCGATGGGCTGGAAACAATTGAGCAAAAGTATAAAAGAATTTGAATTTCAGTTTGATTAGATATTCTTAATTTTATGTCAAAATAACAATATCAATTAAATTTTTTTGATAACTTAAATGTCACATAATAATGTGAAGCAGTCAAATGTCGACAGTCAAATATAAAAAAAATATGTATTAAAATATATATTAAATATGTATTAAAATTTTTCTTTTTTATATAATGGTCAATAATATTGAAGTTATATAAAAGATTAGAATTTATGATAAATTAAAAGACTCAAAGTAAATTGGATTGTCATTGATTTTATTTTGTTTATTATAAAATCTTGCTTCTCTTTCATCATTTATTCTAATATACTCTGTATTTTTCATAGAATAATTGCTTTGGCACAAGCCAGACCTAAAGGTATTTCTGACAAAGACTTGGCTATTGAGCTGCCTGATCTACCATTAAATCAACGAGCTGAAATTATAAATAAGCTTTTGCAGCAAGGATACTTTGATCTATATAAACATGGAGGATCATTGTCCTATCGCTTGAAAGATCCGACAAAATTAGTTAAGGGTGCTGATAATGAAGAGAAGATAGTCTATAGAATTATTGAAGAAGCAGGGAATAAAGGAATATGGACTCGAGACATAAGATTTAAATCGAATCTGATGCATACTCAATTAAAAAAGATTTTGAAAAGCTTGGAAACCAAGAAGATAATTAAAGTCGTTAAATCTGTAGCAGCAAGTAAGAAGAAGGTATATATGCTGTACAATTTAGAACCTGATGAATCAGTAACAGGTGGTGCATGGTATCAAGATCAAGATTTTGAAACAGAATTCGTTGATGTATTGAATCAACAATGTTATCGATTTTTGGAACAAAAAAGAGAAAAAACAAAAACTTGTAACAATGGACCTATCGATGCAAGAAACAAGACATTTGCTTCATCTAAAGATGTATGGAAATATATTTCAGATTTAGGAATCAGTAAGGTAATATTTTTAATGCATCAAAACATATTCTTTGAAGTTTTCTGCTTAAGATAAAAATATCAATTTATTTATATAGGTGAAATTATCTGTAACAAATATGGAAATGATTTTAAATACCTTGGTTTACGATGGTAAGGTTGAACAAATACTTGCGGGAGATGGAAGCAATTTATATAGAGCAATTCAGCCTTTAGCTACTTCACCTGGATTGATTAGAACTCCTTGTGGCATATGTCCAGTAAGACACATTATATCGTGTTTATTATAATATTCTTCAAAGATTTAAGTATTTCTTCTTAATTCCTACTTCTTTTTTATAGATAAGGAAACAATGCTGCGATGATGGACCTGTTACACCTATAAAGTGCCACTACATTAGAGAATGGTTAGACTAGAATTATCAAAATAAAAATAATAATTGTTAATATTGATTAATTATTATTTACATTAACATTAATAATTAATATAGTCTCTGTTATGTAAACATACAATGCATTATGTAAATATATGAATTGATTTATATGTATTTTTAAACTTACATAAAATAAATTTGTAACAATTATTCATTATGTATAAAAAAACGTGTTTCAATATAATAATGATACATGTTCATTTTATAAAATTATTATTTTGAAAGTGGAGCAAAGAGATTTTTTGATCGATCAAATTCTCATATTTTCACAAGTTAGATTAGGTCAGGTTAGGTTGATATATACTCTGCAAAATGTCAGTATACGCACCTTATTGACACTGAGTTGATGTTACGTTTACATATTAAATTTGTTCGTTATATTTAATATAAATCATCACGATTATATGCAAGATGCTTTCACATAAACAAATTCCTATATTTTCCTATGAATCAAAAGATTTTAATTTTGTCGTTAAATTATATGAAGAAAAAGAGAGCCTATTTGATAATATTTTACAGCAAACGTGGAAGCAGGCTGAAAAGGCCAAAGCATTTCGATACACTTTAAATATAAGGAGCAATAAATCATTGAAAGGCAGATACAGATTTTTAGTACAGGTACACACATAGATGTTAATAAGAATATTTTTATCAAACTCTAATGTAGAATACCATTGATAATTTCAGTTAAATCCAGAAAGAGCTGAATGTAGACGTGTACCAGAATCAATTACATCTATGCTGCAGTCTTTCGACTCCACACGTTTTAATTTCACTAATCTAACACAACAAGAAATATTATTTGACATTGGTGATGGTGACACAAATGATATAGTTGCAATTAATGCCAGTCCTTTGGAAGAGGGTCATTGTTTAGTTCTTTTGGAACGCTTAAAATGTTTACCACAAGTTATGACAGAGTACAGTCTTCGCAAAGTGGTAGAATTATGTCTTTTAAGCAGCTCATGGTAATCATTAATAATTGTGTTATCAAAAACATTTGTCAAGATGTGATGTTACAGATTTTTTTCCATTTCAGGTCTTTGAGGGCTACTTTCAATAGTTTGTGTGCTCATGCATCTGTTAATCATTTACACTGGCATTTGTACTATTTAAAATACGAAATGCTTCTTGAATACATTGTAAGTAATATATTTGAATATATAATTGTCTGCTTATTATAAAAACTTATTTGCAATACATTACAGACATCTATTTTTGTTTGTTGTTAGGATATTTACAATTATACATCTAATGTATACTTATTGATAAATTATCCGGCGAAAGGGTTCTGCCTCAAATTGTCTAGTTTTAAAAGTATGCAGGATTTTGTGTCTCAAACATTCCTTATAGTGAATTATTTACAATTACATCAAGTAGCACACAATGTATACATTACACGAGCAAAATCACGATCTAACGACGATTCGTATAACGATTTACGCATTTATATTTGGGTGAGGAAACATTCTACTGGTGTTAGAGATACAACTGCCTTTTTACCTGCAGTATGTGAATTTTTTGGGCATTTTTCAATTAGAGGTAAGAATAATATCTGTATTCATAATATTATTTCTGTTGGAATATAAATAATATTGACTGAATAATATAATTTTTAGATGAAGAAGTGTACAATAATTTGACAGAAGATAAAGTAAAGAATGTTATTAATGATACTACGGAAGAATATTTCTTATTAATAAAAGATGAGCTCAAAATTTTTTTAGAGAAATAAATAGAAAGAGAGAAAGAAAAGAAAAGCTATATTAAATCTTTACTAAATAGTGGAATGGTCATTTTTTCATTCGTTTTTTTTTATTTCGTTATATAATTAACCTGTACTAAATTATATATATTAAAATCAATTGAAACATTCTGTATTCTTTGGTTATATATTATTTAATAAGTTTTTCTCACTTATTCCATTAAAAAAAAAAAATATTAAATTGGTATTTTGTTTGCTTCATGAATTAAACATTTATATACATTTATTTATATGAATTTTTGTTTGTAGACAAATTATATTAACAGAAACATATTAATCTAAAAACACATTCATATTTGTCAATATTATTTTGAATTGTATTACGGTAAAAAATCCGAAATTGTTTCGGTACTTACAGGGTCGGTGTTGACACATGAAAATGTATTATCCCTGTGTATATTGTGAAAATATCATGGCCAGTCTTGCGATCGCGCGCATTAATTCAACCCACCGCATATCAATGTTTGTGAAAAAATCAGCAGTCTCTCTCTTTAATATTTAATGTATAATAATAATTATGCAAAAATTTCTTCTATCTCTCACCAAGTTACAAGTATAGTAATCTATTTACATTTAAGTTATTTAAGCTCCTCGTCTCCATTTCTCTCCGTTACTGAACTTAGTCATTTCTCGACCACTAACGCCACAGGTACCGATTCCCACACGACCATTCACATTCTCCGGCGTCGCAAAGATACTTTTCTTTATGACGCCTTTCTTTGAAGACTGAAAAAATAATTACAAGATCGATATACTTTAAAAATACATCCTTGAGATAAATGTATAATTGTACTACACATACCTTATTGGTAAACGCTAACCATTTATTTTTCTCCAGCTCACGTTCTTCTTCCAGTTCCTTAAATCGCTGTAATTTCCTCTGTTTCTTCTTCTTAAGATATTCTCTCTGTTTGTTTGGATCTGAACCTGCCACTGCAGCTGCTTGCATCTTCCTGTAAATGAATAATTCATCATTTTGATAAACAGAAAACAAACTATTTTATATAAGAGTAATAAAAACTCTATTACTATTTCTTTTTATATTAAACACATATCTCTATAAATGTAAATTAAAAATGTATATATATATATATATATATATATATATATATATGTAGGTATGTATATATGTATATATGTATATATGTAGGTGTATGTGCTATAATGGTTGAAATTGATTTATAAAAATACTATACTTATTTCAATAAATTAATATTTATAAAATAGCAATACACACATATATATGTATAATTTTTTTATATAATATACCAATTATTTTGTTTCAAAAAGTATGGTACCAGAGAAATCGGACAATTCTTATTACCTTTTCCTGGAATCCGATGACCATGTAACGTCAAAGGATAAATGAGCAATAACGAGCAATTTCAGACCAAATATCAATCATGGAGTATTGTTGCCAATTCAGAAAAGGATAGGAAGGGAAAAATTAATGATTAGTAATTGCTTTATAGTTTTTACATTTCTCATAAGGTAGACATGTGTAAAATTATAAAAAATATTAATCTATAAACAACTATACATTATAAATATCATAAATTAAAAATGACTTACTTTGATTTTTGATCTGCCCAGTCTGATGCTGGCCTCTTAGCAACAGATTTCAACTGACTGAGCATGGTGACATCAGTGTTCTTATATTCATTGAATGTTACATTTACAACTCCATCTTCACTTATCGAGTCTATGGTTGCTTCATAATATCTGTAAAGTTTTATAAAAATATAATATAAAAACTAAGAGCTGCACAAGTTTTATTTCAAAATAGCTATTGTGCTATTTTAGACAAAATGTCAATATATCGATTTTTAACAGAAAGTCTAGCCATGATAAATACTTGCTTAATACCTTTCCTGCTTTTTAATGTTCAACATTAAATAAAACTTGGCAGTTTAAATTCAAATTAAAATTTTCTTAAAATGAAGTCCGTCCACAATATTAACTGAAAAATAAATAATTTGAAAAACAAAATAAAAAATTTTGCCAAAACCCTTCGATTCCCAATTATATAATTCAATTCATCATTAAATCAATTTCTAATTTAACTATTAAATAGCTTATAGAATGTTATCAAAAACTTTTATATAGTCATTTTTTAAATATTTTACAATTTAGGCAAAATAGTTAGCTTCTAAAACTGTGCTGTGTTATAAATCTATCCTTTTGCAAAATTTACATAAAATTTACTAAAATTAAAACTGTGGAATCTATACACTCACTTGTTGTCTTCGCTCCAGGGTGCCATACACTGATCGCCGACCTTCCACTTATTGGCCAGAACTGCAAGCAAAATAGGATCTTTAGCATCCATGCCATTGGCTTGTCTTTTTTCCTGTTGTTGTGACTTAATTAAATCATGTGTCAGCTTTATTACTTCCTTCAGATCGAATTTCAGCTTTATCAACTCCTCATTATTCGGATCTGTCGTAAGAGCCGCTTCCACCTGAAACATAAAAGATACAAATTAGCACAGAAATATTGTATATACAGGGTGTTCCAAAATTATCGCACACTCTGTTAATAAGAAGATTCCCAAGATTTAGAATCGATTTTTCCTCAACAAAAATGTTAATCACTTTTTGCATGTTCACTGTTTTTGCCATCATGTATCTTTGTAACTAAGCCTTAAATTAAAAAAAAAAAAAGTCTACTAAACTCTACCTAAAATTAATTAAAGAATGTGATTTTATCAATATTTTATTTCCACAAGACTTCCAAGGGACAAATCGTCCCCAAATAACCCGAGGAATTTCCCTATTAACAGGATGTCCGGTAATTTTGGGACACTCTGTATATTAAAAAAAATCGACTCTTCTTTACATCTGATTTATCGACATTTTAAGAGGTTATAAGAAAGAATAACAAAACTCTCACCTGCTGAAGCTGCAGCTTGTAATTTTGCAAGTCATCCATGATTGACTTGAACGAGAAACAGATTATTCGAAGCCCGTTGTGTCACGGCCTCTTCGCTCCCAAATATTTATGTATAATAATAATATTATTACGTCCTCTCGATGCGATGCCTCGGTTCGAAGCGCAAAATAATCGCGACCACAATCGTCACTTTTTTTTCTTCGTGTCACAAATTACATCGCGTTAAAATAATGGACGGATGTAATAGACAGAGAAAGTGCGCGAATGAATAATTATTAAATAAAAATGTCAATATATATGTCGAAAGATATCTGGGCAAAGCTTACAAGCAACTAAAATCATGAACATTGCAAGATGGCGATTTAATTGTGTCAATACTGCGTTCTAAAACTCATCTAGTTGGATTTGACAACCTTAAAAGGGAAAACGCGAGACGCCCATATTGTTGACGTAAATGTCGACCAATCATGAGTCGAGGAGGCGAAAGTGTCGACAATATGACGCAGCCAATAAAATTTATTCGTTTGTTTATATATATTCGCTCTCATATATTCGCATTTTACGATCAGCTGTTTTTTTGTTCAAGGTTTCTGACGTTTCTTATATCGAATAACCTGAAAATTAGATTGGAGCTATTTTCAGTAAAAAAAAGGGAAGAAATATATTTCTCACGAGTGGATTAATTGGTCATAAATACAGAAATATCTATCGTAGGAGTAAACATATTATGTATGTGTCATAAGAATCTAGGCTCCTGATTATTCCAGTATGTTTTTCCACGTTTAATTCCAGTATGCTGTTAATAACGCGTGACGAATGCGTTTTATATTGCGTAATTCAATAACGTAGAATTTTATGTGATGACAATTTGAAGAGATAAGCTTGACACAACGTAACTTGTCATATACTTAAAGAGAGTGTCAGTCATGGCATATCCGGTAATTTTGAATGATTGTATAATAATTGCACATGTGTATGTAACAATAATATGTCAACTTTGTCTTTTCGCTAACTTTTTGTTAACTATTTAATGAACTGTTCGTCAGACGCATTAATGACATTAACACATGAATGAATGTAAACAAGCTGTGACACTTATCTTTATTTTACTATAATTTATTATAATTGCATGTATGTATACACGTTAGGAAAATGTATAACTTTCTTTGGTTATACTTATTTTTCTATTCTGCTTTAAGAACGCAATGTATGGCTCAACTGATCCTGGATCTGAGGTACATCCGGATGTTCAACGATGGTTCTCCACGGTGGATAAAGATGGAAGTGGTCGAATAACAGCTACAGAATTGCAATCAGCATTAGCTAATGGTCAAGGAGGCACTTTCTCCGACACAGCATGCAAGCTAATGATCGGTACGTTTGCAAATTTTGTATTTATTATTTATATGTTAGTGAATAATATGAATATATCAGATTTTAAACTATTTTCTAAGATAAACAACAATTGACTAAAGAAATTTGTAAAAGTTATTTTGTTTGATTTGATTTAGGTATGTTTGATAAAGAAAAGAATGGGACTATAAATATATCAGAATTTCAAGCCCTCTATAATTATATAAATGCTTGGCTTGGCGTTTTTCGTGGTTTTGATCATGATAATTCAGGCAGTATACAAGAGAATGAATTAAATGCAGCTTTAACACAAATGGGTTATAGACTTAGTTCAGAGTTTATTGAATTTCTCATAAAGAAAAGTGATCTTCGTGGTCATCAATCCATTACTGTTGATCAGTTTATAGTATTGTGTGTTCAGATACAAAGATTTACAGGTAAATAAAGTTATAGATATATGGAATAGATATATCATGTAAATGTGTGTATATATGTGAGAATTATATTTTATATAAATATTTTATTTTTCTATCTATATAATATTTTTAAATATATTTTGATAATAATATTTAAAATGATTTAAATGTACAATTTATTAAAATATATTATTTTACAGAGGCATTTAGGACAAGAGATACAGATCAAACTGGGACAATTACCATTAGTTTTGAAGATTTCTTGGGAGTAGCTCTTAGTTGTAGCATATAAATATCTTTCGATTTAATGATTGAAACAATTATCACACTTGGTACAGAAAAATAATTGTTAATATAACATGCACTGCAAATTCTATTTTTTTATCTTAGGAAAGAATATAAAATAGGTTTATGCTTAGGTTTTCAGAAATATATTTGTATTTAAGAATTATTCCAAGTATTTTCAACTTGCTTGGCGCTTTCAAGCTTTCCATGCCTAATTGTAAGTTATGCTTAATTGTCTGATGTCCTTAAGATAAGCCATAGGCTTGCTAATAAATATAAGAAGCGCTAAAATTATTTATATATCTGTCAATTTTAATCATATCAATACCTCAAATGACAATAAGATGCGTTTACGCATTTATATACTTAAGTGACAGTATTTAAAGTAAAAAATGAAAAATCACATGACAATGCTTAAAATAAGATATATATAATGTCTCATGACTTTTATTATACATTAAATATACGATAAAAATGAATTAATCCATGTATTAAACATACATTTCTTGTTAAAAACTATTTCTGCCATTTTAGGATTTTTATGTTAGTAATTTATTAAGAGACAAGTAGTCTAATAAGTTATAATTATAAATAATGATATTAATATAAGAACTTATTGTGTATTGTGCATATGTTGTAATAAGTTTTTATATTTATATCATGTTTACAATTATTGCCATATAATCACTTTTTTAGTTTAGATAAATAAGAGTTCTTTTTATACAGATATTCTGAAAGTAATGCAGATGTTTCAAATTTACAAGACTACGAAGTTTTATTGCTCCACACGAAACAGGCCCAGGAAAGAATTCGAGAATTTGATCGATTACGAAGGGCAAGGTATCTTCTGGATGCTATTTCACTGATAAATGACTTACTTGCTGATGGTTCCGAAATAGAAATACTAACGCTTGCTAGAATAATAGTGAGAAGATTAAATAAATTAGGTGTGACAAATATAATAATGGATAAACGAGATGGTAAGATGTACTTGATATTTAAATTTGTTTGAATGGGAAATATATATATATATATATATATATATTATATTTTACTACAGAATGTTGGTACAAGAATGGGAGATTATCAGCTTTAAGACTTACGCATAATGGTATTTATCATTGCTGTACATTCTGCTCTAGTGGTGGAAAAAAGGAAATAACTTGTGGCTGTAGAGGCACTATGCCTGGTAAGAATTAATTTCACTGATTATAAATAATTCTTTAAATAGTAATTTTAAATATATTATAAAAACAATATTTTCTCATAATATAAATATAAAATAAAATTGTCTGATATTATGAAATATATTTATATATAAAGGAAAAATCTGTATAAATTCTATATAAAGTTTTAGAAAAATTAACAAAAATAATATATTAATTCATTTTAAAGGTGGATATAAAGGATGTGGTCATGGACACATTGGACATCCGGGTGTTAATCATTGGTCTTGTTGTGGATCTATGTTACGTAATGGACGCTGTTTAATGATACGAAAAACTATGCATCAACTTACATTGTAGTGTTAATAAACTAATAAATGTTTTCTGAATATATATATAGTATTTCACTTTCTCTCTTAGTTATATTTAAAATTTTATTGAAAACGATTAATTATATACAAAAAAATGAAAATATTATTTGTCATTCAAAATTATACATTATACAGAATTAAACTTATCAAAAACTTATAACTTAATCAAAATTTATACATTATACAGATATACATTTTCTTATATTTCTATATAGATATATTAAATTTAATTTAAAAAATAAGTATGTCCACAATCATAATTCAAAGACCTTTGGTGAAATAGACAAAAATTAAATAGTTAATAAACTTTTTTTAAATAATTTTAAGCGAGTTTTACTGTAATGAAAATTTAGTTTATAAATCAGTTGTCAACATATTTAGTTTTGAAAATTAAAAATCTATGAAATAAAAGTCAATAATTATACATTTAAAATTTTGATTTTTCAAATACATTTATTTAAAAAAATGCAATTTTTTTAATTAGACTTATATTTTGTTAGAGTTATACACAATTTTTCTTTATGCAAAATGTTACTATTATTTAATGTAAACATTTTGAGACAATTTAATATTAAAATAAAAATAGTAATCTTAATATATCACAGAGTATGATAAATAATAATAGTAATTGTTATATATATATATATATAAAATAATTGTGATTCTTGAGTTAATTAAGCATTTTTTAAATGAGCGTAGAATTGCAAGAATAAATATTGTATCTTTTCTTACCTTAATTTTACCTATTTATGTAGACAAAGTTTAATTATATAACACAAATATCTATTTGCATATTGTTGCATTATACATATCTTATGTATGTATACATATATATAGGAATATACACATAAAAATGGGAGTTTTTGCGTATTTATATTTATTTTAATTTATTACAAATATTACAAAATATATATATATATATATATATATATATATATATATATATATATATATATACGCACTTAACTAATCTTAGATATATTCTAAATTCTAAATTATACATCGCAATATTAACTATAATTATTAAAAGTATACCCAAGTTTGCATCAAATCTTTGGAATGTATAATGGTTTCATACCTCAAATGACAATTGTCTCATTATATTTTTCTTTTTTGCTCATTATTTCCATATTAATCGCATGATAATTGTATATTAATATTAATAAACATTGAAGTTTGTTTAGAATTCCATGTATTAAACTGTTATATAGATATCTTTAGTATATAATTAAAAAGTAACAAAATTTAAATTTTTGAAAAAAATATTGTAGAGTTTCACAAACACATAATTACATTTAATGAATAACAACATATAATTACTAATTTATAATATAAAACTAAATAAATGAACATACCTGTAAGCCTTGGCTACATTTTGCAGTTCTTCGGAACCATTATTTGAAAATATGTTATGATCATATTGAATCAACAAAGTATTTAGAAATATTCTTGCTTTTTGCAACATTGTTGATAAGTATGCACTAGCTCTCCTTCCCACTCCAAGTGCATCCTCACTTGCATGACCTCTGTGCTGCGCACTCCACATACATTCTTTACATGTTACCTGAAAAGTTTTTTATCAATGATTTATATCTATATATAATTTATTCAAACCATATAAATCATTAATAAATATAATAAATATATAAAAGTCACAAAATTAGTTGACCTGCTGACACGCGATACAATAAAATCTTAAAGCGTGCATTAGATGTGTTTGACATAAAATGGTCCGCCGTATTTTGGTAGCTTCCCACAGTGGCCTCATTAAATGTTTAATTGTTTTTGTCTCCGCCATATTTTGTTGTTCATGTTGTCTGCCACATTCCGAGCAGAAATTACGTAAACATGTGGAACACTGTACGAGCGCCTTCAAAGAAAATATGCAGAAAAATTCTATAAGATATTTTTTTTGTAATTCTTATTGAATGTTTGTTTAATTATCGTGCTAGACACATACTTATAAAATCGCATTTCCCAATTTAATGATATTAAGAAAATAATAAATAACAATATAATAAATTTAACAACTAAAATTATATATAAGATAATTGTATAATATATCTAGATAATATATCGTTACCAGAACTTCATTTGTGCAAGTGTCACAAAGTACTCTATTGACCAGTTTTCGTCGCATAGTGTCCATAACTAAACGATGTTGCAAGGGATAATGAGGCGGCGGTATGCTAGAATTCATATTCGGCAAATAGGAATCGCATAACGGGCATGTTTCTTGAATATTGTGTTGCGCATAAATTTGATTATTATCCCGCATTTCGTTCTTCAATGAAACATACGAAGCTGTAAATATGTATAAGAGAAGTCTTCATTACAAGTTAAAATAATTTTTGAACATAGTATAATCAAAGTTATAAGCAATTGTTGTGTCAACTGTTATGAAAATGTTGGAATGTTAAACTGTTTCTTTATCAATTAAAAATTTTGCTCAATTTTTACTTACGTTTACTCATCAACTCATAAACACATGATAAACATATAGGATGTAAACAAGGAAGAAGCCTAGGCTCTTCCATTCTTCGCTCGCATCTGGGACATTGAAAGTCTAAATCGTGCGATTTATATGGATCTGTTATTTCTCTTGGTTCTTCATAGATTTCGTTATCCATTTTACGAAGGAAAACGGGAGAAGGCTCATATGAATGTAGAATGTTTGAATTCGTGGACTGAAAAGCATACTTCTTTCTGGAATCTTCATTTCTGAAAACAATCAAGAACACTTATTAAATCCAAGAACAATTAAAAGTCTTTGAAAATTTTTATTTAAAATTAATAATCCCTCTCTAAAAAGGCCTCTTTTCCGCGATGCTGATCGATATTAGAAAACTAACAAAATTATTAATAAGTTTTTACAATTAATTTGTAATTACATATAATATGATAGATCTCGCATTTTTTGCATAATATATGTTATTCATTTAATCAATTAAAAATAAAATTAATATTTTTATATGCCATTTAACTTTATAATTATAATACAATGAATTAATAACTTTTAATTCGTTTTTAAAAAGTTGATAGGTATATAAAGACAAGTGATTAATATACATGTAATAAGCTTTTCATCTAAAAGTGAATTTGAAGATTTCGCTTACCGTTTGTTTATCGTCGTTATTGGTTGAACAACAAAATTTTCGGTACTTATATCTTTTTTGCATTCGACCAAACTTGCATAAATATGATCACAGCTTCCAAGATCGCTATCTATCGCAGCCTCGCGACCGCAACAGTTTTTTGAAGAAAGTTTTGTCGCCGAACAGTTTATAAGCTCCATCGATTACCATTTGCTACACGATAAAATGTATATAATTAATATAAATACAATGAGTACACATTGGGTAAATCGCAATAGAACTCACCAAACGAAATTAATGTTAACGAAAGATACGAAAGTGAATCAACGGACCGTATGAAATCTTCTAGTTCTCTTGAAACTTGTTCACAGCATAGAGTTAAAAATAACTTTAAAATATAGGCTACGAGCCAAACGCGCGTGGAACTTGCCTTTGGATCCGCCGAATAAATTTTTGCGAAAGTGCGATTGCGCGCGCGCATGTAACAATAGTTGCCTTTGTGACTTCAAAGTACTGCAAGAACCACCTTAATATCTAAATTGTCTATTCGGCAAAATGTATATCAATAAATAAATAGTTACTATTTATGCCAATATAATATACAGTTGGAAGCTTTCTTCTATAATAAATGTTTTTAAAAGATAATCTCTTTAAAAAATTTATAAATAGTATTAAGTTATAAAAGTATAAATATTAAATGACTTTGATATTTAAATAAAATAGATATATGAAAAATTCATATAAATTTAAATATGAGTTTTCTATGAAAAATTAATAATATGTACGTATGGATAGTAAATTTTATTTAGTATCCATATAGTGTAAAAATAAGATCAATAATGTACATATTAAAGAGTAAGCGGTACATATAAATGACATAGATATAATAGAGTGCTTACTACATATATCGACTTAAAAATTCAAATACTTTCTAAGGCCATAATATAATACTTGGACAAGCTCTCAATAGTTTGACGATATGCGACCTGTATCGTCGTGTTATCAATCATTAGCGTTATTTAGGATCACAATAATAAAGATAATTACAAGAATAGAATGTAGTATAAGAATACAGAATAGAATCGATTATTACTTAAGATGAATTAAGTAACGTGATTAAGAATATTATTCTCGCGTATCTATAAACAATATACTTGAATTCCATCTATCATCTTAAAACATTCTTATCAATCTTGGAGAGGCAATTAATTGTATCATTCTTATAAGGTACATAAGTCATAATTTACATCTTCATGACTAGTATTTTAAGTTTGGCCAAATTCACACAACTGTGCGCTATTTATCTTTGCACTGTTATCATTGCACTTCTGAAATATGTAAAGTCATAATTCAATCTTAATTCAATATATATTATTTTATAAATTGTATAAGTTTAACAAATTTATTACCTCATGTCTTTACTCGAGAACCAACTTTGACAAATCCATTTCGAGATTTCCCATTTCTTATATGACTACCACTTTTACTCTTATGATGTTCAAATAAAACGTCGTCAGAATCGGTGTCGGATTCTGATAATACCATCTTGTTGTAAGTTGAAACTGTGACAGAAATTATTATACTCAATAATATTATAAATAAATTTTTGATATTTAAAAATATCAGGCATATATATATAATATTTTAAAAGTACAATTATTATAAAACAATTGCAACAAGAAAATGATAAATGGAACATTTTTTATTAAAATTTTGTAGCTAAATCTCTAGTTAATTTTATTCAAACAATATTTTATAACAAAATCAATCTGTAATCTATCTGTTTTGTGCATTTAATATTTTATAGCACTAATGAATAATGTTATTAACAATGCAAAATATTTATTATTATTACATACATGCGCTGCTGTCGTCTTCTGGTTCTGGTTGTAATAAAGAATAACGCGCTGGTTTTTTCTTAGGCCGAAGTGAACGTCTTCTACCGGCACATATTCTTTGGCACAAGCAAACAAATCCCCAAATAAGTCCAACCCAACATACAACTAATGATAGCAATGCTATTATCACATACAGGATACTCCAATCTGAAAAAAATAGTTTATAATGTAATAAAATAAAGATGCATTTTGTACTAAACAATAAAATGAAAAAGGAAAAACAATTTAACATACCACAATTAGAGTCGCCATTACCGAAATACTTTTGTATCAAGTTTTGCATCCAAAATGCTTCACATAGACATTGTCTTGTCTCTTGATGACATACACCATGACCTAGATATCATTAATAAAAATCAGTTGCAGAACTTATGTACAGAAATTTAATTCCATTTTGAATTATATGTATATTATATTATATATATATATATATATATATATTTTTTTTTAAATATATATATATTTTATTATATTTAATATTATAAATATTAAAATAAAAATATTATAAATGTAATAGTTTCTGTGATATACCTGAACAATTGTTTTGGCATACAGCAGTATCTATGTTAGCAACTGACAACTGTAAAAGACCAGAATCTTGTAGTAATTTTTCTTTCAGTCTTTTAACTACTTCTGGACCTGGCAATGTTGTCTTTCCTCCCTTCTTTTCTACATAAAACACTAAGACAGCCTTTCCAGTATGAGGTTCAGTCCTCAAATTTCGCACGACAATCGAAGCCTCGTCTCGCAGTAACATCTGTAGTTTCACAACTAATGAATTTTTCTGTGAAACAGTTAACATGCTAGCCCCAATGTTTAGTGTCAATTCCACCAAATGTAATAATTGTGGATCTATGGAATTTAAGATTATTTAAAAATTACATTAAAAAAATAATGATACTTTTAATCACAATACTAACCAGGTTTTACAATTACTGATACAGTATCTTCACTGCTCAAACCTTGATCATCTGTTACTTTTAATCGAAAAACGTAACGACCAGGAACTACATCCGTTAACTATGAAAAAAGGAAGTCAATGCAACAAATACAGTAGTGTAAATACATAATGTTGTAGTATTTAAAATATATCAAATCATTACAAGTTGAAGTTAAATATTAACACAAATATTATATAATAATACATAAATTGAATTTAGCTTTACCATTAAAACTGGTGATTTATCAGTGTCCTGAATTATAGTACCAATCGCAAGACTAGATTGATCTCTGGTCCACAGCCATTGTCCTATTCTTAGATCATCACTCGATTGTGAACCATTGATGATCAATGCACTTATCGGCGCTGTTACAACTTGATCGCCACCGGCATTCGCTTTTGGAGGCGCATTTTTATCTAAGAAATAAAATTTTTATTTATTAGTATTGTTATATATTGTTATATAATTATTATAATGTAATTATTTATTATAATTATATAATATTATTTATATTCTGCAATATTCTACAATATAATATATATGAGAATTTTAAGTACATACTTTGTGTTACCTTTACACTGACTGTATCCGAATCTGCATTTCCATTATCATCAACAACTGTTAATTGAATACGTAATCGCCCTTTGTTAGTTTTGTAATGTTTGTAATAGACTGATTCATTGAGGCAAACTCCGCATTGTTAGGTCCACTATAACATGAATGATATGATAATATTTGATAGCATACAGAATATATAATGCGAGAATTAAACAAATTAGTTATAGCATACCTTATTTGCTCCCAATGATATAAAGCAATCTTTATATCATCCTTACTTCTTGTACCATTTAAAACAGCGCGTGTTGTAGGCAAAGCTATGCTTATATCATCACCTGCGTCAGCTGGAACAAAATATATTAATTAAGATTATAGAAGATATCAAAATTTTTCAGAATCATATTAGAAAAGATAGTAATTTTTTTACAAATATTTCTGTTATAAAAAATACAAATGATTTTTGTTACATGTATATTGATTACATATATAATTTTTATTTATAAGTTTTATTGAATCATAATTTGTTGAAGTAAACTTTGATAAATTTGAAATATTAATAATAAAAATGATGACGATACCTATCGGTGGTTTATTCGTTGGAGGTTTCACGAAAACGTGTACTTCCGCCGTGGAAGATTGTTCCGAGTCGTCCGTTACTTTAAGTACAAATGTATACATTCCTTCCTCCAAATTTGATAATTGTAAATAAGGTGTTCTCGTGTTTTGCATATCCACCGCTTTATTCTGATCGGATGGACTTTTCGTCCATTCCCAACTAGCTATTCCTCGATCGTCGGTACTTAAGTTACCATTAAGCGTCAATGTATTTTGAGGTAGATAAATAATAACATCTTGTCCTGCATTTGCACTGGGAGGATAGTCGGTCACTTTCAAAACAGTTATATTGGCACTTGTCGAATTTGTAACGTGATCTGAGTCCTCGACTGTTAATCTGCAAAATAAGCACATCAAGATTTATATACACACATAATTTATAGAATATATATTGATCATCTTGATTGAAGGAACATAAAAAAGTGAAAGCTTTTTGAAGATCATGTATCTTTATACAAATATAAGTAATGTTATATTATATACGATTATATATTATTATAATATAATATATTATATATTAATAAAATTATATTATATAAATAATTATTCACAATCATGATATAATACTATAAATTATGTCGTAATATAATACTATTAATAGTATAATAAAAAAGTATAATAGTTGATATACTAACTTAAATGTGTAATTGCCAGCAATAAGATTATTAAGTTGAAGTGTGGGTGTATCTACAAGGTTGGGCTGATATCCAATCGGGCCTTGTTGCAATTCCCAATGAAAAGCGATGACACGATCATCATCTTTACTATTCGAACCATCTAAGACCGCGCCTGTATTCGGTAGTTTCACAATTTGCGAAGCAGGAGTAATTATGGCAATTGGAGCTTGATTAATGCGTTTTGCTAAAATAATTCAAATAATAATTGATTTGATGTAATTTTATAATAAAAAAGGTAAAAAGAAGACAAAGAGAAAAACTCACGAGGTAAAACACTGACATTGGCGTAAGCTTCACCATAAGCATTTGGACTGCTTACAGCTACTTTAAATGTATATAAGCCTTCCGACAAATTACTTAATTTAACAGTAACACGATTCTGATCTGTCATTGTTCCAGTGTGTCCTTCTGGTTGACTAAGCAAACTCCAAGCGTAATTGTAATGTTGGTTGCCCCGTTCAGCAGGAACTGTATATGCTGATAGTGTAACTTCATTTTCTGGTAATCTCACTTCCTTAGAAACTGCTGAGACTAACAATTGTTTCATAGTTGGTTTAATCGAAGTACTAGTGTCTTTTATAGTTTGAGCCTTTGCTTGTGGTGTTACAAATTCAGCAGTGTCTAGTTCATGCATTATACAAGTACCTATAACACAATAGATACAAATTAAAAATATGATTTTAATTTCAAATCCATTAATTTTTTCTAAATATGACATAATAAATATTACATGAACACAATATTAAAAAGCATTCTTGGATATAATAAAAATATATTTATGAATTTGAAATTAATATTAATATATAATATATATTTAAAAAATATATTTAATATATATAAAATATAAAAATCATCTCTATTCCATAAAATAGTATAAATAATTAAATAAAATATTAGCTGATATAACATACCAGCAATATTTCGTTTGAAGCCTAAAGGACATTGACAAGTTCCAACATCACTCTCTCCATGCTTCACACAAATTTCATTATCTAGACAACCTGATTGATCTATACAATTGATTTTGTTCATCTCATTAAATAACACTTGATCCTGTTCTATGCCATCTGTACTCAGTGTCCTAAATATAAATCATGTCATTAGTGATGTATTAAAGAAAGAATATTTGATTTGCTTTTTAAGAAAAAAAGGCTAGTATCTCTAGTTGCTCTCTAGTTTTTAAATACTATATATTTAGCTTCATCTATTTTATATTAATATTTACCCAACAGTGTCATCATTAACTTGATCTAAGAAGTCACTCCACATTTTGTTATTCTCTACAGGTCTAACCAATACCATGCTCGGTGGATTGTCATTTGCTAATTCTGGTCTATACAATGGCACACACATCATGGAATTTTTGCATTCTACATGATAACATGTACTATTGTGCATAAATGCTACATTACACAGTTGTTTCTTGCAACAGCCCATAACACAGTCCTGTATGTTGGACAAGTGAGGTTGTTGTGTGTAAATTCCACCAGTCAGATTGCCACGAGGTAAATAACTCGTAAATTCTCGAGGATATAATACATCTGAGCATAGCAATTGCATATTCCATCTGACATAATTGCCAATGCAACTATCCAATAATAGTAAGTATAATCCCAAGTGATATATTCCAGTCATATTAGCTGTATGAGAAAAAGTAAAATATTAGATAAATGTGCACATTTCTCTTTCTACAAAAAATGATATTAAAACATTATATCGTGCTTGTGTTTCATAAGAGTGTATAATGGTATATCATTATGACATATGTATGTGTATTTCAAGTAATAGATAAGAAAATATACATAGAAAATATATAATTTAAATTTGTAATGTAATGAAAAAGCTAATGCATTTCAACGCATATTAATGGCACAAAATAGGTATAATATAAATTATAAGACATAGTTGTAGATGTTTCTTTATTAAATTATTATATTTTTAATCAGAATTGACAAAAGTGTAACAAAATAATAGAGATTAAAATATATATAGTGTTGAAAAGATCATCTGTCAATGTAATAAAACAGAATTCGTACCTGGTTCTTATAACACACTCATGAAATTAAAATGCAACACTTTTCGAGGCCAAATAGAGATTTTATCTAAGTTACTCTACGACGACGCATGTATTTTCTATCACTTTTCCGGGACGATCGTGAACCTTTCGCGATCCGTTAACGATTTTTAGCCCGGCGAGTCTTACGTTAATAAAGCAGTCTGCAGACGTGCGCGGCTTATCATATATTAGCAGCATGTTATTATCAAGCGGCGCGAACTAGACCATACGGGTAATTATCATATTTCCTGCCGCTACCGGAATAACGATCGCGCGTAATAAAACGCCGATAACAAATACGCAGGAACGAAGGGGAGCGCGAATTAATTCGTTTGACAGGCAGCGTCACGGGAAATGTCAGACCTGTCAGGGCTGTCACCGCGAGCTGTCGTGTCTGCCTTTTACCGCCATCTATACAAAAATAAAGAGAACTAATAAATCATCTCGTGATAATCATCGTAACACTCCCATCTGACTTACCGACGAATCCTCGGTGGCTGGCCGATGCGATCAGCTGACGCGCGATGACAGATGACAGCACCGACGCCGTTCGGCGGCTCGGCGCTTCGCGCATGCACAGTCCGGTTCATCTACACGAGATCGAGTGAGATTGAGAGATGCGGTTCGTGTCGCGGGTGTACACGGGCGAGGGAGGGGATATAATTCGCGAATATCTCTCGTTATTAAATACACATGTCGAAGAAGCGGAGTTGACGTTAACCGGGCGTTCGGGCGATTCGTCTCGCGCGAATTGACATTTGACAAGTTGCGCGCGCGCGTTAAATCTCGTGTGTATTTCGGCCTCCCCCTCCACCTCTTATCTTGTCTCTCTCTCTCTCTCTCTCCCTCTCTCTCTTTCCCGACCTGGCCAAGACGTACCGTTACTCACGCGTCTCTCCTACTATCCATTGATGCGTCCACCGTCGAGTGACTCGTGCGTGCTCCTCTACGTGAATCTCGCATCGCGCGCGTGCAAGGACGCGCGTCTCCGTCGTCGTCGTCATCGTCATCATCATCTCCGCGGAGTCAGAGGGACCGGGGACGAGGCCGCGTATCCCGCAGGACCGTCGCGCTGGAAGGTTAGGGTGAGTAAGTTGATGTTGTAGCATGATATTGTGCTTGGCCTTTCTGTGCTGGCCAAGCTTGGCCTGGTCCAGGGCTTCGCTTTCCTTTCCCGCGATCCGGAGAAAAAAATGTCTCCGATCGCGCGCCTTTGTTTCATCGCACTCTCGGCGGAGCTCCCGTGTTTACTTTCGCCCGCCCCGAAAGTGTCTCGTTGTATCGTAATTAAGCCGGCTTTTGAGACGCCCGCGAGCCGGGCTGGTGGCTTTAATCGTTTTGTCAAATATTTGACGAGTGTCAATATTTAAAAATATTTTCATGCTGCCGATAAACGTTGTCTCTGGTCGAATTGATAAGTAATTAAGTAAATGACGAAACAAAAGAAAGATAATGTCGGGTAGTTTTACGATTAAATATATTGTAGTCGTTATTTTTTTTTCAGTTTGCTTGTAACGAGTGACTAGTAAAGTTGAAATATTTTTTATTTGATTAGCATAGTTTGGTTAGTTAGAGATAAAAAGAACTTTGTTTTATTAGCATTTCAAAGTGATGCTTTATTATTATTTGCTAGCACCTAGCACTTATACTACTAGCTAGTAAAAAACATCACATAAACTCTTGAGAAAGAATATTTGCGCGCGTATCTTTATTTTAAATATTTTCTGTCAAATTTAAATACATTTGCCTTTAGGATTTGGAGAAAAATGTAAAAAATGAGACAATTAATAAATCTACAATTTTTTTTTTTTAAAAGTAATGTAGAGTAATAATTTGACATTTCTAAATCTCTTGAATGTGTGTGTGTGTGTGAGAGAGATTTATTATCTTTCATTCTTTCTCCAAGATATTCTAATTTAATTTGTGACCTTGTCTCTCAAGTGGATTTCACACACAGTTTGAGAAAATATTAATTGAGGTTTATTTATATTCTCTCTGATATCCATATGACGTTTTAAAGATTAAAGATGTGCTAAAAATATTTTTGCTGGAAAAGTAATTTGCAAAAATTCTCTAAAGAATTTGCCCTTCAAAAATCATCTAATTGTCAGATGCATTTCACACACACATACACCACGAATCTTCGACGTTCGATCTGCCGTTCGCCTTTCCATTCTCGCCGCCCAGATCGTTACATTCGCTCCATACCGTGCATTCGTGATGCATCGTGGCGTACCTATGCAGCTCGCGTGCGCGATTCGACGGAAATGCATACGCTCACTCGTAAATAAATCCAGTCTGAGGTATTATGAAATAATTAAAATACACGCAGGAAATGATTCAAATACCGAAGGACTGTAGAGATTGATTTTAATGATAGATTTTCGAATTAATTCACTTGCTTCCTTAAAATTTGATAATTTTTTTGTTATTAAAACGCCTCGACAAATTAAATCTCTAATTAAAAAAGTGAAAAATTCACTTTTAAGATGAGATAATAATATTTAAATTACGAAGTGATATATATAAAATCTGAATTCTCAACTAAAATAATAAGACTGCTATTTAATTGCGTTCTACAAACTTTTGCTTCCTTCTCGACAGTATTTCGTAATAATACGGAATGTTCAGGACGTCTCTCTGAATAGAATGTGTCTTGTTAGAAATGGATAATTTTCATTTCTTAACTGTTATATTTTTTCATAATTAAAAAAATTTTTTAATCTGAGATATATATGTATATGTATAGCAAGTTAAATAGCTGTGTTTTAAATTGAAAATCTAATCTTCTTTAATTTATTTAATTTAAATGTATTTCTTAAATTAGTCGCCAAATTTTTAAATCATTATTTTAAATATAATTATCTCGACATTTTGATTAAGAAGAGATGGTTAATTTTTTTTATCGGATTATATTTTTAAAAATCCAATTTTATATATATTTTATACACTGAAAAAATGTGTTAACTTGACTAAACCTTTCAACTAAATTACTATTTTATTAATTAAACATATATTAGTATTTAAGTAAAATATATGTATGTTTTTAGATTTAATATGTTATATTTAATTTAAATATTTTTATATGTTTAATCGACAAAATAATATTTAGTCAAAAGTTAACAATGTTTTTTAATGTACTTACAAATTATAATCACATAAAATGTGCTTGAATCTAAAGGTGTTAGACGTTTTAAAAATAGATTCTTCAAGAAATTTATAACTAATTTTTTTAATGATATATCTAAAATCTTTATCGTCATGCATTTTAATAAATCATTACACATTTGATTAGCACGCACGTGCGTGCGCTTGTGAATTCAAGGTAAAACCGATCCTAAACGAAAGCAGTGTTTAATTTGTGTGAGGTCAGCTTGATCGCGAGGACAGCTTGTAATGGGAGAGGTATTTAATCATTTTTAATCTCTATGTAAATAAGTGTGGCTGTAATCTATGCAGCGAGTTGTCAATTTTACCCCGTGTTCTTCTATTACGACAATTAATTCATAACTGCGTGACTATTTATCACTGCAGAGCGTTATTGATATTTTTTGAAGCTTTTCCTATAATCCTTTTACTTCTTCTTTTAAGATGTAAAATATTTTTATACTTTCGATTCTATGTAAATTTTAATTTATATTTAATTTATATTATTTATATAAATTATATTTATATTTTAATTTATATTTATTAAAATACATGACACGATGAAGATTGATATATCTGGAAAAAATCTTATTTTCAAATTTCTTGAAGAATTTATTCCCAAAATATTGTCTACATTTATGTCTCTTCAAATTTGTATTTCTTCTTAATATGATAGTCTATTTTAAAATGACACATTCTCTAGATAGTAAATATTGATTAAATCATTTCATAAACGTTTATTATAATATTTTTAAAAAACCGCAGCATATATCTATGTCAGTCAATCTTTATCAATCGCACGTGTAATTAATTTTCTTGGAGCAGCTTTTTGAAATTTCGTCAGGAGGAACAGTTACATCGTTACATTACAATATCATTGATCAATGTGATAAGCGAATTATCGTAAAATGTAAGTGAATTATGTATTTGGCGCGGTAACATTATCGATTCGTCGTGAACAGAATTTAATCAGCCACTTTCCAGATAAATCTATCGATCCACTGATTTACTTGCACTATATCGGTACGCGATAATAGATAAAATATCTCACTGACAATTTATTGACCATCACATGGTGCCGGCTATCCGTTATGATCGCACATATGTTTCTTTGTGTACGCGATTATAACAGTTCAATGAAGTATTACGTTATTATCGAGGTTGTTATAACGTAATACACCGTGTCCTGTTACTTTTTCTGCTTACGCGTTACGCTATTACGGTTTTATACATAATCGCTATTTTTTATTACAGCGTTTATACTTTAAGCGCTGAATTTACCCAGAGGGATTAAATTGTTTTCCCGATATATAGAGGAACAAATGCGGATTAAGTAATAATTTTCTCTGAATTTCTACATTAATGAAGTTGCAATTATTAATCATCATCAATCGATGCCAGTAATTTTTGAATTGATACGTTCAAGATTATATTCCTAGACGATGATATGAACAGATATCACAGATAATATATTATGCGTTTTCGACATAAGTATACGGTTTTGATAAGATGATAAAATAATTTATGTGTAAATATCGAAGAGCAGTATTGTATATCTTATCTTAGTAAAAAAAAAAAAATACAAACGTTGCACAAATTGCTGGAAATGTGTTAATCGAATGCCATCAGTAATACAATCACTTGACTAAACTCATACGAATACATCGAAAACTATGTATCATGGATATTTATAGTTTTTATATAATGAAGATAAGAGGAGAAAAAGAGAGGCAGTATGAATTTTTTTTTTATCTTGAACTATTTTTTCCGAATATAAACGAAATTATATATCATGAGAATAATTAAGTTTATTAGAACGTATTAAAATTCATTAATACATTAATATTCCTGCTATGGAAATCAAATTTGAATGTATGACATAATTAAATGTTAATTTGACGTTAATTTATTACTCTAATCCCGAATCCCTTGTCTCTATAAATTAGCACGAAATATTCAAGACAGAGATAATAATTCATAATATAATATTACGAGAAACTAGCCTCTTCGTTTCCTAGTTTCTTTTGTAGTGATATCATTTTCGATTATTTAAACTTTTTAAAGATAAAAATAAAATTGATGGGAGTTTAAATTCGTGATTAGAACAAATTAACTATTTTATTATATCACGAATGGAAAAATTAAATTAATATTTAATTGGATGTCATAAATTCGAATATTTTATAGTGGAAATATAAAGTTTAAAGTTAGAATGCATTAATGTAATCTACATATACATGTTCTAAAAATAATACGAGCTGCAATAATAAATAACATAAAATAACTTATAATATTTGCTATTGAAATGAATGCTATTGAAGAATCGTTTACATCGACACTTTTGATAATTTCCAATACTTTGCTTGAATCAATAAAATTATTAATTGCACTTTCATATTCATTGAACTATTATTATTTTCATCTGTTTTCAATATATATTTCTATAATTTGTAATAATTTATAACTTGCGATAATTTTCAAATGCAATAATACTGTAATATAAATAATTTTATGCATTTGAGGAAGAAAAAAAACCGTAATCTTTACGATGTGCTTAAGCGTGCATGACGCGTAAATATACATATACACGCATGTTCACGCGAATGCACATAAGTGAGAAACGTATGTTATGAGTCTAGATGAAGCCGTTTTTTGAGCTCAAACCATCCTATTAAGCGAATCGTATCGAATTATGGTGGAAGACTTACAAGTTCATATATCTTCTCTGATCTGTATATACATATTTGTAAACTTATGTAAATACGTTTACCATGTTAGTAAGAAGGTTAATCCGCGATTGTTTAGATACTTTATGTCAACGAACCGTGTCTCCTACAATGCAGTTTAAAATCATAATTTACAATTTTATATGATGTAATTAATTATATCCTTAATTATATTGCGATATAATTAATTATATCTTCTGATCATTATAATA